CTAGCAGGCAGCTGTTAGGAAGGGAAGAAGCAGGAACACTTTGTAAGTTTCAGTGAGAGAACCAAAGCTTTTGGCTTATCTCTTTCAGTTGCTTCCAAGGCAAGACTATTCTTTATCAATAAGTTGTGGGGACTACAGCAGGTGTTTGCTTGTTTCTTACTTCCGTCAATCTCTTTTATTTTTTTCTCTTATGTCCTTTGAACCATTGTTTCTCACAGTGAAACATCAACATTTTTCAAACAAAAAATAAACAAAAAAACAAATTGTATCATGATTTGGATTATTTCACTATTCAAACAATAACTATGAATGAAAGGAAATAAAGCCGATAAGCTTTATTCTTAGGTATAACAGCAAAGCCATTTTTTTTTGGGGGGGGGGGGGAAGCCAACTAGAAGTTTGGGATGAAAGTTCAACAAATATGAACATTTTTAAAAAGGCCTTGAATAGCTTATTGTCTTTTCTTTTAACTATCTTTGTGAAAATTGGGTTTTCATCACTCACTGGGAATGCTAAGATGAGTTACTGAAATGAAACATGCCAGTTCAAATACTTAAAAAATCTTACTTCAAGCACTGGTTAAATATGCCATCGTGCAAGTTCATATACTTCATTGGATTCCATTATTATTTAATAATCATTAAAACATGTTTATTTCAATATTGTTTTTCCTTTATTGAAAGAAACAGGAAAGCTCAGCATTAATAAGAAATAACTGGGTTTTCATGTTCTTGAAAAGATTACAATAACACTGTTTTAACGCTAAAGGGTCTCAGAAACAGGAACTGTCTAGGCTTATACATCATGGGTAAGCCAAAATGTGGTTTGTTTGGTTTTGGTTTAGTATGTGTAAACATAGCTATTGTGGTTTTAAAATTGTGATTTATAAAGCAGAGGAAACCAGTCAAGTCTTTATAAAACCACAACTTTTTATGACCAAAATGACCTGCGATGATAGATATGAAATATTCTGAAATATATGAAGTAACAAATATTCCTATTACTTATGACAAGCAGTCCCATCACTGGTTTTTCAGTTTTAATATATTCAAGTGAAGTTTGGTGCTTGACAGCCATTTCCAGTTATTTCCCCATCACTTTCTTCAAATTAGCCATACCAGCTGCAACTGAGGTATTTTCATTTATACCTAATTCTTCATTGTCTTCTGCTTCCTAGGATACTTAAAAATATTGTTAGGTAGATGTCAGGAAAACTAACAAATCCTTCACATAAGTAGTTCGCCAGTCCCCCTTTTTTTCCTGAAAGAATCAGCAATGAAATCTGTAAGTACCAAAAATTGCACGTCTTTATTTTCAACATTTGTTAAATGTTCTCTACTATCCTAAATGTTTTCTACTTCTAGTTTTATCAGAAGTCTGCAGTATGTATGTATGAATGTATGTATGTATTTGGAGAATGTATGTGGCCATTCACTCACTCTCAATGATTCTGGGCAGCTTACAAAAAATAAAAACTCAATATACAAACATTAAAAGCAAACAACAACAACCCACTCTCCCCTAGCAACAGCAATCAATCAAAGAAGCCATTTGATGAGCTCCATCCCACTCCATCCCACCCATTGGCAAAACTAGGTCTTTAGGGCTTTGCGAAAAGTGATGGCTAATGTTTTTGCTGTCACGTGCCAAAAGTGGGGGGAGCGCAGGGGGGGTGTTACGCGTGCGTGCCCACACCCATAATTCAATGCGCCCCACCCCCCATGCATGTGTGCACGACCCCCCGCACTCCCCCTGCTTTTGGCACGTGATGGCACGGTGGGCCGGTAAGCCCGTTTTTCGCCATTCCCAGCCTCCAGAGGCTTTCTTGGAGCCTGGGGAGGGCAAAAACGGCCTTCCACACCTCCCAGAGGCCGGAAACTGCCTGTTTCCCGACTTCTGGTGGGCCCGGAAGGCCTGAAAATTAGCTGGCCGGCATGCGCATGTGTGCTGGAGATGAGCTAGGGCAACGCTCATGTGCCCACAGATATGGCTCTGTGTGCCACCTCTGGCACGCATGCGATAGGTTCGCCATCATGGTACTAGAGTCTGTCTGGGGCAGTGTCAGCCCATCTGAGACTTGTATAACTGTTATTGCTTTGTAAAAGCATCTCTTTGACCGTTATTTTAAAAATTAAAAAATAAAATACTTTGAGCCAGCTTTATTTTTATTCTTTCCAGAACAATGGAATAGTGGAGGAAATTAGGTAAGAGGGAGAGAGAACATTGTCACCAGAATGATTATTTGGAAACTGAGCAGAAAATCAGCAGCAGAAAAGTTTAAAAACACACCACATTAGGATGAGAACGCCAGAGAAAGAATGCATCCTTATGGGAGGAGTCAAAGGGCAGCAGATCAAAATGTTGTCAACTTCTCCATTCTGAGCCTCCTCCCTTTCCTATGTCATGTGATCCAGAATATAGGTTAACATGAACTGATGGAAAATATTTCCTATACCTTGCTGAACTTTTCAAAATGACAAAGATGTACTGTAGAACAAAAGGATTGCTGCTCCCTCTGGTGGCCAATATCTTTAACTTAATTCCTTTGTGGTAGCCTGGTGGAAGCTGTCATTTAATTAATGATATCAGGAACTTGATCAGATATTAAGAAATGTTTAATTTATGTATAATTAAAGTGATGTTAGTATGAATGGGAATTACTGTAAATTGAACATTGAGACACAATTGTTAAAAATGGCAACATATTCATGTCTCTGTCCAAACAAGAAAGGGCTAGTTCCAAGTATAGAATGCTTCAGTAGCTTCTTGGTCCACGATACAAATTTAGCCAAATTCTTTCCCTTTATGATATTTGAGCAAATACCTTTGCCAGTAGTCTAAAGCCTTCTGCAGATCCTGGAAGTGTGAAGGTTTAAAAAAGGTTTTGGGAAGAAATTCTGTGAGAAGTCCAGATGATGTAAGGGCCATCCAGGTAATGGGAGGAGAAAACTGAAGCCTGACAAAGGCAGACACTCAGGACCAAACAAGGAGAATGTTTCCTCTTGCAGGTGGGCTCCTATCAGAGAGGAGGGCAGACTCATTTTGTGTTTCAAGTGTTTTCTATTTGCCATGGTGGCTCCAAGCCTGGCAAGAGCAAAAAGCCCCACCAGGAGCAACTGATTGGAAATGTTGCATTAATTTAGAGAACAAAGAGCCAGCAGTGAAGATATACTTTATTGTATGAACTGAAATCTGGGCTGTGTAAATTTGTTTTCGTGTGTATGCAATTAGGCCATCCTGGACTTAGTAGCAGCTGACTGAAATCACCCTCTTCAGGAAGCATTTTCATTCCTTTTCTGTCTCTTCTTTTTTTTTCACCTTCTACGTCTGAATCCCTAATTCTGAGTGCAACAATAGGGTTCGTTCTGGGAAAGTCATCTAGCTTTTAGCACAGTTTCCCTGAAGGGCGGTCTAAGTGCCAGTTACCTCTGGCATGGTACATCAGGGGCAATTTTTCAGAAATAAAAAGCCTAGCACCAACGTGACAAGTTGGCTTTACACACTTGTTCTTGGAAGAGTATGGCAGGTTTATGGGAAGGCTTATAAATCTCATGGAAATTTGATAATTAGATATCCTCCCTCAATAGATGGAAGGTTCGGGTCTGAATTTCAGGTTTATATCAGGGCATATGAACACCACTTATAAGCAAAGATTGATACATGTTCGAATCTGAATGCAAAATTTATGAAAACTATATACTTTTGTACAGGTAGTCCTCAACCTACGATCACAACTGAGTTCAAAATTTCCATTGCTAAGCAAGATAGTTAAGTGAGTTTTGTCTCATTTTACAACTTTTTTTTTTGCCACACTTAAGTAAATCACTGCAGTGGTTAAGTGAATCATGTGGCTGTTTTAAAGAAATCTGGCTTCCCCCATTGACTTTGCTCGTGGGAAGCCATCTGGGAATAAATACATAAATACATGCCAGTTGCTAAGCATCTGCATCTTGATTGTGTGACCATGGAAATGAAAACCGGTCATAGGTCACTTTTTTTCAGTGCATTTGTAACTTTGAATGGTTGTTAAATGAATGTTTGTAGTCAAGGACTACCATAGAGGTTTGCATGATTGAGACCATGTTCAAATGAATGAAGACACCATCACATGTATATATTTCTTGGTCTTTGGCGGAATTACCAATTGAATGAGAAGGATCCTTTTTAGGGAAAATAGAAAGTCATTTCAGCTTGGAGTTGGTTTGGGGGGACAACTGAGATCAGCAATAAAGTATCTATTTGGACCTATACAGAGTGGTTCTAGTTACTTGTGCCTGACAAGTTATCTACATAAATTTATGTAAGTGTTGAATATGAATTTAGCTTATTTTATTTTATATGCTTCCTACTGAAGACTCTTTCCATAATTAATATTAGCAGAATATTGGTTGTATTAAATATGAAATTTTAGTGCGCTATATAATGATATAATGCCATGAGAGATTCTACTTGGGAATTAAAGTACATCTCAATGAATTTCACTAGAATTCAAAGATTTTCTTTATTTGAAATACAAAACATTTATAGCATGCAAGTAGTTAGCTATCCTCTCCAAATCATTTATTTATCCTCATATAGTGAGAATAAACCAATGTACCAATAGGCTAACTCTTTCATTTTATGTCTAAGTTAGAGATAATTATATCAATAATATTAGGTAGATTATTTAGTTCATCTCCATAAATAATGTCTTCCATGTTACTCAACTCTTATCCTAAGCCATTTTTAAGAAATGAACTTAGAGGAAAAGAAGACTCAAGGACCATAAATTGAAACTTCAATGCATTTAACAATTCTAATGTAGACTGAAGATTTTAAATTTGCAAAACCATCAATTGTCCTGTCATGCAACATACCATAAGTGATCCAAAGAATGAAAAGGGAGTTGTTTTGAAAGTCTAAATTGCAATTCTTAGTAAACTTCATATCGGACAATTTTTTTTTAAAAAAAATCTCCGGGTATTAAAAAAAATGTAAAAAATTGTAAAAACATTTTGAGGTACATGCTAGGTACAGTTTATTTAATTTACACAGCCATATCAGCACCAAAACCCGTGATACATTACTTACAGAAATGAAACTACCATAAACAACCATGAGAAAATATCCTGCTTCATTTCAATATCCTGCCAAGAAACCAAATTTGAACTATGCAAACTGAATCGGGATTAGAACAATATGTTACTGTTGAGAAAGTGGCATAGGCTATTGCAACTGAAAACACTAAGAACCGTTACTTAAATATCCATTTCCCTTTGTACAAGTCCCCTCTTACGTTGCAGAGGTCTTTTCATTTTATGTCTAGAGGGTTTATTTTAAACACAGAACTGTGTTAGTTCAATTCCAAAACTTTCAACAGCTTGGTGATTAAAAAAAAAGTCCAGACTCTAAAAATTATTTTAAAAATCACAAATGAGAAGTTATTGGGAAAAAGCCTAATTTTTCTATTATTAAGCTTCATCATAATACAAATACTTTAATTTGTAAAAAAGTTAGTCATAAAAATCTACAGAAAACCTTTATCTCCAAGTGCTTGTGAATTTACTATAACACGATACAAAACTAGCATAAATGCATTCCAAGAAAGCAGTTATTTAGCGTCTCCATTGCTGCAGTTTATTCTTCTACTCCTATAAACCTTACGATTGTTATGAGAAAGACTTCTAACTCTTTTAGAATTTATCGTGCAGGAAGTCCCTATCAAAGGCATTATTTGAACTTCCTGAAGCGTCATTCTAAAGGGCAAAACTCTCATTTGAAAAAAACACACCACCAGGGACTTGGGACTTTTTGCAAAAACAAATAGAACACTAATTAATTTGTCTGAGAAGATGTCTGGAAAACATACATTTACAGAAATCTAGATTTACAAATTAATTACAGTCAAAGTTCAGTATAGCTCAATTTCCATAGTCATCTAACATTTCTGGACTTTTTAAACAATTAACTTTGCTCCTGTTTTTCAGTTTGCTGAAAATTAATGAATCCATTCTTATTCTCAAACTTTAAACCAAATTTGTAGCTTACAGGCTACTCTAGACTGTCATTTATAGAACACTGTAGCGTTTACTTGTAGAATAAAGTTTATTACAGTAAAAAACACAAATGCATAATAAATTCCCAAGTTCTTCTCCAAATTTATACAGCTCTGATGATTGATAGGCTCATCAAGAGGAAGCAGAATGTTTTCATCTCATCATGCTAATCTGTGTATAGTCAGGAATAGGACAAATTGAAGTCATTGCCAAATCTTTTCATGTCAATCTATATTTATTACTTGCTATACCCAGTATTAACTCAATAACCCAGTAAGAGATATTTAACTAAACAATTACATAGCCTTACAAAAACACTTTCTTAGTTCTATGTTTTTGAGATTTCAGTGCCTAAAGGCAACAGTCGTCATAAACACATCTCAGTAATTTCATATTGTACAAATAATTTTAGTCTTAGTTTCTATACAGCCACATAGGCAAAATTAATGTACAGCCGTATAGGCAAAATTAATGTACAGTATTGTTCTAATTCATGAGTGGGTCAAGTAGTGTAATTAAAGTGGTAAAGTTTAAAACTTATTTCAACATAGCTCCACACTTCCTAAGACCATTAAATATACATAAATTAAACTAGGAAATTTTAAGATGTTGCTTAACATACATTCAACTTGGCACAGTGCAGACTAAATTTAAGACGTGAATGACAGATCATGTAATGAGACCTACATTTTAAGCTTTATGTCAATTTTCCAAAAAAGAAAAAAGAATTCTAATTTGTTGGGACTCAATTAGCCAAATCCAAAAATGAGGAGAGCTGTACAGATGGTACAAATTTATACAATTTTCTAACTTTCAAGGAATGACTCTCATTGCGCAATATCCAATTCTGATCATGTTGTGTGTACTTCTCACCATCTAGAAATAACCAAAAGGACATGCATAAATGAAACGTGCTTACAATTCTTAGTCTCCAAAGTGTAACTTTACACAAATATTCATAATTATATATGTTTATTCAAAAAATACACAATCTCCATGTCAGTAATGATTATATGATTCTAATCCTAGTGTACAATTCTGGTATGTTTTTAATTAATTCCTTTTTGTATTTAAGAAGTTTTCAAATTTCTTACATATAAAGTAAACTACCAGTTTAAAGTAATCAACCAACCTTGATCATCAAAATTTATGCTTTCTCTTGCCGAGCTCCACCTCCACGAACAGCAACTGGCTGACTATTTTGGGTAAAAGCAGTTCCACCACGAATTGCATTTGGATGAGTTGGAGAAGCAGCTGGATGTTGACCAGGACGAATAGGCTTAGCTATATGAAAAAAAAAAGGGTAAAGCAAGGCCATGTGACAAATTAAAATGCGATCTTTATGATAGATTAAATGGAAGCAAGAAATATTTAAGTTCCAGAAAAGTATTTCAACATATTTCAGTTGAAGATGGCTTTTTACAATTAGTTGAACATTTGTAACTAATTTTTGCTTTGTTTTTCCTACTACAGGTTTCTTCATCCAATGAACTAAGACATTTTCAGTGTCTTCAGGACTCGGCATTAAGGTTACACTACTGTGGGCTAGTTATTATATATATATCTGATGAAGGTGATACTAGACCAGAAAAACATATCTTGATGTTTCACAAAACAATGAGGTTTTTTAAAATTAAATTATACTTATGTTTATATTTAATGTGTAATGACAATATTTTTATCAATGAAATCCATTTCCTTTGGAAGAATTGGTATCCTGGAAAGCTGAACTATATGTATTTCTACACATATATGCACAGATGAGTAAAGGAATCTTGAGCTAGTCTTCTGCAACTTGAAATGTTCCTTTCAAAAGGCATGGGAGAAAAACGCCCCAGAGCCCTGCTATTTGCTAAGGAAAGGAGTATCTTTTTACATTCGCTCTTCTTTCCACTTTCCATCTCCATGTGCTGTATGTCACACTATTTTCAAGGGGTGCGAGGTTATTTTCTGAAGTGGGATTTATTATTACTCTACTTCAGTCATACTCTTTTTGGAAGAGGGGGAGAGAAGGGAAGCATTCTGTCCTTTATAATCCATAATTAAAGAATGTTTGTATATAGCAAGATGTGAAAATGTGAATTCCAAGAAGTCCAGCTGCTAAAACCTAATTTTTCAGGCAATCATAGATTTTCCATGCTGTTGGATTCAATTTTTCTTGAAAGTCACACTCCCTCTACTGTGCCAAAGGCCACCAGTTTCTCTAATGTGGTTTTCCTTCCAGCAACATTACTAACTGGATTCTCGTAACAGAATTAGTGCTTTTCTCTCCTCTTCCATTTCTCTTTCCTTTTGTGCCATACTTTTAACTGAAAGTACAGGTCATTCAATTCCTTTGTACTGTAAAAATACTTGCTGTGTTTTAATTATTGCTATACACAAAACAGATTTTGAGGCAGGGGAATTTCAAAAATTCCCCCACAACGACTCAAATAAAATTATGGGATTAATAGTCTAACAGTATGCAATTTATTATATTCCATTATTTTAAAATCTGTGTGTGTAAACACATCATGTTTATGCTTCATTTGTTCTACTTACCAATCTGTGCTGAATGTGCCTTTCTGATCATGTTCTTTGATCTCACTGCTTCTTTAATTCGATCTACTTCTTGCTGGTATCGCTTACGATCTCGGGAAGCATTTTCTTTTGCTTCTTTTAATGCTGATTCCAAAGCCTTAACTCTTTCAGCTGTAGCTCTAAGCCGTTTCTCCAGTTTCGGAAGTTCACAACGAAGATCTGCATTATCACGTACCAACTGGACATATAATAATGTGTGTGAATTTGTGCAACAAATTTTACAGATTATTGTCAATTTCTAATAAGTATGCAATAAAGCACTTCTATCACACAAAATAAGTGTTCGATCATAAACAATATTATTGATTTTTCCATTTAATTCCTATAAAATATTTTGAAGAATTTACTCATTTTCACCTAACCCCCCCTCCACCTGCAACTCTTTTATAAACTAAAAATAAATATTTCTGAATGGTATCACCTAAGTAACAGTAACAGAGTTGGAAGGGACCTTGAAGGTGATCTAGTCCAACCCCTGCTCAAGCAGAATGAAATGTTTTAGGTACAATTTAGAAGAGGCTCTTCAGAGCATATGAATGTGTGACAGTAGCACTTGTCTTATCTCCAGCTGCAGCATCCTGAAAAAAGATGTAGCTGCTTAAACCCTAAGTTGGAGCCCCACAAATCCCAAACCACCTCATCCAAATTGATTCTGAAGGTTGTACACCTATACTATCTACTAACACAAACTGAAAGCTTAGAAAATGAATACATTGTCAAAGTCTTAGACCAAGTAAATGTCATAATAGAAACAGAAAAGTTTTCTGACGTCTGATGATATGCCTTACTACCTATACTTAGTAATCAGCAATGACTCTAACTCCAACTCTTAACACGGATACAATACTGGCTATGATGGCAGTAAATCCATGTAGCTCAGGGTTGGCATATCACATTATTTATTTTCTGCAAATTTGGCTTTTGTTTATTTATATTTCCCCTTTCTTATTTTTATAAATAACTCAAAGCAAATATTCCTCTCTCCCCCTATTTTCCCCATAACAACCACCCTGTGTGGTGAGTTGGGCTGAGAGAATATGACTGGCCCAAAGTAATCCAGTTGGCTTTCATGCCTAAAATGGGACTAGATCTCACACTCTCCTGTCCTAAAGGTGCTTTTTTCGAGAGACAACAGGACTTTTTTTCTTTTCTTTTTTTAAAGACATATCAGTTCTCATCCAAGAAGTGAAAAGTCTTCATAAACAAAACAAAACAAAAAACAAGCAAGTCCAGCTGCCTCTTGAAAAAAGCACCTTTGGGACAACCGTGACCTGGATGATTGAGAATTTCCATAGTCACACTCTCCTGCTTTCTAGCTTGGTATCATAATCACTAGATCAAACTGATCCATTGATGCAGGAATTTTGAAGAAATACATATTCTTGGTTAGTAGGCATTATATATCCAATTATCCTGCCTAACTTTGCAGGTCCTTGAATGGGATGATTCTCTTAAGTAGATATTAATATGCAAGTGACTGATGCCCTTTTGTTGGTATCATTTGACTGATAAAGTGGTGGTTCTGTTTGTTTGTTGACAGTGTGTGGCTTATTGGGAAGACTCTGTTTCTCTTTCTCCAATAATTGCATCCATTCTAGTTGCTATTTGCTTGTTAGTCATTGTTCAAAAGGAGGTAACTCCAGTTTATCTAGATGTTGGTTGATTGCCATGTGATGGGGAGAACTTTATGTGGAGCTGATCCTCTAATGCTGATGACAATTTGCTTATGACAATTTGATAGATCCATAGACCTCTCTTTCTTTGTTACTGAGCTTTGGGGTTACTTGGGGAACTATGTAAGGATTTTGTTATTACAAAGCAAAGCTATAACATTTTATAAAACCATTGGTAATGTAGCTTTTTTAAATAATGCAAACAAAAATATAAGATTATTACAGTTTTACCTGTTTGTGGACTTTTGTGAGCTGTTCAAGATTGTTCTCTAGGAAAGAAATCTTCTGTTTCTGAGCAGCACTCCCACCAGTATCATCTGAATCAATCTCTGCACTCTTTGATAAGAAGAGATACAATTAGAGTTCATATTCTTGCAGAATGAAAATCCAAAATATTAAATACATTTTAAAATAAAGAACTGAGTGTGACATTACCTTCTTAACTCTGGTGGCCAAATCTTGAACAAAGAGTTTTCTGAGATTATGCAGAGTCTGAAGTTCTTTGGCCTAACAAGCATAAGAGTATTAGAATTAAGACTTCTCTTGGTAAAGTAGTTCAAGAATTTAAAAGTTTTCTTTCAGAATATACAGCTTACCACAGTCTCTTCTAAACCTTTTAGATCTTGCCTTGCTTGCTCTCTTCTATCTTGCATAACACTGAAATCATAAATTAAAATTCATTAAACTTTTAGTAGTTGTTCTCTGAAGATTTTTAAATAATATGAAAAATAAAACCTAGACTAATAAATTAAACATATAAATAGATTCCACAATTTAAACACTGAATTACATAAGAAAAATATTGATTAAAAAACAATGTCAATCTTATGCAAATTTATATACAATACTTTGGAAGCTATGATCCAAACAAATGAAATTATTTGGCATTTTATCTATATTATTTATTATATGCATTTGCAATAAATATTGCAGAAGCATGTATGTATATTGCATGAAACGTAATGGAACAAATGGAAAGTAATCCATCTTTAAAACAACTATATTATTCAAAGAATGGCACAATCAGCCACCTGCCAAAGCTCTAATTGCACCCATCTTCATCTCAGAACAACTATAAAAACCTAAACCTGGCATACTTGCAATTATTAAGGACAAGCTACATCTCTCCTGTTTTTCTTTGTAAGAGAAAGATAATGAACAAATATTTAATTAACATTTATTAAAATCCAGTTCTAAATAATTTCCAGAATTTCTAAGAACAGATGCTTTTAAATTAGTCTGAAAATAATATTTCCTATTTAACAACCATTTGTAGGAAAATATAAGATGGTAAAAGAACACAATATCTCAAACTCAGAACTCACAGGCCTGGAAGCCAATTTTTTTGAAAAGTATACCAAAATGAATAGCATCAACTGATTTTTATTATATATCTAAATATAAATTGTCTTTACTTACGTAAGTTCATGCAATTTCTTGCTTTTTTCCTGATCCACAGTTTTCAGCTTATCATGTTCAATTCTGAGTCGTTCCTGCTCTAGTATTATCTTCTGATTTTGACTGAACACAGAAACAAAAATTAAGTGAAGTGAGCAATAGTGGTTATTTACTTTGTGACATATCAAATTGATTATCAATTTTGTTATCTCAAAACCAAGGTGACAATAAACCATACAGCTCTAACATTATTTTGGAACCAACTGATAACTGATTTAATTCCCAACAGGTCTGAGCTATAAGGTGAACTTAGTTGATTTTAAATAAAAATTGTTTACATTTAGTAGGAATGTGGAAATTAATGCACATTCTAACTTATCAAGCCCCTGTATTCCGAGCCTCCTCCTTGTTATCTACAGCAAGATCTGTACCTCAAATCCAGTATTTCCAAACAAGGCTGTTGGACTTGTTCACATCTTAGCCAAAAGACAAAGTGGCACAAATCAAGTACAACCACTCTTGAAATCAATCAATCAACTGAAAGGTCCTACAAGGTTAACTGGGGGAAATGCAGGCAGTAAAGAGCCTTGAAGTGGAATAATTATGTCTGGGAAAGCCACTCCTGCAGACTTTCCTTTAAAATGTCTTATGCCCTTTCCAATGGGGCAGATAACACAGAAAGTACTGATGTCCTCACTTCACAATATGGCTTCAGTCAATTCATTTGCTGCATGCCTTCTCTCATCACCAAATTTAAAAAAAAAAGCAAAGGAAGGAAGAAATCTTTAGTTGCTGTTTCACACTTTCTCTTACTGGGAAATTGTACAGCAGTTCCTGCCACTTCATCAGTCATGCTTCCCTCCAACAGGGAAATTCAATTCACTTTGCAAGGTGAGAAAAAAAGTGATGGTTTCTACTTCATCTTGCATTTAGCATTTTTTCTCCATGCTGATGGATACAGAGTATGTATTATCACCTCTGGCAGACGAACTATGTTCCATAACTGGTTCCATGCTTTCAATCAAATTGGTTGAAAAGATGGAGTAGATCCAGTTCTGGAACCAGAACCCATTCTGTTACCTAGATCTGAAGTATGTCATTGTTTCTTTAAAGTGGATATTTTTATTTTATTTCTACTGTGCTTTTTAATTTTGGGGCGAAAAACTGCAAAATTGAAAAAAATGAATATAAAAAAGGTATTTCTGGCCACTGTCATCACCTCCTCCTAAAAAAGGCTGACATGTAAGTATGTAAAATCAAAGAAAATGGTGCACTTAAAAATCTATTTCATAAGCAAAAATAAGTTATTCCCGCCAATCCCACTCAGTACAACAAAGCAGTATGCAAAACTTACTCTTGCAAATCAGTTATTAATTTTTCTTTTGTCTCAATTTCATCTCTCAAGCTGCTAATCTGCTTCTGATGAGTCTCACGGTGACTTTGGATTTGCTGCTCAACTGCTTGCTAAAGAACCAAATGTTCTGGTTATTTTACAGCATAAGGACAAATAATGTACTTAGTTAATTCATTTTAAAGAATTATTAAATTGTAGGTTGACTTGCCTTGGCCTCATTTGCAGTCTGAACTTTGTTCAGATGTTCCTTTTCCATTTCATGAACTTTTCCTAGTAAAGAAGGGGGGGAAATTATCTTTAAAACACATAATCGGCTAGTATAAAAAGTCCTCTAATACTTGTACCTTATAAATACAAGTATTCTGAATGATCAAACTAGTAGGCAACCCAGTAAGTATTTTGTTTCAGCAGACATCTCTGAGAAATTTACTAGTCAACGTGTCTTTCACACACATAATTTATTCATTGGATTTACAGGTAGTCCTTGAATTATGATAGTAATTAAAGCAGAATTTCAATCACTAAGTGAAGCAATCATAAAGCATGACATCATTTGACTTAGTGACAGGAATCCTGGCAGTCCCCATTACCATTATTGTCAGAATCCCAGTGATTGTTAGGCATGGGCCAATCCCAATCCAAGCCATTCCTGTCTTCCTTTCTTCCCTCAGCCTTGGTAAAGTAAGGTACTGCCTCCTCTGCCTTTTCAATTTTCTGCAAGTCTTCCAAGGCATCATGGGGATGACATGTGCTATTTGAGGAACAACATGAGTAGACTTGGGAAGAAGCCCTAGCCTGATCAGCAGTTGTCTTGCACAAGTCCAGGCACATATGAGCAGGAGCAGAAGACAGTGAAGTGCATGCAGCAGGCCTGAGGAAGATAGGGGCAGCTAGAGCTCTGCACTCTGGCTCACCATGTTGTGGTGCTAGAGGCAGCACTCCTTGGCGGCAGCACCACTGAGACTTAAGTAAAGGCTAAAGGACAGTGGTAGCCAGCTGAGACTGCTGAAGGTCTCAGGCCTCTACATCTGTCCTGGCACTGCCACCACTGAGGAGTATTAGTGTGTACTGCAGTCAAAAGGGCAGAGATTGGGAGGGAAGATAGGCAAATGGAGGAAGTTGAAACCCTCTTCTGGTAGTAAGGTTGGGTGCATTGCCAAGCACCCAAATCTTAATCATGCGAATGTGGGGATGCTGCAGTGGCTGCAACTTCAAGGACTGGGTGGAAGTACTATTTGTTTAGTCCTCTTATAACTTTGATTTGTCAATGAACAAATGGTTGCAAGCAAGGACTACCTATATATTATAATGAGGACCCAGATTGTTGGGGGCAATACACTAACTCTGTAAACCGCTTAGAGAGGGCTGTAAAGCACTGTGAAGCAGTATATAAGTGTACGTGCTATTGCGATTTCCTTTACAAGCTGAAAGCATAACTCCACCCAACTGTTCTAATGAAATCAACCTGTGAGATGAAGTACGCTAAGAGAGTGATTAATTCATAGTCATCTATAGAGTTAATATAGCCAACGGAGGCCTTGAACCTGTCTTTCTTGTCTTAATCCATCACTTTAATATCAATACCCTCTTACATGTCTGATTAAAATATGCTTACTAGCAAATACACTACCATTCCCTTACTGCAGAGATGTATCAGTTAACATAACTTAGAACTTCAATTTCTCAGCTTATGAATCATGTTCTTAAACCATCTACATAAAAACAGCAATATAAAGCAATACATACTTTGGGCGTGGAGCTCAACTAGCTCATCATTAAGAGAATCCACAGACTCTTCAAGCTGTCTTTTCTTCTGTTCCACATTCTGAAGATATTCTGTAAGTGATTTGATCTTGGCTTCGTGCTTCAAAATGAAAACAGGATTGATATTTCAATGAATTAGAGACATGTTATTATCAGAGATTTAGAAAACTGATGGTTTAAATAAAATATCAAAACGCACATATATTGAACATTTCCAGAAAACTTAAACTCTAAATTGAAGAATATTTTCGGAATCATCTGTATTATGCAATGTCAAAGTGTCCTTTTTCAAACAATTCAATTTTATCAATCTTTAATGTCTTTACTTTTATTGCTCTATTACTGAATTACAGGAAGGAATTTTATTCAAGAAACACTAATGATAAATCAGGATGTAAAATAGGAATGAGAGATTTACACTTGAGAAAGTCCAAGGTATGGGACTTGGTATGGGATTTATGGAAGTCTCCTAAATCCCTTGCATTTTTTAAACTGCTCCATTATAAAAACAATTTGCATTATCCAAATGGGGATAAGTACATTTCCTTTCTACATTAAAGGTGCTTATTAAGCATTTCATTAGGCTTTTAAGGTCATCCCGGGAAAGAAAAAAACATTGCTAATAAAAAAATTCATTCATCTGGATTCCTTGCATATTTTCTGACAGTATTGGGAATTGCCAGCATTGGACACAGCTATTTCCTTTGAATATGGTAATTACAATTTCTCTTTAGTTTAGATGGAAAACTTGAACCTACAGAAGCCAGTAAGAAGATATTTTCATTACAACTGTAGCTTAGACATTCTGAGCTATAAAATATGAGAATTGCTGAGATTTTCTATACTAATTATGTAAAAAAACCCAAAATTCAAACTCACCAAAAACTGCTCTCAAGCTCAATTTCAGTTATAATGTTCAAGCAAATAAAATCTAATACTCATAGTTTAGAAAAAGCTGTTCCATTTCCAATGCATACCCACATATCCAATTACTTTTGTACCAGAAATGGTATAATGAGCACACAAGGTATCAGTGATGTAGAGGAGCCCCAAGATTTTCAAGCATTCAGAAAAAGTATTTTAAAATATTTTCAAGCCCAATAAGGACTTAGCACATTCAATGGCAACAGAATACTAACTTTCTCTTCTCTACAGGAAGAGGATAGAAAATGAATGATACCCTCACTAATAGCCATTAGGCTACCCTAATCTCCTTCTCCTTTGCCCTTGTATTATGCTAAACAAGATCCTCAAATTCCCAGGCAGGGTAGCTATTGAAGAACATCATATTGAACAAGGTTGTTACAAAGTATTTAACAAACAAAACAAAATCAAATTTACCTGTGAAATACGAAGCTGACAGGCTGCTAGTTCCTTTTCATTTTCTTCCATTTTTTTATTGCTTTCTATCTGTGTACTTTCTAACTGCTTACATCGTTTTACCATAGTCTTTACTTCAGATTTCATTTTACTGATGTAGAGTCTTGCAACTGTGAATTCCTCATCTATCATACCAGTTCCTTCTGGCTGCTAAGAAAGAATTAATGTTTAGCTCCAAAAGTTTGAAAGTTCATAAAATAATCCAGTAATTTATTCCGAGTTCATATATTATTTAGCATTAGACAATTTCCTTCCTATTAAAGTGTCAATCACATTTTTAATTATGAAATTCTATTTTAAATGAGATTGTAGCAAAAGTGACATACAAACTATATCTAACTCCATTTCCATGTGGCAGATTTGGGGCATTATATTTTAAAACTGTTTTTATTGGCACTTCTGACAATATCTACAGTTGATTTCTTATAAACTATGGTTATTGATAGTTGCCGTATTGCCATAAAAATAACAGATGCTCTCATGGGAAATGACAAGTATACTTTTAAAGCTGTCTTAAAAGAAATGTGTGTTTATGCAATATTTCTCATGCAAAAATACTGTAATGAGTATTTTTAATGATAAATTAATAATGAAAAGAGAAAACATACAATGATAGGGATATGCCACTCAGGAACAGGATGGATTCTGAATCTTAATGGTTCATTAGATGACTTACCTTTACATCGTTGTTTCCAACTGCAATTCCTATTTCTGCAAGATCTTTTAAAAGAGATGCCATCATTTCAGTTGCACGTTTTTTCTGATGATTAGTCATTTCTTTAAGTTTTTGAAGTTCTCCATCTATACTAGCTAATGTTATCTGCAACAGGAAAAAAAAATATTGTTACTCAGATAACATTATCAGCAGCCAAAAATCAATTCAAGAGTTCTGTCTTAATTCCAAGAACTTCAATTTTCATTTAAGTAGTCATAGATTGTTTCCTAAGGGAACATTCTTTTTAAGTTCTGTGAGCTCGGGAATAATAGACTCTAGAATTATTCTCATTGTACTCCAAAGAAATTGGCATGATCATGAAAGCTTCTGTCTCGCTGTCAGTCATCATTGAAGCCATTGGGCATAATTATTCAGTCAAGCTATTGAAGATACAAACAACTGCCAACTCCCATAAACCGCAAAGTAGTGGTTGCTTTTCTTTTTATTTCTCTCCTTTCTCTGATCACTGAAGCCTTTGGACAATGCTGTTCAAAAAAAATATAATCTCAGAACAACTATTGGAAGTAGAAAATTGAATTCCACCATTTAACTCTTGCCTCTGCACCTATTTATCTTTGGCATTTAAACCTAATTATTAACCAGATGAAAAAGTTCTAAAGCCTAGAAATTGCAATTGACTTATTATAATCCTCGAATATTTTACATTTACATTTCAATGTGTATGAAATGTATTTTATTTTAAAATAAAAAATTGAGAATAAGTTACATTTTTAAAAGGGGGTATGCAGAACCTTAAACTCCCAAATACAAGTTTCTGTTTGAAGTTTAACATGCCAGTGAAGATCAGACAAGATGCTACAAGCCTATGATATAAGGCATATAATTAAATGGAGCCCTTTGGGAAGTTATGTATCATAGATACAATCCATATGGGGATCTTTAAACAAGATGTTTCAAACTATGAGTATTACACAAAGTTGTTCAAGTATACAAATTACCTTTATGAATGCATGTTATATAAAGTTGTATGTAAAGTTGTATGTAGGCTCAAAGCAATGTAGAAAGGCACTACTGTAAGTGATTGTAAAGATCCATACATTTTTTAAATAAATAAAACAAACATACAGAGGCTGCATGCTATCTTTCTAAGACACATCGGTTTGCTTCCTGTTAATAATTGTATTTCATTTTGAAGTGAGAAATGTGCAATCTAATGTTTAAGACCCAATTTCTGCCTTTTATTCAATTTATCATTAATATTAACATGTGTCACTAACATTAACTGGAATGTACTTCTATGAAACATATATTAAATATAAATGAGAAAGAATGGAGGTATTATGACATTATACTGTCTCTTTCAATTGTTTAGATTAGATTAGAGAAGAACTTTCAATTGTTCTCAAAAGATTGTCTCTCTCAAAGAAGTAAACACAAATATGTTCTAAAGTAGCAATATTACTAATTAATTAGAGCAACTGGTGACACTGCATATCTAGAACATAAATGAAGATCTTCCATTTGAATTATAATATTAATAAGAAGACATTTAATTATAAATAATTTTATCAAAATTTTTAAACTAGATAAAAACTAACATAAAGTAATATAAAATAAGGAAGAAGAAAATTAAATCAAAGAAAAAGCGAAAAGTGCACAAAAAAGAAAAAGTTTAAGAAAAATAGAAAAGAAAGAAAATATAAAGAAGTAGCTCCTGATATTTTTCACAGCAGTTGTTAAGTACAAATATACTTTGACCTCTCTAAAGTTATATCATATTGCTTTTTTTCCCCATTAGGAAGGCATTTAGAAGTATTTTCCTGAAGCTATATTAGTGCAAGCTAAATAAACGTTCATATAATTTTTAATCATTTAATTTGAACATCAGATATCCAACATATCTATTTTTATAAATTAATCCACATATGGATTTAAATAATAGCATAGATAGTTAACATAGCCACCCAGAATTACTGTAACAGTAAGCTGAACAGCTTATTTATTTCATTCCTATGCAGCCCATCTCATTCTCATTATCAAGCAACTCTGGATAGCTTACAATGCTTTAAATAACAGTATAAAATAATTACAATACAATAAATTTGGTAAATAAAATAAATGTTAGGAAGTATTTGGAAAAAGACCCACATAGCAGAGGTTTTCAGTTAATAGTTATATAGTGTGGACCTGACAACCAAAGTTTGGTTTATTGAAGAAACTCCTATTATCTTACCGATTTCTGATTCAATTCCTCACTTAGTATTTCATACTCCTTTGCCTTGTCTTCAACTTCTTGTGACTTTTGATCATAGTTGACAGCAAGTTCCTCAAGGGCCTGGAGAACCTCTTTTACCTCTTCTTTAGAAGCATCATTTTCAGCCTGAAGGCGATTCAGTTCAGCTTGCATATTGTCTTGGTCCCGTCTGGTGGATGCTAGAAGCTATTTAAAAAAAGACCACTAGTAAATATTTTTTAATAGCTGTTTCTTAAGCAACAATGAACATATTACAGAAGCTGATTGTTAGGGTAAAATATACCTATACGATTTATTTTAAGGCTCTATAACAACACTGCTCACTATTTTAAATCTTGTTGGGCTTTAGATATATTTACAGACCTCCATTCAACGATTTGTAACATAGGTCCATAGAAACCAGTATTCTAATCAAAAATATAAAATCTTCTTTTGTGAAACATTGATACTACGAGCTATATTTCTCATACTTCAGTACCAGAAACCACTTTTTTATAATAAGCAATATATTTATTTTGCACTATTATGTTTTTTTCTTCTGTTTACAGTATGTAAATAGTAGTAATAGTCACCTCTTCCTGATCCAACATCTGTGTTTTTAGTTTTTCCACTAATTGGCTTTGTTGATTAATTTCTTCATCCTGAATAAAAAAGAAGAAAGGTAATTATTCAACTGTAACACTCATTAAATAAGCATTGATTATTAATCCTATTTAATATCAAGAAAACAATCAGTATCCAAAAAGCACAGTCAGATATTCTTCATGTCAGGTAGCTTTTATTAACATTGAAGAGAACTTCTTAAGAAGTGTTCCTTCCTGGCACCTCTTTCAAATCTAAAAGTAGTTTTCAATGCAATTTTTGAGATAGGATAGAAACAGTTATATCGTATTTGTTTTGTCTTAACAGAAATAGTAATTATAAACTAGATCTGACCCAAACTTTGAAGATGCTCAGAGAAGTCCTTTAGATCCTGTTAAGATTTTCAGAATTTGAATGCTTATTTCTAAAAACATATAAGTATATACATGTCACCACCTCCTTTGACTGTATCCTTTGACTGTATCCTTTGACTGTAATGGTAATAGGATGGGACTGCCAATTTACAAAATAGCATGCACTGAATAAATTGAATCAAATTATTCTGACTGATCAATAACTTGCAATTATTCATTCTATTTTCTCTGTCAAACATAATTTGGTCTTTGATGTATTAATTTCCAAACCCATAGTTCTCATTGCATCTTACAATCTATCATTCACCCAAAATCTTTTTGATTCTCAGCCAAAAATATGGAATAATTTACACACAAACCTATAACCCTCTATCAATATATCTTTAACTTTATGCTGGGCACAATCATAATCTTTCCCCTAAATATTACCATCTGAGAAGCATGCCTTTACATCTCTGCCTTCTGGAACAATCTGCCCCTTGAAGTTTGGCGGGTCTTTACCCTCTTAGTCTTCTGTACAGTCTTGAAGACCTGGCTTATCTCCCAAGCAGTAGGATAAGATTGGATAACTGCACATTAGAAGGTAGACTTGTACCAAGTCTATATACGACTTAATTGCATTCAGCAGGCAACCTTTAACTCCAACATTCATGCAAAAGGTCATAATTCAAGTCTATTCACTTTCCTGTATATTTTCTCTAAACCCATAAGTACATAATACATACCTTGTCATCTAACTGTTTATACACTTTAGCCATTTCTTCTTCACACTTTCTCCTTTCAGCATCAGTAAAATTGCCAATCACTCCAATAGTAGGAGTTGGGGTATCATTAATAATCGTAGTATCTTTATCCACAGCAAATGCTTCCAAATTAGCCTTTTCTTTGTCAAACTGTTCCTCAAGTGGTACAGTCTCTCCTTTAAAACAGAAATCCCCAGGATATAATTACTTTCAGGAAGAAAATGTTAAAAAGTGACTTCACTTTAGACAAGCATTTATTTCATGCACGTTTTATTGAAATCCCATTATTCATATTTATAAGTCACCTAGATATACAAAAAAATACTGCCTTTCTGGACTGAATGTCCATATCCACAGATAAAATTTAAAACAACTTAGTACTAGAACATAATGTCACCGATCCTCTGATCTCCTCAAAAGACTTCTGCCTGATCAACAAATATATAGAATATTTAGCTGCTACACTATAGAGAATTTTACTTAATTTCAATGCTATGCTGAAAAAAAGGCCTTCTGATAAGACCATGGTAACTGTAAAAGGTTGAAAATGCCTTGCAAATCCTATTGTATGACTTATTTTTAAGCAAAAGCCATGGTAATACCATTTCACATTTAATAAAAAGTGATCTCAGAATAGAAGGCTGTGAGTAACTCACCATTGCGCCATCTACTGAGCTCATTTTCAAGCCACTGGATAGTGTTACGTAGTGTTTTGTTTTTCTCCTTTTCTTTTTCATATTTTTTCTTCCACTGTTCTGCAGTTAATTCTACGTTAACACACACTGTATTCTTGATAGTCTTGGCTCTATAAAGGCAGATTCAAGGTTAACTAAATATAGGATTGTTTAAACTGTTAGAAGATTTAAATGTTAATCTTCAACCCTAATCCCTTTTCTGAATAATTAAAACAATATGTACATAGTTTTGTCACCTTTATGCAACTTCACAGCATGGCACATTGTATCTATGCAATCATCTTTTGTATGATTGTGAAAAGCTCAAGAAAGCCATAAGGCAGAAAATAACACTAGTTGCAAATAAAAGTGTGGCAAAATAAGCCAGGTGGAAAAAAAATCAGTTTACATATAACTTTGTATCCCAAATATACATCAACTTGTATTTTTGCATCCCAAAATACATCAATCAGAAATGTACCCCTAAGGTCTAGCTTTCTATTTCTGATTATAATAATTGACAAGGAACTTACAGAATCAAATACTAACAAGCTTTAAGAAAAACATTTTAGCGAAACAAATATTAGGCAAAAACACCTGTACATGTATATTTTATGTAAAGACAGCTCAAAACTTGCATCATTCAGTTTTTGTGGCAGTCTAAAGTCTGTTTCAATGTAATCATTCTGCTTTTACAATCTCAGGCTTAAACATTGTTCACTCACCTCTGACCAAATAACAGTGTAGATTTTGTTTCAGATTCATTGTAAGATGATGGGGAGCAGCAAATAACAATTGTGGTTCTACAATTGCCTCCTAAGGAATCTTGTAAAATTCTGGTCATTTTACTATCTCGATATGGAACATATGTCTGCAAATAAGAAAAAGTTTTTTACTTTATCCTATTATAGATAGGTGAGAATATTTTGTATTTACCCAAACCAAGAATCATTTAACTTTAATTTGGTATGGTATTTTCAACAGGAAGTTCTTATATGTAATTTTGCATAGTGCTATAATTATGCATAATGTAATTGAGCTTATTAAAGTTATTAAAATATTCAATATATATTAAAGCAATGAAGGGAATTAACATGAGGAAAATACATTTCCTAGCTGAAATTAAGCAATTTCCATCAAGCATTTGCAAATCACTGATATACTTACACTATTTTCAGCTAAAGCAGAAATGACATTTCCAAGAGCTGATAGAGATTTGTTGATATTTTTAGCCTCATCCAATACTGCACCTTCTGCTCCAGTTTTACTAACCTAAAATAACGTAAAACATTGTAAGGCTAATCAATCTGTATTTTACAAATTTTGCATTGTAGCTAGACAAACAAATGTAATATAGTATTTGCCACTATAACATTTCTTTCCATATAACCTCATCCCAAATCTGTTCCCGATAATTTTTCAAAATTATGGAGAATCTGCCTGGTCTATAGGTAAGTCATTTGCCCTTTTAAAAGGAAAGCTCTAGCAAATGTTTAGAAGAGGAATACTGCAAGTGCATGTAGCCCATATTAAAATGCACTTTTAAAATTATAAAATGAATCAACAAAGAATCTAGAAATTATAGATTTTACAGAAATTTTATAAAAAATATAAAACAATACAAAATGGAGCAGCTATTTACAGGTAGCCTTGGACTTATGACTGCTCTTTTAATGACTGTCAGAAATTATGACTGCCTCAGAAAGAGTACTTTACATAAAGCATTTCCAACCATCTGAAAATGTTGCAGTTCCCTTGGCACATGATTCAGATCTAGTTACCTGACGATCTGTTCACACTTTATCAACTACCCTGCAATGATGTGATCACCATTTGCAATCTTCTCCGCCAGCTTCCCCAGAAAGTTGCAAGCTGCTGCCATTGCCAAGAAGACTTCCTTTCATCTCTGGAGGTTGGTTGCTTCCTGAGAGGAGCTGAGCTCCTCCGATGGGTTGCAGAAGTGTATATCTGAAACCCTGAAGATTTTGCCTTTTCTCCTGCAAACCATGAAAATTCCCTTCTCCGCACAGAGAGGAGCAGAACTCCTTTGACAGGCAGTCCTTCTAGGCAGTCCTCAGAGATGGAGAGTCAGCATGGTTAAAGTAAGAAGAGTGGAGTGATTGAGGAGGGCGGAGATGGTTCAGCACAGAAGAGTGCCCCTTCACTCAGGCTGAAAGTTCTGCTTGAATTTTGGCAGGGAACCTTCCAGGGTGTCCCTGACCCTCCTGAAGCACTCCTTGTTCCTTACCTGGGACTTCATCCATTTAACAGCCCACACAGTTTAACAATTGAGAGTGCCAGGATTGCGGTTGTTGAGCAAAGTATGACACCTCACTTAACAACTGCTGGGATTCTGATCTCAATTTGGTCATAAGTCAATAATTTCCGGTATTTCTTCCAGTTTTCTAGTAAATATTATAAATAATCCCATCATATAGGTAGTTTTGTATCTAGATTGAACAGCAATACAGAATCTTATAATATTATAACATTTAAGATTTGTTTATGTAGTACCCAAACAACATGAATATAATCCATATAATCAGAAATAAAAAGAATCATAATAAACATAGCCATACTCTTGACAACATTTCTCAAGTGTGGTGGTAGTACTCCAAAGAGCCAGATAACATAATATATAATGATTCTGCTGGTGTGTTGCGTATTCTTATCACTACATAATTCTAAACAATTCTGTCTTGTAAGGAAAATATATGGCCTTTTGTGAACTGCCTCTTATCCTCAAATTACAAAAACTCCCTTGCTCCAGAGAATGGGAAAAGAAATACTGAATACCTTAGATGTACTTGTTTCTAATATATTCAAGGCAGAGAGAGCCAATGTTGAAAGAGTGAAATGATAGATTATTTTCATGTTTTTTTTAAAAACAGTAAACTATTACCTTTTCACTACCTGCCAAGTCTACAAGATAAAGTTTCCCACTCAATTTCTGCTCTGTTTGAGTGTTTTCTTGCTTTACATTAATGAGAAAGATGCTATGACTTCGAGAGCTATGTTCATTCATATCTGTAAAAGAACAGTTTTAAGGCTTTATAAATGTCCATTCTGTCAACAGCCTATACTTAATAATTGAATTATAAGTGTCTCATAAATCAAAACAGAATAAATCAATAAATCTAACAAAAAACAATATATCCTTCATCAAAAGGAACTGTACCAAATCTATAAAACTGAATATTTTATTTTTAAAGCCATATTTATTTATTATTGCAATATGGAAATATATAAAAAAACCTAGATGCTCTTAAGTCAAGCTTGAGTCATTGTGCCTATCTAGACAACACCACAGAAATGGCTTGTCCCCCTACCACCCTCCAAATAAAGAAGGATTAAACTGTAAGATTCTTTAACAGTTTTTCCCATCCTGGTGTCCTTCAATATGCTGGATTATACACAATATATAACATGTATATGTAAAAGAATCATAGCCCTAAAGTCTCCCTATGAGCAGCTAACTGTTCCTAATAGGAAAATGGAATATCACTGCTATTTAATTACTGAAAATGTTGCAGAGAATGACTGTTCTTTGAAGGAAAAGATCTCCATCTGCATGGGGAAAAGAGCCAAAGCAGTCCTTTTTATGTCACCAGTAACCAGGAGACAATGGATTGTAATATATCGCTAATATATTTTCATCCTCCATTTCATTCAGGAAAACTAATTATCCCTGACATAGAAGAGAAACATGGGAAAGGGTAAAATTTAGGCCAACATTTAAAACTGAATTAATTTTATTTCTATTGTATGTATTTATAGTTTAAGTAGTTATCTGAATTATTGAGATCAGATATGGGTTTTCATTCAGGGAATTTTTAAACAAATGTGCAATTGAAATTATAGGTTTTTCTTTTAGGCTTGATAGTTAAGCAATTTGAGAAAAAACATGGGACTTTGTTTCTATATATGGTAAAAGCTGGGAGACTTTTGTAGGCATAGAAATAGAAGGGTCCAGATTCACACAATTTTATTTATTTATTTATTTTATTTCTACACCGCCCTTCTCCCGAAGGACTCAGGGCGGTGTATAGCCTGATTAAAAGCACAAAGACAGACAAAATTTAAAAATAATTAAAATTATTAAATGATAGGCCCAATTTATAAAACCCCAAATTTAAAATTAATGGATCTTTATGAGATGGCAAAGCTAACTATTCTGATTAAAGCAAAGAACTTGTCTAGCTTTGTTTCTCTGTGGACACTAATCATGGACTTTTTACTTGAATCTGAAAGAAATGAAATTTTAATTTTGGGATTTCGTGACATTTTTATTTTCCTTTCTTTTTTTCTTATTCCTTGCACATTCCTCCCCCTCATTTTTTTTTGTTTTAGTTCCTTTTTTATATTTTATCTTTTGTAGAAAATTTAAAAGTACCGTATTTTCCAGCGTATAAGACGCCTTTTTAACAGATGAAAATCTTCTCAAAAGTCGGGGGTCGTCTTATACGCGGGGTGTCGTTCCCCTGTAACCAGGCAGACCAGCCCGAAAGGCTCTGACGAGCCTTAAATGGCTCTGGCGATCCAAGCTCTGACAATTCCAGCTGCATTGCCTGCTTCCTTTTACATGGTTCTGGCGATCCAAGCCCTGACGATCCAGCAGGCAACGCGGCTGGGATCGCCAGAGCCATGTAAAAGAAAAAAACTATTTTCCTTTTACATGGCTCTGGCGATCCAAGCTCTGACGATCCCAGCTGCGTTGCCTGCTAATCAGACAACACAGCTGGGATCGCCAGAGCCATGTAAAAGGAAAAAAGTTTTCCCCCTCCAGCTTGCCTACCTTAGCTGCTAGTTGCAACGCTTGCCTTGCTTCGCTTGCCTGAATCCATTCCATCAGCAAGCCACTCCCTGCCTGCAATCAAGCAGGCAGGGAGTTGTGGACTTCAACTCCCAGAATTCCTCAGCCAGCAAAACAAAGCTGGCTGAGGAATTCTGGGAGTTGAAGTCTACAAGTCTTAAAGTTGCCAAGGTTGGAGACCCCTGTTCTATTGGGTAAGTTTTTTTCCCCTTTGGGAGTTTTAAAAAAATAGTTAATTGGAGTTTTTTTTATTTGTTCTTTTTTAGACCTAGCCATTTTAAGTTTAGGAAATTTTAAATTTAGTGTTCATATAAAAATAAAAATAAAATAAAATAATATCTGTGCAGCTTTCTGAGATTTAGTGTGTTTCTGTAGTATTTCACTCTAACTACACAAACACACAAAATCTCACAAAGTTGTATGTGGAATTTTGTGTGTGTAAAGTGTGAAAGTTGTTTTTTTGGGCTTTTTGTGGCTGTGTGAGGTTCCTGCTTGTTGCAGGGGCCATTTTGGGTCTAGCACAGCTGCTTTTACATTGTGGTTGAGCCAGTTGTGTTCTGTTGTATGTGTGTAAAGTGTGAAAGTTGTTTTTTTGGGCTTTTTGTGGCTGTGTGAGGTTCCTGCTTGTTGCAGGGGCCATTTTGGGTCTAGCACAGCTGCTTTTACATTGTGGGTGAGCCAGTTGTGTTGTGTTGTGTTGTGTTGTGTTGTGTTGTGTGTGTGTAAAGTGTGAAAGTTTTTTGGGGGGGCTTTTTGTGGCTGTGTGAGGTTCCTGCTTGTTGCAGGGGCCATTTTGGGTCTAGCACAGCTGCTTTTACATTGTGGGTGAGCCAGTTGATGTTTTTTAATTTTTATTTGGTGTGCATTGGAAGAGGGGTAGTCTTATACGGTGAGTATAGCCCAAACCCTATATTTTAACAGGAAAAGTCGGGGGTAGTCTTATACGCCCAGTCGTCTTATACGCCGGAAAATACGGTATATATAATTTATATAATTTTTCCAGTTACCCACTGGAAAAATGCTAATTCTTAATTAGAGTAACCTGAATTTAAAAATAAAATAAACTAAAACAAATCACTTACTTGTAACTGCTACATGCCTGTTTGATTTTCCTTCATCTATAGTATCCATAACTTCGTCTGGACTACATACAAACCGTTCAGTGCAGCCCTGTGAAAATATATTTTAACACAATCAATAATTTTAAAAATTACATCTAAAGAATGCAAGATACATGCTCAAATCTTATACTCACTTTCACATAAGGTACTCGGTTTTTGTCCTCATGAACAGAAAGATTGGTCTTTGAGACTAAAAGGGAAAAAAATTACAATAGTTGATATTTATTTATTAAATAGAGATGCCTAGGACTAAGCATATTCTGTTTTTACTGTAATAGAGAAAATATTTTTGATTCAAAAACAGATTAAACAATAAAAACCATTTCTTGTTACTACTTGGACATACTTATAACTGGAGACATAAGCTATTCTCATTATAGTAACTGTTGGTACAATCATAATTCCCCACAAATACTTCTGGATATATTCAATACTACCTTAATGTTGGTTTGTAGCAATTATTCCATAATGTAATTATTCCTTTATTCGACAAAAGAAGTAGACCTCCACTTAATTAATTGCAAACTTGACATTTATAAAATTTGCTATTAAAATTTATGTCCATTATTGTTTTCCCCCAGTAAATTTTAAATTCCTTAGCCTTCTTTCCTAGAAAAAAATACTATATTCACATGAATTTTACATTTCATACTTTTTTCTAACTGCATTGCTAAGATGAAGTAACAACTATTCAAACTGCAACTTACAATTTATACAATGGCATTACAGTATTCACAACACAGGGTGAGCCTATTCTCTTCAAAATTCTGATTTGTTTTAGCTTTCATTACAAGCCTTTTGTGTTTAACCCAGAGATAGTTCTCACTTAACCACAGTAACTGGGACTAACAACTCTATTTAGTTGTAAAGTGAAACATTACGTGACCACATTGAACTTGCATCAATTCTGCTGCAATCATTAAGCTAATCATACATGTGATCACACGTTATTATGTGAAACATCACATGACAGTGATTTGCAAATTACTGTCAGCTTCTCCATTAAGTTTGCTTGTCGGAAGCCAGCTGTGAAGCTTGCAAATGGCGATTGTCTGACTGTACGAAGCTGCAGCCATCTAAGCTTGAGGACCACTCTTAAAAGTACTTTCCAGCACTGCTGTAAAGTTCAAACAATTGCTAAACATTAAAGTTGTTAACTAAGGACCACCTGTACAAAACAATATTACCTTACTAGCTGGATACCCATTCTTCGCTACGAAACTATGTGATCAGGCTTGACAAATTGACACTTAAAACTTGAAAACTAATGAGTAGTTAAAAAGGCATTATATAATTTCGTTAGAGATGGTAAAATAGGTTTCTGTTACAGATTAAAACATTACTGTAAATATAACAACAATAAAATAGATGGCCTTAAACCCTTTAATCCCATCAGCAACCGTGGCTTTTTTGTCTACGTAGCCAGGCTAATAACTTGCATAGCATAGACTTTCAATTCCTCCCTCAGATGAATTGCTCAGGACTTCTCTGTAAACATTCCTGGTTTTGCTCTCTGGCTGGAGGATGACCAGGCTGTCAGGTGAACTGATTCTGGAGCATGCTGGCAGTTTAGAAGCTGGCCATGGGAGAAACAGTCATTCCTCAGATGCATATGAAGTATGAACCTGTGGACAGTCATTTGTTGGAGTGAGAATAGCTCTTTCCCTCAGCCATGAAGTGCAATCCACTCCAGCCTGATGAATGTTGGGGTATATTCTGTCAGCGAAGCTGATCAGATCTCTCACAACATTGCAAAGGTGACTTGGAATAGTTATTCTTCCTTCCTCTTCCAAAAGCTTGTCATCATCAATTTCAAGTAATAAGTCAGAAAACTCTTCTGCCCTCAAATCACGTTGAAGGTGGACATGCATGTTAACTCTCAAGGACAGGACTTTGACATTAGGCCGTAAGATGGATGACTTGAGACAGGCCTTGACATCATCTGCATGTGTTTCTCGTGGCACAACAGGCAATGTCTGTCTGAAGTCACCAGCCAAAAGTACCATAACTCCACTCATAAGACCCTAATGTCCTGGAGCGTCCTGTTTAGAGCCTCAATACCTATGCAGAAGAAATTTGGTTCACAATCCGTTGCTCAGTGGTGGTCAGTGATTGAAACTCATAAGGGAATATCTCTCCTGCCATCTTGAGTTCGGAAGCAGTTTCATAGGTGGAAGGCGTAGACATTTTGGTGAGGTAGCGACGTTTAGTACTGTAAGGAGCCCAGACCACTCCTGAGTGAAGGACTGGAACGTCTGCCAGTTTGAACTAAGGCAACGAATGCGAGGCAACTGGCATTGAAACAGAGTTCCTTTCAGGTGGGGAGGGGGGGGGGAGAACATCTTAACTCCTAGCATCAGAGCATGTGAATATAATACTGTATACACCTACGATTTGGAACGAGCTCCCCCCGGAGATACGTAGGATCCCGGATCTGCGCACCTTCCACCGCGCGCTTAAGACTTTTCTATTTTATCAAGCTGGCCTGGCCTAAATCTTCCCCCTTTTTAAATGTGGAAATTTTAAATTTTTAAATTTTAAATTCGTCTTATTTATAGGGGTATGGGTAAGGCGTTTTAAATTGGGGAGCCATTTTAGATTTAATTCTGTTTTAAACGTATTTTAATTGTTTATATTGTATGTTTTTTAATTTTTGGCTGTTCACCGCCCCGAGTCCTTCGGGAGAGGGGGCGGTATAAAAATCTAATAAATAAAATAAATAAATAAATAATATGAAATACTAATGATCTGGTGGTCATTTTGAAAAATCCTTTCTTAGTGAGCACCTAGCAGCCAAGATTTCAAGTTTGTAGGCTTTACAGTTCTGGAGATTTTGTAATGAGTGAGTGGTATTTGGCTTTTATATAGAGAGATAAAATGTAATACTAAAATCCTAGGCCTTTTGCCACTAATCACGAATTCGGTGTACTTCTTTTTTATAGGCCAAGCTATAATTCCCCTTATCTGCTTTTTTAATTTGCCTATCCTCATGCTATTATCATATGTCCATCAATGTCTTATTTCTTCATTAGAATCTCCAAACAATTCTCAACTGCGCTAATAGACAATACATTTAAGAGCAAGTTCTATTATGTTTGTTTGCAAGAAAAATACATCTTTTTTTCAAAAGAATATACTCACCATCTAAAAGGTCCCTTATTTTATCCAAATAAATTTCAAAATATGATACCTAAAAGAATGTGGCATGAGAAAACTGTAACTTTTCAATTATGCAAAATGAATATTAAAATAATATACCTATGATTCATTTATAATACAATACAATACAATACAATATTGAATACAATATTCTGAACCATTTTAGTAACTATAGTGTTATAAAGTTCACAAATGTTAAAAATTTAAAATAGCATAATTAAAAACTGGACCTATGACAATAAGAACTTAGAAAATCAAAAATGATTTTTTGCTGCATCTTAGTAAAAATGTCACTAAAGTTAGACATCACTAGGTTATTCAAAATTTGTGAACTCAAATTATATTATGTGTGATAATATGTATGTATAAAATTACTAAAACCCTTCAAACATAAAATACATACTCTTTGCAGTAAAGAAGTACTATTCTCAAATCTCTATGGCATTTCAAACTATAGAAATTTGAAACTGTGAAGATTAATCTTATCCAAGTATCAAATATACTCTTTTAAGGCAAGCAACCATCAATTTTTGGAAGATAGAACTGATTTTTCATTCTTAGATCCAAGAATACTTTCCGATTGACTTTTAATACTGCGCTTGCTTTAGTAAAGTTTAGTAAAGCATGGTAAGAAAGTAAACTTTGGTCTGTATCTAACTTCAAACTAAATGACTTTAGGTTTGCACAATGGGAAATTGGATTGCTCTTACAATAGGAAATCTCCTGTACTCTATGTACCTCCAAATTATTTCAGAGGGCTCTCAACCCTTCAAAAGCAACTCTGGATTCTCTTTATTCTTGCTATCCATCTAAAGGGCCACAGAGACGACTATTCAATGCATCTAACAGAATCTGCTCTGAGCCAATCTAAACATTCTTAAAGTTTAAACCCATAAAGTTCTTAGGAACTTGACTGAAGCATAGTCTGATCTGGCAGTTTGAGGAGAGTTTGAGCCTGCTGCTCTCAATATAGTGTACAGTGTTACTGGCTCTGTAAAGACTGTCCATATCATGTCCTTCTAACTGGCCACAGATACAGTAAAATCATTCTTGGATAAAGGGTGGTCCCATCTTTGATTAAGAAGATAGTGTATTCCAGGGGTGGACTGCTGGGGATTTGCAGGGATTCAGAATCTCTAGCTAAGATTCTGTGCAGTTTGGAGAACCCCCAAATTCCACTCATGGCTGGCTCTGCCACCCCACCCCTCCCAGTAGTCCTCATGCGGCCCATTTTGGATGCAGGTAAGTGTAGGGCGCGTGCAGAGGCTCAGGAAGGGTGAAAAACGGTCCTACTGGAAGTTTGGGAAGGCCAGAAATGGGCCTGTTTTCGGCCTCCATAGGCCCTCCAGAGCCTGAGGAGACTGTTTTCACCCTCCCGGAGGCTCGAAAAAAGCCTCCAGAGCCTGGAAGGGCAAAACAACCCCCCCCCCACCATGGTGCAGGAGGCCAACTAGGCCACGCCCACTCAGCAACCGGGCAGAGAAACCCTTGCTAAAATTTTTGAAGCCCACCACCAGTGTATTCCCTTCTCAAGAAGCCATTGCTGGACATAACATTACTGGACAATTTTCATTAGGTCTCCAATCTGCCCTTTTTGAGGGAAGGCTGTTGTGAACATGGTTAGATTCAGTTTTGGAGGGGCAATGGAGGAAGTGGATAATCTGGAACTTTCTCAATTGGATTCCAGATCAATTTACAGTACTTACAAATTGCATCTAAAAGAATTAGGATTGTAGTAGCACATCCATCCTGATTATTCTTAGTATCTCAACAGTTCTCAATACCAGCAATCATGGTGGACTTCTGGACCAGTTTAGGGGTTTAGAAGTATTGGGATGGTCCTTTCTTCATGTGGGGTTGGTTCCAGTTGGGTGTTAGGGCAGAGATAACTAATCATAATCTAGATTATGAAATAATACATTAAAGATCTGCTTATTCTCTAAGACCTTAAGCCAGGGCACTCTCTGAATTGAACTGGGAAGATATATGAGTGGCCTCAGATGTGGTATTTCTTTAATTTTTATTTTCATAGCTTTTATCTGTTGTTTTTACAATATGCTAGTCATCCAGTTTCATAGGTACACATTGATATAAATAAAATGAATGAATAAATTACCTTAATATGAAATTCCAAATTTTCATCCATGGAATAAATATAATTAAATATATCTTGCACTATTCTTGGAATAATCCCCATTCCATCTGGATCATGCAACTTCCCCTTAAAATAAAAATAAATGTAATTATTGTCAAGTTTGCATATTTAAACTGAAAAAAATGAACAGGATTTTTGAAAAACTATATTCAGTCATTTTATAATTCATAATTCAGATAGTCACTAATGCACTAATGTCTCCTCATAGCTTGACCACTGCAATGTATTCTACATGTGATTACCCTTGAAAACCAACTGGAAACTTCAACTAATCCAGAATGCAGAATTCAGAAACATGGGTAGCGACAGGCATTGTTAAGTTCGGATCGTGGGAAGAAGAGAAGGACTCCAGAACTTCTATCTCCAAGTTTAATCAAGTCATCTCCAAATCAGAACTGCTGGCTCGGCAGCCGCGGCTTGACTTTTTAAAGCCCTTCGGCTTTGCCAGCCGGCCACTGACAGCAGTTTAATTTTCCCACCGCAGATTCCAACCAATCCGTGGCGGCCATGCAAATTCCTGCGTACATCCATACGTAACACCCCTCCCCTCCTAGCTGAAAGATTGTCCAATCTGTGACCGATGTATGTGACGTAGTCACACAGGTAGGTGGGGCATCAGTTTGTCCGACTGGGCCTGCACAGCTCATTTGTTCCTGGGACTCCAGCCAGCTTGGCTGGTCCTGTTGCTGCTCCGGCTGACTGCGATGGAACCTCTTGGAACTCTTCGCTGCGCATGGTGGGTTCTGGCCTCACTTCCTCGCTTTCTGGCCCTGGACTGCCTATTGTGCTTTCACCTGATTCTGGTAAGTCACCGATACTGACTCTCAGGCTTGAGTTTAGTGTAACAGGTGTGTGAGTATATAGGCTGATGTATCATCATTGGTGTTTTCCAGCTCCAGTGTGTGTGCTCCCTGGGGCAGGGACTTCGGTTCGTTCCTCGTTATTTTCCCTCCCTCCGGATCTTAACTGGGATTCTCCCCACCTTTCCCAGAGTTGGTCAATGTGCCTTCTCCATATTTTACCATCCTCCAACTCCACCCTATATGACTTGGGGCCTGTAACTGCAACTACCCTAGCTTTTATCCACGTAGGGTGCCCTGCGTAGTTATGAGCAAATACCAAATCATCTACATTGAAATTCCTTTCGGGTTTAGCTGAATTGAGGGGGGTTTCCAGGTGGTACTCTGGGTGTAACTGGTCCAACCGGGACCGAAGCTTCCTACCCATTAACATCTCTGCTGGGCTCCTATGGGTGGCTGAACTGGGAGTTATATGCTGAGCGAGGAGGAACTTGTCAATTTTCTCCTGCCAGTTCCCAGGGCCCATCCTGGTGAGGGTCTCTTTAGTGAGTCTCACCATCCATTCAGTTTGCCCGTTCTCCGCTGGACAAAAAGGTGCCACTAAGGCATGTTTTATCCCTAATTCAGCCAAGAATACGTCCATAGCCTTGTCTGTCAGTTGTGTCCCATTATCCGATACTAACACATTGGGTAGTCCATGTGTTGCAAACAACCTTCTTAAAGCCCAGATGGTAGCCTCTGTTGTCATTGACGGCATTAAAATTACCTCTAGCCACTTCGAATATGCATCAATGACAATTAGAAATGTCTGTCCCCCCCCCCGGGTCCCGCAAAGTCTATGTGTATCCGTGACCACGGGCCTTTGGGTGCCTCCCACTCCCTTGGAGTTGTGCTGGGGGGGGGCGCGCCAGTTTTGTCTCCTGGCAGGGTGTGCATGTCACCACCCACTCCGTAATGTCTTTATCGATTTGGGGCCACTAGAGGTAGCTCCGGGCGAGTGCTTTCATGTGCACGATCCCAGGATGCCCTGCATGCAATATCTCTAGTACTTGTCATCTCAGGCTTTTCAGCACGACCTCTCTCTCCCCCAATAGGCACCCCCTGATTGCCGATAACTCTGTCCTCTTATTTTCAAATGTTTTCAACTCCTCTCCTACCGTTCCCTGTGGCCACCCCCTCAATACCCAGTTCAGAACCTTGGCTAGCGTTATGTCCCTTCTGGTTTGATCTGCGATCTCGTTCGTGGTGGTTGGGCTGGCAGGGTCGACATCGATCAGGAATACTTGTGTGGCCCGTGCTGGATCCTCCACTAGTTCTGATGTTGGGCATCTGCTGAGGCCATCTGCGTTGCCGATGCTGGCACCTGGGCGATGAATCAGAGTGTAGTTGTAACCGGTGAGGAAAATGGACCATCTCGTCATTCGGGGTGCCATGAAGTTCGGGGTTTGCTTGTCCCCTGCGAGCAGTCCCAGAAGGGACTGTGGTCCGTTATTAGCTAAAAATGTCAGCCATATAAGTATTCGTGGAAGCGCTTGACCCCGGCCACTAGTGCCAGCGCTTCCTTGTCCAACTGGCTGTAGTTCCTTTCGGCCGGGGACAATGTTTTGGAATAGAATGTTATGGGGGCTTCTGCCCCATTAGGCAATTGATGACTGAGAATGGCTCCAACTCCGAAGGGGGAAGCGTCACATGTTAGTAGCAGTGGGAGGGTTTCCGTGTATTGTATGAGGACGCTGTCCTAGGATAGCAGCCGTTTAATAGCAGTGAAAGCGTTGTCTTCCTGTTGGCCCCACTTCCAGGCGGTCATCTTCCCGAGGAGGTTGTGGAGCGGTTCAGCAACTGTTGTCTTTTGAAAATGCCATAAGAGTTCAATAACCCAAGGAAAGCTTGTAATTCTGCCTTGTTTGGGTGGGTGTGGGGGCTTCTCTTATTGCCTTCACCTTGCTGTCTGTGGGGTGGATGCCGTCCCCATCAATGAGGTATCCTAGGAATTCGATTTGCTTCACCCCAAACTTGCATTTTTCTCTTTTTACCTTGAGTCCCCTTTCCTGGAACCTTTTCAGGGTTTCCCTTACTCTGCTCATGAGTTGTCCCATTGTCTCCCCCGAGATTAACACGTCGTCAAAGTAGGGAACGACTCCCAGGATGCTTTGCAGGAGTCACTCCATAAGACTTTGAAACAGCCCTGGAGCCACACTAACTTGCAGTCGATTGCATTTGAATGCCCCCCTGTGCGTCACAATCGTTTGTGCCTCCGCCGTAGCTGCATCCACTGACAATTGTTGGTATGCTTGGGCAAGACCCCTGCAAAAACCCTGCCTTTTCCTAATGAATGCAGGAGATGTTGCATCACAGGCATGGGATAAGCGCTTTGCTGTAATGCTTTGTTTAGCGTGCACTTATAGTCAGCACATATCCTGATGGACCCATCTGGCTTAACTGGGGTCACGATTGGGGTTTCCCACGTGGCATGGTCTACTGGCTCGAGTATCCCCTGAGCAATTAGTTTATCTAATTGCTCATCTACCTTATGCCTGAGAGCAAATGCTTAAGCCTTATTGGGTTTACCCTGGGGTCTAGGCTAAACGATATGGGTTTCCCGGTGTATTTACCTAGGCTTCCATCGAACACATCCTGAAATTAGTTCAGCAGCTGGTCCAGTTCGTCTCCTTTGATCCTGTGCAGCCCGGTGATGCCTACCCCACGATTTTTCTCTTTTTTTATATAATTTTTTTTTATTGTTTTTAAAACAAAAACATAAAACACATCTTTTCAAAACGAAGCTTCCGGTCACAAATTAATACCAATCACTAACAAATCTTAATTTTCAATTAACACAATTTAATATTTTACACAAATATTTCCCTCAGATCTGTCTATTTAACTATGCCATTATCCCCCAAAACCCGTTACTTAAATCTTAAATCCTAACCAATTATCATTCCATTTTTTTCTTTCATTTGCTTAAATGGATACATTTTAACAATATAAATCATACAATTATGATAAACATTCATAAAGTATTTAATTTCAACATACTCGTTTTATTTTTACTATTAAACTCAAAATTTATACTCTTTATTTCTATTATTAAACCTAACTTATTCATTTTATTTTAACTGTCATTCTCAGCATACACCTCACTTTAATTATCCTACCTCATTTTATATTTTGCTAAAAACCCAACATTGTTATCTTTATCTTTGTTATTAAACCAATCATTTTTATTTCTTGGCTGTTAAACACAGCATAACCATTTTGTTTTTGGCTGTTGAACACAGCATACCCATTTTTATTTTTTGGCCGTTACACAGCATATTCAGTTTTGTTTTGGCTGTTACACAGCATAGCCATTTTATTTGGTTGTTCAACACAGCATATTCATTTTTTATTTTATTTTTATTTATATGCCGCCCTTCTCCAGAGACTCAGGGCAGTTTACAAAGCGTTAAGCAATAGCCTTCATACTTTTGTATATTTATACAAAGACAGCTTATTGCCCCCACAAACTGGGTTCTCAATTTACCTACCTTAGAAAGGATGGAAGGCTGAGTCAACCTTGACCCTGGCGGGATTCGATCTTACTTTAATTGCAGACAGCTGGTGTTAAATTACAGAGTTCTGTCTGTTGAGCTATTCAGGCTCCTGAAATTTTTGTTTTCTGGCTGTTACACAGCATATCTGTTTTTACTTTTTGGCTGTTAAACACAGCATATTCATAGTTGGTTTAACTATTGATCTCTAATTAATCCTTTCTTTGTTGTTTCCATCCATCTATGCATTGCTTATTTTCACTTAATCATATTTATCTTTGTCCTTTTTCATGACATTCATGACAATTTAACATTGAGACATGGTTCTTGCTTCAAACATACCTTTACATATATTTATTAATTCCTTTTAACATTCTTAGTTTCTAAAGAAACCTCCCTTTTATTATTACAAGCCACCTTTACTTTGTTTTATTTTTGATCACATTATCTCCATTTCCTCGCCTGCAAACATATATTTCCTTCCATTTTCCAAGTTTTTAATTTTGTTCTCCATAAATCAGATTAATTCTCTTTCTTATTTTTATTCCGGATATAATGTATCAAATCTCTTTCTTTTGAGCCTGCGCTTAATCCTTCTTCTGTTCCTGCGCCAGTATTTGAGTTATTATTTCAACTATAGGAGTTCCGTTGTAGATTCCTTTTCTTTTCACCAAGATCAAGCTACCTGCAGACAGGGAAAAAAAAATCCTCCTCCACAAAATTCATTAACTTTTATCTGTAGAGCTCAGAATTTCCCATAACAAAGAGAAGTTACATAGTTCCTCTTTAGGCCAGATGGTATCTCTCTATAATCCATATTTTCCATTAGTTATGCAAGATTCCATTTTGCTATTATATAACCATCCAATTTATTTCTTCTTCTTTTAATTTAAAAAGTATCAAATCATCTTTTTTTTTCTTTTTAAAATCCAATTCAAGTTTTAAAGTGTTTAGTCTTTTTACCATATCTCCATGATTAATTCCCTTAGTTCTGTTCCAAAATTAGTTGTTTCTCGGGTCTTTGTGCCTTTAAGGTTGCAGTTTAAAATTTTTCCAAAATCCCTTTGTTGCATAGCCGCTGTTTTAGGCTAGGGGTCTTCTAAATATTAATATTGCTCCAAACGTCATCGCAAGCCTGGATTGTTGTCACTCACCTGGCTTCAAAGAGTTCTGTTTTACTCCGCTTTCCTCCAGCACTTTTCTTAGCCTGGTTGTCCCAGCTTCGTGGCAGCCGCCATGGCTGCCGCCCCCCACCGCCGACTCACAGAGGGTTCTCTTTGACCTCCGAGAAACTTGCCTGTTCCTCTCGGTCATCCGAGGTGCCCCTATTTCTTACCCGTCCCTACAGGATGGTTCCGGTCCGAAGACCCATTGGCGGCGACCCATCATGGGGCTCGTCTGAGCCCACTATTTCCCTGACTGTCTCACAGCGACGCCAAACCGGAAATCCCCCCTAGCCCCAAGGGTTTGAACCACTCTACCCCAAGCAATGTGGGCCGGTCACTTTTGACCACCGTTAACGTAAGATGGCTGTGAAACTCTCAGAAAGCGACTCTGACCTGTGCTCTTCCCAGGACTCGGATTGAGTTTCCCTTGTAATCATTTAGTTGTACGTGTTGGGGTTTCAGCTCATTCCCTGGAAACTTTGGGTTTAGCCGCTTCAGGGTTGCCCACAACATGATGGTGAAAAACGATCCCGTGTCCAATTCCATGTCGCATGACCTCCCTTCTATGGTGAGCCTTACGTGTAATTTGACCCCGTCACATGCGTCCAAGTGTCCTACTGTAGTCTGATTGATGCCTCTACATTCCAAGTATCTTTCTTCGCGGTGACGGTCCCTGGGCTTCCCTGGCTTCCGGGCGTCTACCCGCGGTCTCAACTGGGCTGGGATTGGTTGGGTCGCTCTACATGCCTCGGCTATATGTCCCTTCCGTTGGCACTGGCGGCAGATGGTATCTTTGAACCTGCACGCCACCCGGGGGTGAAAACCTATGCACCCGGCGCAGCGAGGTGCCTCAGGATCATTGTCCCGGGGGCTTACCTGACGGTCTGGGTAGACTCAATGGACGGCCTCGTCGGGGTCTTCTTCGTCCTTGCCTTCTGTGTATTCAGTCGGGTCCTCTCTCTCTCGCCGGGCATGGTAGACTCCGCTATTCCGGCGGATGTCAGCGGCGGAGTTGTCTGATGACTCTGCAGCACAGGCTTCCTCCACAGCAATCTCGAAATCCACTCTCCGCCTCACCAGCAATTTCTTTTGGAGGTTGGTGTCATGCCCAGTATGATGCAGTCCCTCATCATTTCCTCTGGGTTTATGAATTTACATTTGGCTGCTAGCTCTCTCAGGCTGCCCATGAAATCATTGATGGTCTCACCCTCTCTCTGGTGCCATCGGTAGAACTCGTTCCTGCTGACCATGGGTGTTGCCGCTGGTGCATAGTGGTCGCGGAGTGTATTCTGCAGCGTTATCCAGGAGATGGATTCGATGTCGGCGAGTGAGACAAGCGTCTGGGCCATCTTGAATACCTTGGTCCCACAGTAGGTCAGGAATAGAGCCCGTTTTCGATTGTCGGGGAGATCCTGGTAGTTGTTCGCCTCCATGTACATACGGAATCGGCACATGTATGTGTGCCATTCCTCCGAACGTGGGTCAAAAATAGCGGGAGCTTGCAATGGCAGCCATTGACAGCCATTGTCCGATGCAGCATCCTGCTGTGTAATGGCCGCGGTGCCACGTGGTGAGAGTCAGTTCTTTGTCCTGCTTCTTCTCCGGATCCCACCTTCGTCGCCAGTGTTAAGTTTGGATCGCGGGAAGAAGAGACAAACTCCAGAACTTCTATCTCCAAGTTTAATCAGGTCATCTCTGAATCAGAACTGCTGGCTCGGCAGCCGCGGCTTGACTTTTTAAAGCCTTTTGGCTTGCCGGCCGGCCACTGACAGCAGTTTAATTTTCCCGCCGCGAATTCAAACCAATCCGCAGCAGCCATGCAAATTCCTGCGTACGTCCGTACGTAACAGGCATGCTTTGATGTGTCCTTGTAACACCTCTGCTTCACTAGCTATGTGGTTGCTAGTTTGTTTCCTCTGTGATTCAAGTTGCTGCTTGCTAGCTGTAAAGTCCAATGTAACATAGGACTTCCTGACTTGAGGAACTACCTGTCTCTTATAGTGCCTGCCTGGCTGATCCCATCTGATCTCTGAATGCCTTCTATTAAACATTTTGTGACCAGGAAACACACATTCTCTCTATCAGCATTTGCACTCTAGAATGACTTTCAAATGGCCCCCATTTGCTCATGGTTCTTTGAAACCTGCTTTGGATTGTTGGGGTTGTTTTTCTTTATTTCATCTGCTTTGTAACTTTTGTCATCTTACCTCCTTTTTTGTTGTCACTTACTTATTTTTAAATTTTTTTAACAATATGTAAATCACACAGAGTAACCAATGATCAGCATACATATAAATTTAATAAGTTATTAATTGCTATTATTATAAGAAAAATGTACAGGCATGATCTAATCACTAACCCACTAATTTCAACTCTGAGAAATTACTACCTGTTTTATTTTTTCCACTGAAATTGATGGAATGTAATACAATTTACCAAATTATCATTACACTGTATAGAGGTAATCCTTGCTTAACAACAGTAATTGGGACAGTAAAATCTGTTGCTAAGTGATCAGATCATAAAATATGATGCCACATAATGGCATCACTTAGTGGTTGCAATCCTGGTATACCTGTTGACATTGTTAAGTGAGAATCAAGGATCATTAAGCAAGGATCTGCTTGGGACAAGGATCTGTTAGCTTCCAAAGACCAAAGTCAGTGGAGAAACTAGGAGGAAGTCCCAGGCAGCTTACAAGTAGGCCAGAGGGCTGGTAAGTGGCTGTTGCAGTGTGAGCATGACTAGGTGTGGTAGGTTCTTCAGTCAGTGGGAATGCACATAGATAGTTGCTCCAGCCTGGTACAACTACAAATAGATGCAGAGTGGGTGCTCTGAAGGATGGGAAAACATGTAGATGGTGCAATTCAACGCAATTCAATGCAAGCACAATCAGACATTGGGTGATCGAAACAGGTGGCTGGAGACTGGAACAAGTGTGGCCAGGAGGTATGGTCCATGGAGTGCAGCAGAGTACATGGAAAAGTGGTGGGAATGACTTACAGGAACAATTTGCTGACTTCCACATTGACTTTGTTTGGCAATCACGAGACTACATGGCACTGCAACTGTTTAAGCGTGAGCTAGTTGCCTGTGTTGATCATATGACTGTGGGGAGAGCTAAAATGGCCAGAAATTCAAGGACTGACAGAAAGTATCACTAATTTAATGTCACTGTAACTTTGAACAACTACTGAACAAGTGGACGTTAACTAAGGACTACCTATATCTTCCTTCATTGTGTTCCCAGCTATCAGCAACTAAGCTGCTATGTTTGCTCTGCCATCATTTAAATTTAAAGTAAACATTTAAGTCAGGGGTCCTCAAATTTTTTAAATAGGGAGCCAATTCACGGTCCCTCAGACTGTTGGGGGGGGGCAGACTGGCTGGGTTGGTGTGGCTAGGTGGTCATGTGACTGGGTGGGGCATGGTTAGATGGTCATGTGACTGGATGAGTGTGGCCAATTTAGCAGTCCATTAAACAATGCACACAAATTAAACTTTAATACCTGGGGGTATTTTATTTGCTTTTGTTTGCATGTTGCTCTTTTGGTTGCCTTTTCTTTTTACTAGATAGTTTTTTCAGTTGTTTAGGAGTCTAGAGGTCCACTTCAGGAACCTCAGTTTTGCAGCAATTCTTCTCAGCCCCAAGGAGCTTACAAGTCTGTCTGTCTGTCTTTGTGTGTGTCTTTTCTCTCTGTCTCTTTCTCTCTCATCTCTGTCTCTTTCCCTCCCTCTCTCTGTCTATTTCTCTCTCTGTGTGTCTATCTTCTGGAGGTGGGGGATCTTACTTTTTTGTTGTATTTTATGGAGTGCTATATGTTATACACTTACTACTTTCTTAAAATATAGTAATATTGTATTGCTAACTCGATAAACAGAAATATTCCCTAGAAATAATTATATTAATGCTTACAATTGTCTACAAATTTTCTACTACATAATTTTATTAAGAAATACCTTGCTGAGCTATAACTATTTTCATTTATTTCTACAATTATTGCTAGTTTGCCTTTATTTGGGTCATTCACTAAATACAGTTTGATATGTACAGAGAAGTATACACCAAGTAACATATTTAACAATATCTTACCTCCATAGTGTGAGTTTTCCCAGACGATGTTTGTCCATAAGCAAATATTGTACCATTGTATCCTTCAAGTACATCTATGGTAGAAAGAATATACATTAATAATAGATTCCATAGTAGCTTAATGCAAAGCACTGTACTTTGAAATCAATGTTCTTCTTTGAAAGATTCATAAAATTTTGCTCTAGAGAGTTCAGTTCACTTGTATGCAATAAAAATGTCTAATAAAACAAGACAGTTGCGGAAAAAAGGAAGATCAGATATTTGATCTGGGCAAATATTTAACTTCTTGGCAGCTCAGGAGTTTCAGTGCATATTACGGTATCTCCCTAGCAGACTATCTATTATTTAATCTAAGCATTAAGAAAGGTGTATACTTAACCCCATCCTTAAGCATTCATTAGGTGCCAGGGACTTTCTTCCTAAATATGGCATGGCTGAATTATAGTGGTTCCATATGTTCCATAAAAAGAAACTACTGGACAAAATCTTTGCAATATTGCCCTTGCATACTTGCTGCTACTGCTGCTGCTGCTTTCTCAGATATGGTTTTAATTTTTACTTCTTATTCACCAGCAACACAATCTTTAGTGAAACAAGGAAACAACCACTATACATTCTCAGTTCTCTTTCAACCTCACCTGTCTCTCATTTCCATTTCGTTTGCTCATATTCCCATCTTTATGTCTTTGATTATTCTCTCAGTAGCAAGCGGCAGCAAGAAGCAAGTATAATGCTTCCCACACTTTGAGTTTACGACAGTTAATAAATAACATTCAATAAGCTTAATAGGAGATAAAGAATAGTTAAGAGGTGGTTTGTTTTTAATGATCTAAGGATAACTGGGAGGAAGAGAGTGTATGTTGCAGTATGTGGAAATAAAAAAATGTGCACATGGTTTTCTATCTAATAGTTAATTGCAATGCATGAGAAAAATCAGTTTGAATCAATACCTATTTAATTACTATTATAAATTTGAATTTATTTCATAAATTTTGGAATGGGTTTCTTGGCATATTTCTGAAAGATATATGAAAAAAAATATCTCCCCGTTCAGACATTAGACTGAATTTTAACTCTGTATCAGATTTAAAGAACAAATTAATTTTTGAACCCAAATTACATTGTTTGGTCTTGATACTAAATTAAGTATATTAAATTTAAAATGCAAAACAGGTTATAAGACTACAAAACTACACCTGAGACTCACATATTTTGTTATTATTTAAGTAAAGTTATCTCCTCTTACCTTTAACAATCTTTTTAGCACAATCATTATATACTTGTTCTTGGGATGTGTGTGACTGGAATACATGATCAAATGCATAAGGCCTAGTCTGGAAAAAATAAACATAAAAGTAAAGTTTTAAATTTAGAACAATCTTTTGGTATTCCAATTAATTTTGGATCATAGGTCACATTGTATGCCTCTAATGTTTGTTAACAAAAAAATTTTTTTTTCTAAACCTCATACAGTTCCTTGAAAAGACTAATTTCCTTAGTTAGTTTTGCTTTTATCCTTGAGTTCCAAAGTGAATCTGTCCATTTCTGCACAGTTAAAGATTTTTTCTTTCAAGTTGCACATTTATTTTATTATTAGACTTCTGAATCACCCATCTGGTCAATTAAATGATACTGAAACTGATTTAAAAATGCCAGCAAAAGAAGATTTTCAAGGTTAATTTTATCCAATGCTTGAGAGTATATTAGTTTTAATAAATATATATGCATGACTGTCCAGCAGATTTTTCAGAAAACATTGAAAGCAATGATTTAACCATTAAAACTGGTCTAACATGTCTTTGAAAATGTTAGAAAAAATACAGGGATCCAATATAACTAAACTAAACTAAACTAATTTTAACTTTGAATAATTTGATTATTTCATCTCATTTTGATGACAGTCAGCTTTGGCCTAGTGGTTAACACCAGGTTAGAAAACAGAAGACCATAAGTTCAAGTCCTGAAAGCCAGATGGATGACCTTTGATCAGTCACACTCTTTCAGCCCAACTCACCTCACAGAGTTGTTGTTGTTGTAGAGAAAATAGGAGGAAGAAAATGCATTGGATATGTTCACTGCCTTGAGTTATTTGTAAAAATAATAAAGGCGGGATATAAATAAATATTATTTTTTCTTGTGTTTATCAAGATTTTTCAAATGCAATGCAGCTCTTATTAATTTTTCTTCCATTGAAAGGAACAAATAAAATACTGAAATGATAAATATATATTTTATAGTTTCTAGAAATATTTTCTAGTTGAAATATTGCTGTTTCCCTCACTAGATTGAAACCAGGGTGGATAAAAATCAATCATTTTTTTAAAAAATAAAAAAAATCAGATTTTTTTTATTTAAATCAGATTTTTTTTATTTAAATCGATTTTTTTTTATTTAAATTAGTTTTTATTTTTTATCGAATTTATTTTAATAAAAAACAAATCTATCGTAAGATAGTTTTCTATTTAAGATACATAAATAATTTACTTTATTCAGCATGAAATGGAGCTTAGTTATGTAGCATGAGGCTGTATATTCTGCAACACTGGGACTATCGGTGAGTCAACAGTGGGTCAAAGGAGTAGCAGAGATGACAGTTGCTCTTTAAAAATTATGATTTAAATCGAGTTAATTTAAATCAAGCCTTTTTACTAGTGATTTAAATCAAGATTTAAATTGTGATTTAAATCAACTCGATTTAAATTAAATCCACCCTGATTGAAATATAAAAGTACTGGGTGCTAAAGTAATAAACAGTGTAAAGACTATAAAAATAGTAATCAAAAATATATTAAAATGAGCTTTTTAAGAATTGTAATACACTGTACTAATGCTAAATTAATAACAAATCAGAATCATCTGTTTTTAATGTCTAAAGATTGTCAGTATACTCAACACTCTTAAAGAGTTAAGCAAAGAGATATGAAATGATCTTTCATAATTCTATAAAGTACTAACTAGGATTGATTTCAATAGGCTACTTCAAGAAATATGGTAATACTTTCAGAAACTGCATCATTTCCAACTTGGTAAGAAAAGGTAAGTTTAACAGCCACATAGCTTTTGGTTCAAAATCATTTTTTATATTCTTCTCACATATTAAGAATACACTAATTCTTTTATTAACTTTGTTAAAAGTGTTTTATATAAGTCTCTACAAGGCTGATTTCACAAAAACCACCATATTCTTAAAAAATATTGAAATCTGTTTCATACTAGTATAGCAAAATAGCAAAAAACAAGTAGCATTAATTCTGAAGAGAATAAAAAATGTAGTTTACTGATTTTTGAATATAAATTTATCTCGTGTATTAGAGCTTTCTAATTTCTAGAGAAAATTGTTGTTTCTAATCATTACAAATTTATAAACAAGAACTTCCATTTTGTTTTAATTAAAACACTTTACAAGTCAAAAAAAATTAGATTTAGAGATGTATAAGGAATATTAAAGAAAAGTTTATCATTATATTCATTGTTGGTTTCAATTACAATTTAAACCCATAGGACAGAAGGCCTGTCTAGTGCAGGCATGGTGAGAAGGTGAAAAAAATGCTGCTACTTTAAGATATCTTTATACAATACTCATTTATTCATTAAAGAGATGTGCTATGCTCATATAATATCCAAAGTTATTGTTCCTTAAAAATTCGAATGGATGCGTAACGCTGGTATTAATTTAACTTACAATAACTTTATTAAAATTATGTAGTAAACTTTGCTTATGATATAAATTTCCTGATCTAATGACATCATGTGAATTGACAATCAAAGATTTCTTGATTATTAATCCTGACTGCTGTAATTTCTTTTGGCATTAGATCAACATGCCTTTCACACCAGTTGTAAGGAACAATGGGATGTATAACCGTTCACATGTTCTGTTTATAGACTTCCCATAGGTATTTGGTTAACTGTTTTGAGAAAATATTGGGTTGCAGCTTTTAATCTGAACAAATACGACTTCATTTTTTTAGGAACTACCTGCTTATTCTGACACAATGTTGAATTCACACAATAATGATAAACTTTTCAGCTGATTTACCCAGCATGCAGCATGTGTCCATGTTTTGCAGAAATCTCATGAAAAAAATCCATTCATCTCATCAGATTTTGGAATCGCTGAAAAGCAGCCATAAAAAACAAAACAAAAAACACCCAGGCATCTGCCAGAAGATTTAAGGGTGTGGCATCAAAAATAATTGTTCATTATAAGGTCAAATAAAAACTGTGGATGTCCATAAATTATGAAATAAAAAAATCCATGCAGCAAATTTTAAACAATTCTGAAGGTAAGTTCATACAAAGACTTCTAGCCTGTCTATCAGAAATCTTTATCTCTCTGTGTGTACCTGATATGGATGCATTGCACATAAAGCACAAATAATATGTCCCACCTTAAGCATTAAAGCTGGCTGGGTGATTTTGGGACAATCAGTGGCATTTAGCCCAACTCTCATCACAGGGATGTTGTTGTGCCTTGAATTGTTTATAATAATAATAAAGGGATAAACAAATATCTAAAATAAAAATAATGTGCTGTGCAAAATAATTAGCAGTCCTGAATAATTTAAAAACTAAGCACCAACAAATCTTTATATTATAGCCCAACATCACATACCTTGAGAAATTGGAAACATTTCATTATTGAACCCATCACAAATGTTACATATCTGAATTAGCTTTTTAGAACTAACATAACAAGTATTAGCAAAATGTATATATCGTAGAAACATTCTGCTTCTGTAACTTCAGTAAATTTCAGTATGTGAAATTTGCTTTTAAAGTTAAGTTATATTTTATATTAAACACAGAAATGTGTTAGAGAAACATAGATATGCCCTCCTTAATTAACTGCTTGCTTGCAACAGGTAGTCTATATTTCAACATCCCTCAAAGCAACCTTATTCCATACAGCAAGTTAACAGTTTGTTAGGTCTCAGACAGGATTTATTTTCACTTCCTTCTTAACTCCTCCTCAAGTACAATTGTAGTTTATTCACAATAACACCAGAGTAGACTGAACCAATAAAGAAAAGACAAAAAGATGTGATAGCCAACGCAAATATCTAAAACAAACAAAAAGAAAACCTTGCTGGGAAATTAATATATATACTATATTTCCAAAACAGTTTTTATTGAAAGATTTTAAATACATAAGAACTGCAATAAAAAAAATAGTAAATGTGAAAAAGAAAAAATGGAGTTAGAAAAAAAGACAAAGGAGTTAGAAAAAAATTTAAAACATTTTAGATATCGATTACAATCTTCATCTGGGCAGTTATACATACAATTCTAATCAACTTTTTCTAAGATTATATCATAATTCCCTTCTATGACTTTTTTTAATATGCATGCTGTAAATATTGAGCCTTAGAGGAAAAAATATTCTAATATGTATAATTCTGTGACACTTGCAAGCTTTATATATCAAAAAAATTTCTCTATTTTTTACATAATGCATATGGCCAAATTGCTTTTTGTGCCAAATATAGCCATTCTAGACAAAGATGGCATACCTCAAATTATTCAATTCTTATAGCTCCAAAGTCAGATCTGGTAATGTAATGTATACAGGCCTACTTCTGAAAACTGCCAAAGAATTAATTCAAAGTGTAATTTTTATATTGATAGACTAGGACCATAATTATGAAAAATATGGAAAATATGGAAGAAAACGAAAAGGTTTTTTTCAAACCACTTGAGAAAAATAAGGTTTTTTTAATTATTTCTCCTTATTTCCCCAAGGTCTTCAAAGCTGTTTATGATTTGCAGCATATCTTCATTTCTTAAAGAACCTGTACTTCCTCCTCCACCATTTCCAAGCACAGTTCAGAATGGTATCAGTTTTCAAAATCTTTTAAAGCTTAAGACAAAGATACCAAAACAATCTTATTACTTCTCCAAGTGAAAGAAACTGTTCTGGAACTTTTAAAACGAATCCTGCAACATGTCTTTAAATATGTGGCTATTTCAGCTCCAGCTACTGCTCAGTAGTAATGAGGAGTAATTATTACAATGGAGGTAAATTTATAACAAATAAAACCATTTAGGTTAGGGAAGGTTGCCATAAAGAAATGATGCGTCATACTTTGCACTGAGTAAATCTGAATTGAATAAAATAAACTCAAAGGAAAATCTTTTCAGTAGCTTCACCAGAAATTCGTCTCTGAAATGTTCTTCCTGGGAGACCTCTTGGATCCAATACTCCTTTTTTTCATATTTCCTTAGATTTCTAAGGAACTTTTCAAATGCTGGGCAGATTTTTTTTTTATGCTATGCAAATCACTTACACAAGTTTTATTTGGATACCAAGACCAATCTACCATATTTTTTGGTGTATAAGATGCATTTCCCCCCCCCAAAAAAATGGGTGGAAATTTCTGTGCGTCTTATAGAGCAAATGTTGCTGAAGCCCCGCCCACTCACTGGCCCCCGCTCTTCAACCTCTCTCTCGCAGCAATTTGCCTCCTTATTTATTATTTATATCTATCTATGTATCTATCTATCTATCTATCTATCAAATTTCTATACCGCCCTACTCCCGGGGGACTCAGGGCGGTAAACAGCCAAGATAAAATACAGATAATACAAACATTAAAAGTCCATTAAAATTATTAAATATTTTGGCCAAAAACAAATTTAAAACACCCAATTTGTAAAACAGATTAAACGATTTAAAAATTTAAAAGGGAGTTGGGCCAGGTCAGCCTGCTGAAATAAAAATGTTTTGACAGCACGACAAAACATGCGCAGATCTGGGATCCTCCATATCTCCAGGGGGAGCTCGTTCCAGATGGTAGGTGCCCCCACAGAGAAGGCTCTCCCCCTGGGAGCAGCCAGTCGACACTGTTTGGCCGACGGCACCCTGAGAAGCCCCTCTCTATGGGAGCGTACTGGTCGGTGAGAGGCTAGTGGTAGCAGAAGGCGGTCTCGTAAATACCCCGGTCCGATGCCATGGAGCGCTCTAAAGGTGGTAACCAAAACCTTGAAGCACACCTGGAAGACCACAGGGAGCCAGTGCAGCTCACGCAGGAGGGGGGTCACATGGGAGCGCTGCGCCGCTCCCATAACCACCCGCGCGGCCGCATTCTGGACCAGCTGGAGCCTCCAGGTGCTCCTCAAGGGGAGCCCCATGTAGAGAGCATTGCAGTATGAAATGCTTTTCTGCAAAAACACCTAAATATTAGTAATGGAATTCAAGTTGTGCTTTAATTCTACTTATACAATATCATTTGACAGATTGTGAATTAATGTAATCTACGCAAGTTCAAATATTGCTATCCAATGATCTATAAGAATTTGCTGGGATAGAAATCTATCCTTACTACAAATGTATCCTTATACTGTCAATTAACTTGCTGGAAAACAGTGAGTTAGATAATCATACTACTGCTCCTAACATGCACTTACTATAGACTTTACAGCCCCACAAGGGAACTCTTTGATATTCTGTGAGCACAAGAGCCTCACCAATGGGTTTTGTTTTGATGCTTTTGAATACTTCACTTGTTCTGCACAATAAAGCTTAGAACAACATGGAGTTGACTGCTTTTCTGTAAGTTCGATACTTTTTCCGATACTTTCATGAGATAATTACATCAGAGTTGACAGCGGATTATGTGAGAAGAGCTCATAGCTTGGGCCCAATCTCTTAAACAAATACTTCCCGTGGGATGCCAAGCTCCGTTCAGCCCTTCCCTCCTGGCTCCTACAACTCCTATCGGGAAGTCCCACCTCCAGGTCTCTCACACCCTCATTCATCCTGGGCGCAGCCCCCGCTTTTGGCCCCAGCATCAGCTTTCTATTACTCAATACCTTCACCTGCTGTCACCCCGATCAATACAACCCGGGTCCTTCCTTTCAACGGCCAAGCCTTTGGGGCGACCCCAAGACCTTGCAGCCACTCCTTTTTCATTTCTCCCTCTTCCCACCCGGCCTCTCCCAGCCACCCGCCTTTCTCACCGCGATCACGACGGTATCTTCGCCCTGGAACTTGGCAATATACTTGTCGCCTCGAATCACTTCCGAATCGTTGAGGGGTCTGAAGCGACACATCACTTTGATGTTGCACTCCGCCGGGTCCGCCATTTTAGGCCAAAGCCGCCGCCGCCGCCCGCTTCAGCCACCGTTTTTCCCTCTGGGATGCTGCCTGTCAAGCTCCCCTGCCGCTCAGCTCCTGAATCCACTGCCGAATTATCTTTTCCTTGGTCAAGGGAAATAACTACGTCCTCCACCGCACTAGGAATGAAGGGCTTTTCCGCCCCTACTCTACCGCTACCTCCAGCACTCACTTCCTTTCCAATATGGCAGCCATGAAGGCACCCGAGACCGGCGAAACCGAGACCTCCCCTTATTTAAAACGAAGGCGGAGTTGACAGCTGGCTTGGGAAGAGTGACGTCACCTTCTCCAGGGACGCCAACGGCTTCTTCGCCTTCTCGCTCTCTGCGCAGGCGCGGAAACGGCTCGTGTTCTTTCAGCGTGAAGCCAAGGGAGTCGTCAAGTCGAGCAGCGCACTCCATCGGTCGGGGGGGGGGGGGGGGCGGGGTTGGAACGCAACGCGCGTGACGGACAAACGGAAAAACGGAGATTTAGAGCAGGGAGGATATTGATGCGCAGGCGTCCACTTCAAACGAGGGAGATGCGGAACGCAGATGCTGGAAAAGGGAGAGGTTGAATTTAGGACGTCCCGCAGTCTCAGATTGACTGGTTCCTTTCAGAAAACCTAATCGTTTTAAGCACCGACTTCATCCTAGGATGAGAGACCGTCAGGGAATCTCAGGGATAACTAGAAAATTAAATAAACTTTGTATAGTGAAGGGAATAATAATCTACTTTTTTTATATTTCTGTGTATTTCTAGTTGTCTCCAGAAAAGGTTGCCTGATACGTAAATTATCAGGTCAATGACAGCCTCGGGGTACTCAAACTTTTACACCTACATCTTTGTTTGCAGGAGTGTTTAATCTATTCCAGTCGCATTTCATTTTACTAGGTTGTGTGAACCCAGCCAGTCGTTGAGGGTGGTTCTGTGTTCTAAATGAAGTCAGAAAATTGGATTAACTAGTCTGGTTAAATTGGTTATTCGTTTTTTTTAAATTTGATTTATATGCTGCCCTTTTCCGGAGACTCAGGGCGGCTTACAATGCGTTAAGTAATAGCCTTCATACTTTTGTATATTTATACAAAGTCAGTTTATTGCCCCCATAATCTGGGTCCTCATTTTACCTACCTTAGAAAGGATGGAAGGCTGAGTCAACCTTGAGCCTGGTGAGATTTGAACTTGCAGTAATTGCAAGCAGCAGATGTAAGTGGATGTTAATAATTGCTTTAGTCTGCTGAGCCACCAAAGCTCCTATTCATTGATGATTTAAGCTGCTCCAGATATGACTCATTCTGAGCAATGTACTCCCCCCAACATCTTTATTTGGATTGAAACAATAAGATTAAAATTACAGAAATCAATAATATTGCCTTCATACAACATCAGAAACAATCAGCTCTCTTCTTTAATTCAAGTTTTTTTAGCTGCCCAATTCAAATTAATCTGGACAGTATTTATTTATTTATTTATTAGATTTATATTGCCGCCTATTCGCCCATAGCGAATATTACAGAATATAAAAAACCACATTTAAAAAACAGTAAAATTCTTAAAAAATCAAATAAATTGATGCAATAAAATCATCCCTGACCCCCACCTCCCGCCCCAGTGACAGCCAATCACACGAGCCATTTAATGGGCTCCATCCGGCTCTGGGTTCCCCAGGCCCGCTGGCAAAATCAGGTCTTCAGCGCCTTCTGGAAGAGAATTAGGGTGGGGGCTGTTCTAATCTCTGGGAGAAATGATGTTCCAGAGAGAGGGAACCACCACGGAGAAGGCCCTTCTGGGTCCCACCAGGTGTATCTCCCTCGGGGATGGGACCCACAGCATTCCCTGCCTCCCCGTTCTAATAGGTCGGGTAGATGTGACCAGCAAGAGACAGTCCCTCAGATAACCTGGTCCCAAGCCACTAACAAACATCTAAATACAAAACTAAAATGGCAACCAAATAGACAGCAAAACAACCTCAGGGGAGCTCCCACGCAACCAGCCTGGGAGTAAAACTAGGTCTTAGGGGCTTCCCTAAAAGCAGAGTTGAGGCCTGCCATGTATCAGGGAGATTGATCCAGAAAGAAAGGGCAACCATGGAGGGAAAAAATAAAAGCTTCCTAGGTTTTGTAAGATGACAAGACTTAGAAGGAACCTAGTCCTAAAGCAGGGGTCGGCAACCTAAAACACTCAAAGAGCCACAAAGGTCCTAACTGGAAGTTTGCCATTCAATTCTGGAGCTGACTGGAAGTCCCATTCCCCCACCATAGAGTCTCCTCCTAGCGTGGCGTCCTTTTTCCTCTACCTGTCTTAACTGAAAACCCTATCAATTGTGGAACCAACCGGCGACAGGGAGTCGCAGCAGAGGGAGGAAAGAGCCACATGCAGCTCCAGAGCCATGGGTTGCTGACTCCTGTCCTAGAGCATACCTACCTGTGGGAATGTATGGGACAGACAGACTGTAGGAGAAGGTGGTCGTTCAAGCATTCCAGTTTCTTTCTATGTAAGGATTTAAAGGTAATCATCAGCACCTTGAATTGCACCCAGAAAACAACTGAGCTATTGCAGTTTGCAGAGTAGCAGCATAACAAGATGCAACTACCCTAACTGCACTTTGTACCAGTTAAATGATCATCAAGGGAAGTCCCTGTAGAGTATGTTACATAGTCCAGTGAGGAGATGACCAAAGTATGAGTGATCATGAACAAGACCTTTTACTGGAATAGAAAACAACTTCACAGCATTCCAGCCCCCAAGGCCCAATCAATAATCATGTGGTCCAATCAATAATGTTTTATGGTATTCTTCCCAAAAAGGAAGGAAGGGACATCAGGAGAAATTTGATTCCATGTGTAGCCATATCAAGTAAACATTTGATTAATCTTTTGTTTATTTTATTTATTTATTATGCAACAGAAAAGAATATAAGCAAAATGCCAAAATATTCATAATTAAATAAATCATAAAAATAATGAAGAACAGAAGAAAGGAAAAGTAAACAATGTATAGTAAACAAATAGGTCTTAATTTACCAAAATTTATAATACTACAATTTTATTCAAATAAAAGTATTATTATAAAATACTGTAAAAGCTATTTCAAAGAAGAATATGTTGTCTTGTTCTTTGATTAGTAGAAAGTATTTCCTTTTCCAGGATACATGTTACACATTACCAAAAGTCAGTCCTTAATATCTGAAATAATATCACATTTCCAATTCCTCAATAGTATTTTATTACAGGGAGAGAGGGAGGAGGGGGTACAAGCATAATTCCTCATAAATAGTCAGACTCCCAAACGTTAGTATATAATTCAACAGTACATTAATGTGTGTAGCACATAAAATATTTCCTGATAAATTTATTAATATACATTAAATACTGTCTCCAACAAAATATCAAAAATATGCAGTATCTTATCATACATATGAGTCAATAAAGATATCTCAAATAAACTCTGATGTCCATCTTTTCAGGTATAGTCTCCTGGGTGTACAATACACTCAATTGAATTTTTGATGTATCAGCTTTAATCTCAAATCTTCAAATACTATTTGAACATGTTTAAGAATATAAAGTCAATTATTCAATTTAGCAATTAACATTTTCCACTTGCTCTGATAGTGTGATGTCAACTCAATAATTTGCTAGTGATGATTTAAGAAGGACTTGCCCTTGCAACAGTCTTGTCAATGTTGCCTTACAATAAAGCAGAATTAATTCATCTTGTAATGTTTCCTGTCTGGCTTATCTGGGAGGGCTGATATGAATTTTACAAGACTTAAGGTACAAACTTCCTGCTGCCATTTTTAATTGCCTGATCTGTGAGAGTGGGTAAATTTCTTTCTCTGACTTTAGGGTTCCTGACTCTCTTGTTTGTCAGATTGTTTCCTCTTTTCCCAATGCCATTGCTACATTCTATTACACCTTTATGTTATAACTTGATGTATTGTGGTTACCTAGCAATTATGTTTGGATGTATCACTGTTTAAAAAAACTATGACTTCACTAGCATAGAGTGAAAACCCAACCTTTGTATGTTTAATTTAGGAATTTGGTTCCTTAAAAGTAACTTAGTGCAGTAAAACAAGTTCTTAGCTCTCCATGAAGATCATGTTGTAACAAGCTTACATAGCTAACGCCAATAAATCTTAAAGGAATGTTCTGTCTAATCATGGCCAAAGAAGCTATGCTACACAGTCACAGAAATGCTACAGTCAATAATTATTTACAGGGTTATTTATTTATTTTTATGAAAAACTTACTTGCCACTCATCTCATATCCAAAAACTATGGGTGGTTTACAATATAAAACATTAAAGCAAAAAAGACTTTAAAATCAAAGGTCATGGTATACAGTACATAAAATCATTGATAATTACAAACCATTAAAACCAGATGGGAAAGACGGGAATGGATACACAGAGGGTAGAGAGGTGGGATTAGGTTTTAATCAATCAATCACCTCCAGTATGAAGTTCTCCCATTAAGTCCCTCAAGTCAGATCTTGAGATTCTTTTGAAAAGTCAGGAGGCTGGGAGCCAATTTCACCTCAGGGGGAGTAAGGTATTCCAGAGGGTAGGAGCCATAGCAGAGAAGGCTTTTCTTCTGAAGCCCACCAGCCAAAATTTCTTAGCTGATGGGATTCGCAGCATGCTCCCTCTGCTAGCATGGGTGGTGTGGGCCAGTCCCATTAGCTAAGATGGTTCCTGAAGTAGCCTGGACCATACTATGTAGAGCAGAGCTGTCAAACTCTCCAAGCAGGGGTGAAATGCTACCAGTTCACACCAGTTCAGGCGAACCAATAATGAAAAAAAGCTACCAGTTCATCCAAACCAGTATTTCCAACGATCAGCTGTGCTGCACGGTTTATATTTGCTAGAAAGCAGGAAATCCTGCTTTCTAGCAAAGCTAAATCTCACAGCACAGCTGTTCCCCTCCTCGCTGTTCTACTTACCTTCCCAAGCCTCCTTTTTCAGCATGAAGCATGCATGTGGCGCACACTGCGCATGCACATGCAGTGTGCTTTTGGCATGTACTACACATGTATGCATGTGCAGCATGCTTTTGGCGTTCACTGCACATACACGCACACAGTGCATGTTTGCCAGACACTGTACATGCATAGGCAGTGAACTGGTGGCAATCTGCAGAGGATTTCACCACTGTTCCCAAGGGCCGGATGTGTCTCATGCTGGCCACGCCCGGTTTAGTGAAAGGGAAAAAAGTCCCAAAACTCCATGAGTTTGATAGCCCTGATTTAGAGCTTTAAAGGTGATGACCAACACCTTGAATTGCGTTTAAATGGCCACCGTGCTTTGAAAGAGTCTGACAAATGACTCTAACATAATACATCATAAAAACATGTTTGTACCTTGCTTGTAATAAATAGCATACAATATAGTCACCAGAGCTCAGAGATGCATATTTACTATAGTATTTTCATGACAATTGTTGTGTACTTGCAGATTTATAACCATAAAACTGAACAGATCAAATTTTGCACGTTTGGAGTTCCATATGCACTGAAGGTTCTCAGGTTTACAAAAGATACCTAGGTTGGGACTGTAAATTGTGATTCTAGAAATGTGCAGTTTGATCATTTAAACCACAAAACTTCAGGTTTGTGTTTCTCCAGTGAAAGGCAGTCACTTACTTATGTTGTGAACATATACAATTTCTAATTAGGAACCATGGAAAGACATAAAACTTTCAACAATTTAAAAATAATCATTGGCTTTGCTATTTTTTCCTGGCAGAGGAATAGGAACAGGAGAAAACAATGTCTGCTAAATTCATCTGCAGTCATAATATGTATACAATGCACATCCAGAATAAAGTTGTCAATACAGGTTCTACCATCTGGAACAAAAAGGGTTATAATTAATGGTCTTCCTGGCTTAAAATCTAATCCTCATCATCTTCACAACCATTGGAAAATTTGCCACTAATATTGCCGTAAAGGACACATGTTCATTCAGGCAGTACCCATATGACCTCAGCATATCATCCAATCAATTTTTTTCCTATTTTTTTCATCAAAGTTTATTGAACTATGAAACAGTAGATGTCAGCAAAGAGAATTTTCTGTATCTCTTTGCAACTATCTAGTGATTGTCCAGTTTTATGCTGTTATGGAAGAGTTAAGATTTTAATCTAAGAAAATGGTTTTGGTTTGTGTATATATGAAATACACTGTAGCTCTGAGGCAGCAGGCACCCTCAGTTCAAAGTTTGATATAAAATGCCCTACATAAGACAGCTGCAGAAGCCAGACCTCAATTGAGCTCAAGCCAAAATAAGGCTTCTCCTTCATGTGACCTAAGTTGTCCTCATAAGAGGCCTTGTTCTGGCATAAGAAGGAAAACACTATTCCCATACCAGAAAACCTAAATCTGACTTTGCACAAACTCAGGAAATGGAATGAGATAGAGGGGATGCCAGGATTACATATACTTTATAGCTGCTATTCACACTGTGGTTAGCAAGATGTATTGGGTAAGCCCTCTAAGAATAATTTGCTGTCTGTTTTTACTTGGGTATGGAGTATTGTACAGGTAGTCTTTGATTTACAACAATTCATTTAGTAACTGTTCAAAGTTACAATGGCATTGAAAAAAGTGACTTATGACCATTTTTCACACGACTTTTGCAGCAATCCCCTGTCACATAAACAAAATTCAGATGCTTGATAATTGGTTCATATTTATAATGGTTGCAGTGCCCTAGGGTCTTGTGATCAGCTTTTGTGACCTTCTGACAAGCAAAATCAATGCGGAAGCCAAATTCATCTAATACCATGTTGTTAATTTAACAAATGCAACAATTCACTTAATAACTGTGGCAAGAAAAGTCATAAAATGACGCAAACTCACTTAACAGATGTTTTACTTTGCAACATAAATTTTGGGATCAATTGTGATCATAACTCAAGGACTACCTGTATTAAATTCAGAATGGTCACTGTTCAAGATAATGTAGTATATAACCTGATGCTTTCAAGTGTGTAATTTCCAGCTCAGCCAATACAGCCAACATTTGGAAGACATCAAAGGGAAGGTTGATATTTCATACTTTCATTGAGTTTATATCAAGAGGACACATTTCTTTTGAAAATGGGGATATTTTAATTTGAGAGAAAAGCAATGAACAATCACTTTGGAGGTTATTTTGCTGAACTGTAAGCCTGCCAATAAGACAGTATTCATTTTTCAGTCAGACTCCAGAAGCATTACTGCTGACTGCAGTCCATTATAAAGGATGTTATAATAAAATAAATTATTTCCATAGAGTGCATATTGGTGCATTAAGGCAATATTGAAGATGGTAACCTCATTATGTGATAAGTGATATACACAGCAACTCAACCATATTTAGTTTATCTGTAAAACTGCAAATATTTATATGGAAAGCAACCAAACAACTTTTATTAGATACTTAATTTTACCCCTCTGCTGATTTATTATGGCATTTCATATAACGTTTATTACTATTATGGAAATAAATAATTACAAATTTGGGATAGAGTCCACTTAATTATTTTACATTTACTCTTCTTAAAAGTTTGGGTATGATTAGTAAAATATTCAAATTAAGTAGGAGGGTTAGAGGGACACTGCATTAAATCTACAAGTACTGCCCCTCGACATGTAACTATCAAAAAGAGGCAACTGAGAAAGTGATAATGAATATGGGCTTATTTATTTATTTATTTTTTAAATCGTGGGCCTATGTTAAAAATTGCTTTTCAAGATAACTCAACCCTTATGTAGAATTTTTTTGAGAAATGTAACTTTAAGGACTTATATAGTGCATTGAACGTAATGTATATAATAACAATTACATGTATTATAGTTAAACTTTTTTATACTCAACTCCAAGCAGATTTTATTACAAAAAACTCCTATTTTTGTTTAATAATGTTTTAGATAATATTCTTATTGTTTTATATTTTATAGTCTTTTAAAATAATAAATTGTCCATAAATCTTTTATTATTGAACAAGACAATAGATTTATTTATAAAATGTATAGTTTGTATCTTGGATCTTATAGGTACATATAGATAGAACTGGAACTCTGATAAACCTCACCTATTAATAGAATTGGTAGCTTTTCAGACCTGTAAAGAAGATCTTAAACTTGAAAGTATATAGGGGTCAGTTATAGTATTTGGTGCACTAGAAGGAGTATCCCATTGTGGAGGCCACCTAGGTGAAAAGTTGGAAAATGAATGTGGATAAACTAGTAAAGCAATTCCATGACAAGTACCCCCAAAAACTGAAGGGTCCTCCTGGGGGAAAGAGGGGAGTTAGGGAAATGCTCAACTAACCCCACCATGCTCTGTCTCCCTTTGCAGGAAGGTTCTTTCTGATGAACGGGGGCAGTCTGTCAACTCTGAAGCTGTTCTGGCTATGGGGGTTTTCCTTTTTCCCTTCTGTGGTTGTTTTAGGGGTTCTTTCACTTTGCTTCAGGCTTGAGAAACCTTGGAGCTGAGGGGGGTGGGTTGTAACTAGAACAAACTAGTTCATTGTCTGTGTCGGCCCACCGGATTTTACACCTAGGTCAAGGACATTCCAACCACAACTGGCTAGAGATGGAGGAAGGAGTTGCCAGGTAACCAGCCAGTGCCTGGATTGGATAATGTGATTTATTGTTTTGTGACAAAGTGAAAGCCCAGGAAACAGTACTGCTATTCAGCCGGTTCTATCCGGTTCAGGTAAACCGGTAGCGGCGGCTGCGGGAGGCTCTGCCTATCTTCCCGGGCATCAACACGTCCCGTTTTTGATGCTCTGCACATGCACAGAAGGTCCAGTGCATGCACAGAGGTGGCGTGTGCACTTCCATTTGCGAACTGGTAGCAAAGGTAAGTAAATATCACCCCTTCTGGGAAAGCTCAGAGTTGGCTTTCCACCAGTTGATGCCAAGATGATGTCTTCAAAATAAAACCTGTTCCTTGAGAATCTGCCTCAGAGTTCTGTTTTGAAATGGGGTCATTTCTTGGAACACTGACATTTGAGTTATAATATAACTATATCAGGAAATAAATGATAGGGGAAGCATTTATAATTCCCCAGCCATTCTTTCTGAATCTATCACATCTTGTTTTGGAGAATGAGGATGGGAATGAGGGAGGGAAAGAGCCCTATATGTAGTATAATACCAGGGGCATCCGGGGGAGGGGTGGAAAAGATAACAAAATGGCTTCCATTGCACTATTTTGGCTGCCATCTTGACTTTTTAAAATTTTCCCCATGCCTCTGTATCCTACAATCTGCCTTATAGTTCCTAAATTAGCCTGCTCTCTTCAGCATGATAGAGGATCTATCTAATTACCAGAACTGTCAACTCTCAATCAAGCTGATCTATTTATCAGAGGGGTCCAGTTTGTTCCTTAAGATAGCAAAATGTCTTGGGCCAATCCTATCTTAAACAAAACTGAACATAATAGTGCATTTTCTCTAGCAGAAATATGTACAGCTTTGTTTTGTTTTTTCTCTTCAGTCTTTTCCTCTAGAGAGGCTTATGCGAAACATTTTGTGTAGCAACCAGCTCTGTTGCCTAATTGAGGCTAGTGATTGCAGCATCATTTATTTTTCTAATGAAGTACTTGGAGGTATACTGCACATCTTACATATGTTTAGGAATAAGGATATTTTTTTCTGGCTTCAGGAAGAAGTCGCCCATTTTTTAAAAGGCTCATATTTCATCCAAGGGCTGCATCAATTAAATATTAACAACAAAATATTGCAAAAAGCAAAAGTTGACTGTCTCAATCTGTTATCATTAGATGCATTAAAATACGTTTTCCATTATTCAGAATAGTATAGAGAGACAATTAGTTCATAATAATTCTGTTATCTTACAAAATCTAATGTTGTTATATCCTCTATATTCCAAATCTATAATCTGTTTTAACGCTTGGGCACCTAGATTAGATGTTTTCCCTTTTTAAAGGCATCTCCTCATTGTGGAAAAACCATTGAGAGGAAGACTGAAAAATTGCCAGGACTGTTAAGGCAATTTTCAGCAGCTCTTCTCTATCCATTATATTTTGCTACTGGGAAAAAAATATTCTACTCTCATTCTATATCCAGAAGCCAAATAAATTGGATTCAGGTCATGACTAGATAGAGAACAATCTTCTTTAGAGCACTGTGTGCAAGGCAGGCTAAATAGTCATTCAAGTAGCTCCCTGTTGCATCATCACAAGTTCACTCCTGCCCTAGATAATAGGTTAAATAAAATTGAATTGGAATGGGTGTATTTTGTGTATTTTTTGATACATTATTACTTCTATTTCTATTCTAACATCTGGAGCTGCTAATTCAAACTTTACATTAGATTCTAGCTTCTGCTATTCAGAGCCCTTTCCGCTTATAAATGAAGCTCAGTATTATGTTAGACTGAACATTTATCTTTATTCTTCATGCTAATTTTGAATTATTTTAATATTTATTTTAGTGTGTTTTGTTTTAATATGCCCCATATTTGGTTGTAATTTTATAACATTTTAAAATTTAAATAGCCACAAGAAAAGTTTTAGCCAGGCCAAAATTATTCAATTGGAGACACAAAAAAGAATCAGAATAACAGTATAACAGAGCTGGAAGGGACTTGGAAGGTCTTGGTGGGATGAAATGGAATGTACAGCTAGAGTGATTTAAATTATTTAAAAGAAATAGACCAAATAAAAGAGGAGATGGAGTTGTACTATATATAAGAAATAACTACATCTCTACAGAAATAGAGCACAACAATGATGAAAACTGCCTGGAATGCATTTAGATCAATGTAAAAGCGGGGAAAATGGCATTGCCTTAGGTGTACACTATAAGCCACCCAACCAAACAGAAGAAATAGATGAACTTTTTCCTAGTCAGATAACTAAGGTATGTAGGAAGCATATCACAATAGTAATGGGGGATTTAAACTACCCTGACATCAACTGGGAGACAAACTCTGCACCAAGTGGAACATCCAACAGTTCCTGAGAAACCTAGCAGACAACTTTGTTTCCCAAAAAGTAGAGAAGGGAACAAGGGGATTGGCCATATTGGACTTAATTCTCACTAACAGAGATGAAATGATAGAAGATTGAAGCTACAGGCCCTTGGGAGGGGAGTGATCATGCAATATTGGAATTCAACATTATGCAAGCACAAGCAATAGAACAAAGTCAAACTAGAGTCTTGGACTTAAAGAGAACTAATTTCAATAAACTTAGAGAGAGCTTGGGAACGGTTCCATGGATGAGAATCATCAAGGGGAAAACAACTTAAGAAGCTTGGGAAATTTTGAAAAGTGAGATTATAAAAGCTCAGTCTAGCACAATACTAGTGAAGAGGAAAAATAACAACTCTCAAAAGAAACCAGCATGGCTGTGTAAAGAACTTTCTGACAAATTGAATGACAAAAAGGACAAGTATAAAAAGTGGAAAGAGGGGCACATAACTAAGGCAGAATATCAGCAAATAGCCTGAGCCAGCAAAGATGAAGTGAGGAAAGCTAAGGCTCACAACGAACAAAGGCTTGCAATAAAAGTAAAAAATAACAAAAAAGCTTCTTCCAATATGTTAAAAACAAGAAATAGTCAAGGAAACAATTGGTCCATTGCTGGGGGAAAGTAGCAAGAAGGTAACAAGCAACAGGGAAAAAGCAGAATTATTTAACTCCTTTTTTGCATCTGTCTTTACACAAAGGGGAAAAAACAGTCCAACCTATCAAAAACAACACAAAAAACAGATTAGGAACACGAGTTAAAATAGGGAAGAAAATGGTAAATGAGCACCTGTCTACTCTAAATGAGTTCAAATCACCAGGACCAGATGGATTACACCCCAAGGTTCTGAAGGAACTGGCAGATGTGATCTCAGAACTACTGAACCATCTTTCAAAGATCCTGGAGCACCAGGGAACTGCCAGAGAACTGGAAAAGAGCTGATGTACTTCCTATATTCAAAAAAGGGGAAAAAAATGGATCCAGGAAACTATAGACCCATCAGCCTAATCACAATACCAGGGAAGATTCTGGAAAAGATAATCAAGCAACAAATCAATGAACACCTAGAAGCAAACAAAGTAATAACCAAAAGCCAACATGGGTTTGTCAAAAACAGATCATGCCAGACTAATCTTACTGCATTCTTTGACAAAGTGATAAAAATTAGTGGACCAGAGGAATGCTATCGATATAATTTACTTGGACTTCAGTAAGGCATTTGCCAAAGTAGACCATAATCTACTACTTGATAAAATAGAAAAATGTGGGTTAGACAGCATCACCACCAGATGAATTCGTAACTGGCTGACTAACCACACTCAACATGTAGTCCTTAATGGAACAGCATCTACATGGAGGGAGGTATGCAGTGGGGTACCCCAAGGCTCTGTTTTAGGCCCAGTACTCTTCAACATATTCATCAATGATTTGGATAAGGGATAGATGGGGAACTCATCAAATTTGTAGACAACACCAAGCTAGCAGGAATAGCCAACACTCCGGAAGATAGGTATAAGATACAGAAGTATCTTGACAGACTTGAACATTGGGTGTTATCTAACAAAATGAAATTCAATGGTGAAAAAAATAAAAGTTCTACATTTAGGCAAGAAAAACAAAATGCACAGGTGCAGTATATGTGATACTTTGCTCAATAGTGGTGACTGTGAGAGGGATCTTGGAGTCCTAGTGGACAATCACTTAAATATGAGCCAGCAGTGTGCTGCAACTGCCAAAAAAGCCAACACAGTTCTAGGCTGCATAAACAGAATCAAGATCATGTGAAGTTTTAATACCACTTTATATTGCCTTGGTAAGGACACACTTGGAATACTGCATCCAATTTTGGTCGCCACAATGTAAAAAAGATGTTGAGACTCTCAAAAGAGTGCAGAGAAAAGCAACAAAGATGTTTAGGGGACTCAAGGATAAAACATATAAAGAACTGGAACTGGATATGTCTAGTCTTATGAAAAGAAGGACTAGGGATGACATGATAGCAGTGTTCCAATATTTCAGGGGTTGCTACAAAGAAGAGGGAGTCAAACTATTCTCCAAAGTACCTGAGAGTAGAACAAGAAGCAATGGGTGGAAATTAATCAAGGAAAGAAGCAACTTAGAACTAAGGAGAAATTTCCTGACAGTTAGAACAATTAATCAGTGGAACAACTTGCCTCCAGAAGTTGTAAAAGCTCCAACACTGGAAGTTTTTAAGAAGAGACTAGATAACCATTTGTCTGAAGTGGTGTAGGGTTTCCTGCCTAAGCAGGGGGTTGAATTAGAAGACCTCCAAGGACCCTTCCCTCTCTGTTATTCTATTTTCTAGTCCAACCCCCTGCTCAAGCAGGAGACCCTACACCATTTCAGATATCTGGTTGTCCAATTTCTTCTTAAAAACTTCCAGTGATGGAGCACCCCCAAATTTTGAAGGCAAACTGTTCCACTGATTAATTATTCTAATTTTTGGAAATTTCTCCTTATTTTAGGTTGGTTCTCTCTTTACTTGGGTTCCAGCCATTGCTACTTGTCCTGCCTTTAGGTGCTTTAGAGAATAGGTTGGCCTCTTAAATATTGAAACATTGTTATCATGTCACTCCTAGTCCGTCTTGTAATAATACCACATTCAGTGATTATTTCTTTTGAATTTTCCTACCTCTATCCTAACTTCCACCAAAACTTCACATTTATATCTTAAAAATCTAAGATTACAATAAATGTATATTTCACAATCAGTATATATTTTATATATATTCCAGTGTTCCTACCCAGTAATTTCCAATTGAACTTAATTTATTTCAAATACATTTAAAACGGGCTTTCTGTTTGCTGCAATATCACAATCACACATACCAAATACTAAGTAAAAACTAAAGTACCCAGCTTTGAATTCGCTTTTAACCAGCTTGGAGAGCTGCATGTGTATGGGACTTTCCTTATTTAAGGTTGCTTATGTTTTAAAGTTTTGATATTGAGTATAAGGATTTTAATTAGCTTCATTTGACATCTCATACAAATGCAGTGCTACAGTATTCCATTAAAGCAAAATCTTTAATTTTCTTAAAATCTATATCAGCCGTGATTCAAGTCCTATTTGAAAATTGGCTCCCTGGCCTGCTGCAGGCTTAGAAATTAGCTTTCAAAAAGTTACATACTAAGCTATACGATTTGCTTACTTATTTGGCATAAGTTTATCTTTGAACCTTTGCCCATCTTTAATGGTAGGATTTACTTGCCTAATTTATGGCTCTACATGTCATCCAAAACTTTAGAGGGGAAATTGACCAACATTCAATCTAATAATACAAGACTCTTGTATTGACAAACTGGGATCATTTTAGCTGCTGCCTCCTTGCTGCTTTTGATTCTTTTTCATCAAGGGTTAGGGGACATAAATCAGCATTTACTCATCTCATTTGCAATGGTTCCAACATCAACCAAAATCAATCTTTTTTTTTCCCCAGGGAAGAAAATAAAAAACGATGAACTGGCCACCCAATGCAAAACTGATTGAAGGTAACAAATGAACTTTGAATAACAATGCACTTTCTCTTTGTTTTTCACAACAACTTTAAAATTTTAATCTCTGATTATAGAGTTTGAGACGAAATCCAGAAGCCACCAAAAGTTGGATTTACAGAATTTATTTAAGCTAAAACCTACCTTGGCTAGTTTGTCTCTCAATGTACAGGCAAGAAAACTCAGATAATGGGATTAATTTATGGTTCTGTATGCTGTACATATATAATTAACGTGATGAATTCAATTTTTCATAAATTAGTATGCTATGGAAATTCAAACTTAGAGATAAATCCCAATTGGCATACATTCCTAACCACTAGGATGTTTGAATACTGAAATATGTTATGATACCCTAACGCTGAGACTGAAATGTTACATGCAAATACTGTATGTCAGAACTGGACTTTGAGTCATAATATTGCAAGGTTTTACCCTGCAGGAAGATCTCTCTAATACTATCCCCGTTAATAAGGGGGTTAGGCAGGGGTGTATACTGGTACCCTTTCTCTTCAACTTATATATCAGTGACTGGAGAAAGGCATTTTCGGATCACATGGTCTACATCCATGCCCCTAGATTAGCTGATTATAGATGTCCACTCCTGCTCTACGCTGACAATGCCGCAATACTTTCATTTTCCCGGATGGGCCAACATAGAGCCTTAAAAATCCTTTCTGCTTATTGCTTTGCTAACCAACTGCATATAAACCACTCTAAGTCTAAAATCATGGTTTTCGCAAGAAGCAGGAAAATTTATCATTGGAACCTTGATGGCATCCCAGTGGAACAGGTCCACAGATTTCAATATCTAGGTATCCTCTTTCAATCCAATACCAAGTGGCCTGCGCAGGTTAAGTCTCTCTGTAATAAGGCTAAGATTTCCACCCATGCCCCCTTGCACTTTTTTCATACTGAGGGAGCCCATCACATCCCCTCAGCAATAAAAGTCTACAGGGCAAAGGTGATAGCTACTATCACCTATGGCGCCCCCCTCTGGGTCCAATCCAACATCTCCTCTCTTGAGTCTGTCCACAGCCAGTTCCTACGCCGTTTGATTGGAGCCCTTCCCTGCGTAAGTAATGCCGCAATTCGTTTGGAACTGGGCATATCCTCACTTGCTACAATCTTGTGGAAACGTGCAATTGGCTATTGGTTGTCCCTATGGACTAGACTCCCAGGCTATTACCTAGGCCAATGCCTATGGTGGGACCTTTTTCATAGTCCCTGGGTCCATAATATCCATACAAAATTTTTGAAGATCGGGATTTCCCCCATTTAAGCTTTCATTTTAGGCCCTGATGCTGCCAAATCGTTGATTTTTCAACAGCTGGATGACATTGATAGACAATTAAATCTGGCAAACGGATCGAGAACATGCTCACCATTTTCCCTTGGTATTGTTCCCTTGCCTCACCCTCCGCCTTATCTCTCCGCGTTACATTCTATCAAACATAGGCTCGCATTTATTTATTTATTTATTTTTATTGAAAAGTTTTGTAGAAAATACAAACATTTTCACCCCCCCCACCCTTCCCCCCTCTTCCCCCCCACCCCCCTCCCTAGACTTCCCAGAACAAGCACAGGGTATAGCATTCACAAATCAAAAGCTAGAATATGCTAACAAATTGTTACATTTCATATTCTCCCCAGATCCTTAACTCCTTATAATTCAAAAAACAAACATAAACTACTTAAAGTTACTTCATTCATATGCTATATGAATCTTCTTATTCGGATACTTCTTCTGTATGTAATCGATCCATCTTCTCCATTCCGATATATATCTTTCATTTGAATGGTCTTTAAGATATGATGAAATTTTCGCCATTTCTACCAAATGCACAACTTTTAATGTCCATTCCTCAATGGTGGGTGGATCTTCCTTCTTCCAGTACTGTGCCACCAGTAACCTGGCAGCCGTTATTAAATTCAAAACCAACTTAGTCTCTACTACAGTACAATCCATGACTATTCCCAACAAAAAAACCTGTGGTGTAAATTTAATTTTTTTCTTTAAAATGTTTTGAATAATCCACCATATTTTTATCCAAAAAGCCTTAATTTTTTTACATGTCCACCATATATGAAAATATGTAGCATCTTTACACTCATATCGCCAACACTTAGGTTGTAAATTTGGATACATACAGGCTATTTTTTTGGGGTCTAAATGCCATCTATAAAACATTTTATAAAAGTTCTCCCTTAGATTATGTGCTTGTGTAAATCTTACATTTCTGACCCATATCTTTTCCCATGTTTCCATCATTATTGGTTCACCTACGTTTTGTGCCCATTTTATCATACAGTCCTTGACTAACTCTGTTTCTGAATCTATTTCCACTAGGCTCGCATTTATGAAGGCACGATTTAATGTGATCCCCTCGAATGTCCTCGACAGTAGGCTTTCGGGGGGAGTAAAATCCATCTATTGTACATGTGATGGCCGATCCCCGGAATCTCTGTTCCACATTACATTTGTATGTCCCCACTACCGAGACATAAGATCAAGATTCATTTCTCCTATTTCCCAGAGATTCCCTGGTTCACCTGATCTGTTCAGCCTTTATTTCCTACTCCAGGACACAGACCCCAATATAACTCCAAAGGTGGCAAAAATTTTTGCTGCAGTCGTGGCTGAAAAAAAACAAGGGAAGAGACGGGTAACCCCTACGGCAGAGGATCACTAGTATTGACAGTACGGATTGTATCTGAGGCAGTAGATGGTGTACTGTCACATGATCTATCTATATTTGTAAAATATACTCCCCTTCTATGTGTATTTTAATTTGGTCTCTGACCCCAATAAAAAGCTTACTTACTATAATATTGCAAGGCATGTGTCATTGTTTCTTCCCTTTTGCTTCCATTAAGATCCTTCAATTTATAGAATCTAATCTACATATTTTGTTAGTCTTTCATGGTGAACTGGCTGGAACAGTTGCTCATAAATAGGTGGTTATCTTTCATATTCAGAAGGGGATTTTCCAGAAGACTTAAGGTAGTCCCCCAGCATCACTTTCTCAATCATGTTTTCCACATTCTCCAGAGAAAATCTGACAAAAGGCTCATCTTTATGATTCATTTAAAAGGAATTCCACTTACAGCTGACAAGCACATAGGGCACATGCATTGTTAACAGGATTGAAACTTTCCTTTTATATAACACAATCATACGGTGGGCTTCTACATTCAATTTTTCTGGAAGCTACCCTAGTAGTTGGCAATAACAATCTTTACTGCTTTCTGGAATGAAACCACTTTAAAGTGTTAATTGCCTTCTATCAACATGGATATTCTTTTTATAACCATGAATATTAACAACATTAATTTCCCCCAACTTTCTTATGATTTAATGAATGTTTACTCTTGCTTTTTCCACCCAAAGGGTTAGGCAACTTTGACATTTTGATCCAGAGAAGCTCTGTCTATATATATTGTTAACTATTTAGTGCTAACTGAGCCAAAAGTTTATTTGTTCTAACATACTTTAAAGTATTTTCAATTACAATTTTAATATTATAGAAATAAATTTGGCTTCCCAATGCTTTTAATGTTACCTTAATATTGATTTATTTTTGCTGAATGAAGATGGGATCCTCAGAGATACCATCAACCTTATTAAACATAGCACTGGACCGGTGCTAGAAATATAAATTTAAAAATGAGCTCAGTAAAATAAGCTTGTAAGCTTTATCTGCCAATTGTTCTATTGTTTGGTGCCACCACATGATGGCAGAGTTGTGCACATTTTCCAGAGTTGTGGCTCAGGATAAAAGTAGGGGGAAAGGTGAATGAGAGAGCATAACTGATAATTATAGTGCTGCAAGAATTGTTAAATTATTAATATGTATTAGTTTTGAAGATGGCTATTGTCGTCTCTACACCCCTACACCCAAATTATTTCATTTTGGCAGGGAGGTTTTAGTCCTATACACTTAAAATAAAAACATTAACAATCTGATGACTTTAAAAAGATGTACACAAAGTGGAAGCTAGCTTCTCTGCTCAACTTTGCATTAGTCAGAGCTCGAGTCCTCATAGGGAATTGGACAGAGATCACAATAAATTAAAACTTACTTTGACAAATGAACTTAATGTCATCACTAGTTTGTGCATTGTCTTGTATCTTCCTTTTTCCATGCACCATTTTTCCCAATGCCTTAAGTCATTTGCACACACAATCAATGACAGCTTCTGAAGCTATGTTGGGAAGGATGTAGTTATTTTAACATTTCAAAGATAAGTTTTTTGTTTAAATGCTTTGCACAGTCCTACTGAGCATAAATTTCAAAATCATGACAATGAAAAGAACTTGGGTATGCTGCAGGGATACACAACCTGAGTGTCCACACCCCCAAGGAGTGTGAGATGAAATTTCAGAATGTGCAACAAAAATGGTTTGTGTCCCTTGTGAGTTAGAATTTTAAGGGATGCAATAAAGAGTGGCTTGTGTACCTTGGTGGCAAATCATGAGTCACAATTGTGCAGAGGATGCAAATATTAATCAAACCTTTTCTAGAATATGATCTAAGAGTGTAATACAGTTTTAAAGAAGGCAAAAAACATCTTAAAGAGCATCAGGAAGGGCATAGAGTGCAGATCATGGGAAGTAATGATCTTGTTCTGATCTTTCTTGATCAGGCTTCACTTGAAGTTCTATCTTGTATGCTTCGGTTTCAAGTCAAGGTTTATCAACGTAGTGAAAGGATTGGGAACCAAATCTTTAAAAGACCTAGATAAGTTTAGCTTGCAGAAGAGAAGATTGGAAGGAGAACATGAGAGCTTTCTCCAAATACTTAGGGGCTCTCTACTACACATTGTAGAGAGGCGGGATTATTTTTGCTTGCTCCAGAGGATAAGATTAGGATGAATGGGATGAAACCACAAGGGTATAGATACAGGTTAGATTTTAATTACTGTTTCTTGACAATAAGAGCTGTCAGTCAGTGGACTATCTGCATGGATTGTTTCTCCTGGAGATTTTCAGAGGTTGGATTAATCGGTTGATAGGTATGGAGTAGTGCAAGAGATTGCAAGCAATGACCTTTATGTCCCTTCCAATTCTTATGATTCTATGATTAGAAGCTTCAGAAAACAAGCTTTCATTTTCCTCTTATACAGATAGAGACATGGTGGGAATTAGGCTAAGGAAAAGCTTAAAACCATCCAAAAAGATAAAGGAATGTTCACTGGATACTTTGAGAAGAAATGAAACAGATGGATAGGAATGGACACCTTTAAATCAGATGGTCATATGATGATTCAATGTATGGCACAGTAAGAAGGAAAATTGGCAATATCAAAAATGATATTACGTATATGCTCTGCTATAACCAAATAAACAATATATTCACATCTATCAGGATCAGCAGATCTTAGGGCAGGGACCGTCAGTGCTGTATGGGGTTATGTCCCTCCTGTAGATCCATGGTGGAAAATACTGAGGAATTATTTGGCAAGTTGCAAAAGCTGTTGAATGCAATATTGTGACAAATGGAAGATGGCAATGAAAAAAAAAAAGAGAGAGAAATATAGTAGCCTAAGAATTACAGGAAGAACTTGATTGGATGTTATAATGATGCAGATAGAAATTTAAAATACGGTAGTTTTGGAGAAGAAAATTTTAGTTTATTACTATCACCTGTTTCAAATAACACAAAGGCAGACTTTACATATAGACATATTGTAAGTGGACTGGCAGCACTGAAATCAGAGAGATTATATATTAGTCACAGTAGAGAAAAACAACCTAGTCTGCATTTGATGGCATCAAGTAGGTTAAATTAAAAAAGAACATAAAGGATGGTAGTAGTGGTAGCTACAGTATGGCAGAAATATGTTGTCAGAATATGAAATCAGTATAAAGATTCCATACATTAACTTATGAACAATGGTTAGAATGCAGTACTACAGACTACTTCTGCTGACTGCCTACTGACTGCAATTTGGCACTTCGAGTCCCACCGGCTCAAGGCCTTCAATCTTTCCAAGGTCGATAAAATGAGGACCCAGATTGTTGGGGGCAATATGCTGACTCTGTAAACTGCTTAGTAACGGCTGTAAAGCATTGTGAAGTGGTATATGAGTCTAAATACCGTTGCTATTATGTAAACTTGAGGAACAAAAGGAAGACATAAGAAATATTGTGAAAAAAATCCAAGCAACTTAAAACAAGGTCTTTAGGAAAAAGAGACTGGATGAAATATCAGGCAATAAAAAAGAAGTTTGTAAGCTATCAGCATCAAAAGAGTAGGGACAAAAAGAAGATAGAAACTTAAACAAGAAAAGTCTTTCTTACAAGCTTAGAGAAATTGCTTTTAACCATTTAGTCATGTTTAACTCTGGGTGACTTTATAAGCAAATACTCTCCACGCTATCCTGTCAAGCATATCTTCTTTCAATTGTTGGATGTTCAACTTTGGATCAGATTTGATGTTATGAAGCCAGCATGCTCTTTGCTCGCACCTTCTTCTTTGTTTACTAACTATTCTTAGCATCATTGCCTTCTCTAATGAATTTCTACACATAACATGAACAAAGTAAATCAAGATGTAGTCTTATTTTAGCTTCCAGTGATGTGTCTGGTTTTATACAATTTAAACCTGTTAGTTGCTATGGCTGTCCATGGTATATGCCCGTGGTATATGGCAAACCTATGGCACACATGCACGAAGTGGCATGTGAAGCCATGTTGCCCAGCATGCCTTGCCTGTTTGTCTTCCTGGTTTCTGGTGTGCATGCATGTGTGACAATCAACTATCCTTCGTGCTTGCAGCAGTGCTGAAAACCGGTGTGCACATGCTCGCTGGCCAGGTGATTGTTGGGCGCACATGGCACTAGAACCCAGACGTTTGGCTTTTCCGGAGCGCCCCCCCAATGAGTGTGCACGTACACACAATGTGTCCACATGACCTTTTCAGCACTTGGTGCTGAAAGGTTCGCCATCAATGGTGCATGCAGTAATTTACACCAGCAACATAGTTCAAAGGTGTCACTTCTTTTTTAGTCAGCCGTTTTTAGTGTCCAGTTCTCATACTCATTCATCATTACAGTGAAGACTATTGCTTTAATTAACACGCTTTTTGTATTTATATTACTATCTCTGCTTTTGAAGATCTTATTTACAGTATGTTAACCATTGCAGTGCGGCCTAAGGTTATCCTGCATTTGATTTCAGGAGAACTGCCATCATGAACAATTTTGGATCCAACAAAGATAAATTATTGAACTAATTCAATTTTCTCCTTGTTGATTTTAAATTTTTCATGTCCATCTGTAGCTGTTGTCATTATCTTTGCTTTTCTGATTTCTCTTAATTTTTTAGAGAAATTACAGAGTATATATTTAAGGTAAGATTGATTACAGGTAGTCCTTAAGATACCTGTCACTTAATGGCCAAAGTTACAACCAAAACCTTCCCCCCCCCTACACACAACCCCATTTCAAAGTGGCTGCACCGGCTCTATGGACATTCACCCTTATGAATTATCACAGGGATGCTACAGCACCATGATCTATTCCCATCCCACTTTGCTGGGAAACCCCAGTGCTTGGATCTACTCCCCATGGCTCCTGGAAGCAGCCACTATTTTCAGTGCTCTGACAATTCCTTGCAGAAATGGCAGCTGATTTTAGAGCTTTCTGTCCTAATCATCTGGCTGTCAGGAGACTGCAAACATCTCCTAGTTCCTGTTGGGTTTTAGGCAGAGCTAGCAAATTCCCGATGGGGATATTCTCTCTCTTAAAAATGCTGGAGTTCCTAGAGCTAATAATTGTAGAATCCCTCCAATTCTAGGAAAGCGTGCTTTCCTCCAGACCTCCCCCAAATCATAATTTACTTCTGTATTCTCAGATATAATTATTAGGGAGATAAAAGCAACTTGCCAAAATTAATAATGTAAAGGATTGTTAGGTATTTTGCCTGAAAAGCTTGGCAATAGATTTGTTTATCAAGAGATTTCCATTATTTTGCGCTCAATAATTATTCAATGAAACCTTATTTTTTATGGCAACTGTAATCCATCTGAGATATTTCTGTCTGCAATGATCTGTAATTTTATTTTTTTGTTTTTGTAAACATGAATTTGAAAGATTCTGGAAATTTTTGCAAAAGCAACACACACCTCTTTCTGCTTTGGCTTCTTGTACCAGGCTTGATTCACCCAATGTTTCACTCCACTTCAAAGCGAAGTCCAAAGTAGACCAGTTCTTTGCCCCATTTTGATTTAACAACTCTCAACAGTCTCTATGGACAGTGGAAGCCATTGATCAGTGAGCCACATTAATTCATTTACTGCATTACTTTTAAAATATTTTAATTTAAAACAAGCATGCTCAGCTGTTTGGGTCACATTCTCTCAGAATAAATGAATTCATAAAATGAAAGTAGTATAACACATCACACACGTTCTCAGTCAACATGTAATGCCCTGGGTTTATTTTGTGAGAGTTCTATCACAATTCCAGGTGGGATTAAAAACCTTAAGGATAATGTAAGCCATCAGAATGGGCATTCAGACCGGTACTAACAAAGCACTAGTAGTAGAGTCCTAAGAATCATTCTCTTCACAGAAGAGACAGCAAATATTTCCAAAGAAAGGCACCCGAGAGTTGTGGTTCTGGTCTTTCAGCCTTTTGGAGAATATTAAAAGAAAAGGGGGTTGGGGGTTGGGGAAGGAAAGCTGGCTGTTTTCAGAAATTGGAATGATGAGACATGTACAGCAATTACTGCATTCTTTTCCCTTTTAGCTTTTTTTTTCAAAAAGAACAAGAATGAAGTCTTTAATAACAATTACACAATAAAAAAATATAATTTGTGATTAAAAGAATGGCAAGACAACATAAAACTCCAGTTGTAAGGACTCCATTTGCATACTTGATTTGACACCACTATTTTGGTGCATAAGAAAATGGGACAACAGAAGGGGCTATATGAAGAGCAGCAACATAACTTTAGTGCTTTAAGTACCAGAAACTGCACACATGCTTGTGAGCTAGTCAGTTGAATAGAATCCATGAGACTTCATCTTTAGTTTGTTACTTGCCTTGTGATTTTAAAACAGGAAGATCATATTGAGTAGCACATTCCCCATTTTTAAACTGATGTCTTTTTAAAAAATTCTGTATGTATGTCACCATTTTTCACATGATACACAAAAAACTCAAGGACCCAGAGGGGGAACCAAGTTATGTTAATATCATTTACAAAATACCAAGGAGTCCACAGCTACCTAACACATTTACTACAGCACAGGAACCAATGAAGGTACAGTGTACAAAAACTGTAAACACAGCACAATAAATAGATAAAACAGCAGGTTCCGCACCATGCACATGATGTCATGACACTTCATCTTTATACAATCTCACTTCTTACACTCTTACTTTGTTGCAATTCTCCCTCCCCCCGTCCCAAGTGCAAAGCATCACAAATGAACGGTTCTGTATTCAAGTAACATATATACAAGGGTATTACAAATATGCAGTACTGTACAGATAATTGCTGTTGTCTTAATTTACAGGTATTGATTTTTTTCCTATTAACAATAAGAATAGAAAAACCAAAGCATGAGAGATGTGCATTGCTGTCAAGTCCCCACAGCTGCCATGGAAATACAATATGCTGCATTCCAACATCCCTTGCATTCAAATTGCTACTGATGCATAGCACCTAAACAAGTTCCCGAAGACTGAAGTTTCGTTACTCAGAAACTACGTCACCTCCATTGCTACTGTATTGTCTGCTATATTGTTCAGTGCTGACTTTTCTGTTTCATGGTTTTCCCTGAAAAATAAAAACAGAACAAAAATACATTGGTTGAGTATCTAAATTGGAAAATGTCACACTTAAAAACATGGTAAAAGTACTTATATTCCATGTTTGGAATGTCAGTGTAGTGTAATAATATATTTCTTTCCAATTTCAATCAGTGTTGTCTCATACTTATTGAAACACTGTGTAAAAATAAACCAGTTACACTTCAAACTGAGATACTAATCAATTTATTTTTTTAGGTGGTTGATTAAACATATTCCTAAACATCTCCAAGAAAAGAACACTACCTGCAGATTTAATGCAGCTAGGATTGAATATAAGTAAATTAATCCCTCTTTGCCTTGCGAGACTCCCCCCTCTCGCAAGCCTGGCCTTCCATGTTATCGAAGGCCTACCTCGATGAAGGGCTTTGGAACCCAGAGAGGTGGCATGTCACGAAGAGGGGGTTGAGGGGTTTTTTAGATAAAGTTTTAGCAAATGTCTTAAGGGGTTCCGGGGGGGGGGGAGGGTTGGATCAGAAGTAAGGCCGTGGGTATGGGGGATAACCCACTAAGGGGAGGGCCAGGTAAGGCTGTGGAGCACGGCATGGGGGGTGGGGGGCCCGGGGTCAAGAGGGGGGATAAAGTTCATCCAGATAAGGTTTTTACCATCAGTACCGTGGGTGGGAGGGGTAGATATGGCGGGAGCAGGGGGCCATATCATGTTAGGGGAGCGCGCGCCCGCTGTCTTCGAGCGGTGGCGCGCTCCGGCCCCCAAAGCTCCACTCGTTTTCCAGGTGGCGCAGATCCTCAGGGCCCTGGCCTCCGTCTGATGTTATGCAATGCCAGGTCTGTAGTAAATAAAGCCCCCCTCATTTGTGATCTTGTTCAGGAGGGGGGAGCGGACCTGGCAGGTATTACGGAAACCTGGTTGGGCCAAGAGGGGGGGGTCCCTCTTGTTGAAATGTGCCCACCAGGTTTCCGCGCATTCCATCAGCCGAGGTTGCAGGGTAGGGGCGGGGGGGTAGCGGTTATTATTAACGAAGGTCTGAGACCGAGGGAGGCCACTGTTCCTCAGACGGCCGGCTGTGAATCCCTCCTTGTGAAATGGGGCCACGGGGTTCAGATGGGTTTGCTGATCACATACCTGGCTCCCTGCCATGTGGCAGCAGCCCTGCCTGAGCTACTCAGTGTCATCGCCACGGTGGCGGTTGAGACCCCTAGGCTTATGGTCATGGGGGATTTCAACTTGCCGTCTGTTGGTGAGGCATCTGAGGTGGCTCGGGAGTTCATGGCTTCCATGACAGCCATGGACCTGACCCAGTTAATTCATGGCCCTACCCACACGGGGGGAAACACGCTGGATCTGGTTTTTGTCTCTGGACAGTGGTTGAGTGATCTCGAGATAGGGGATATAGTCACCGAGCCCTTGTCATGGTCTGATCACTCTCTCCTTCGTCTCGACCTTCGAACCGCTACACCCCGCCGCAGGGAGGCGGAGCCGGTAAGATGGTTCCGCCCCAGGCGCCTGATGGAACCGGATAGGTTCCAGATGGAGCTTGGGCCATTCCCTGAGGCTCTGGCACACGCCTCGACTGGAGACCTAGTGGCCGCCTGGGATAGGGCGGCCGCTGGAGCTCTGGATCGGGTCGTGCCTTTGCGGCCTCTGACCTGGCGCCGATCTCATTTAGCTCCTTGGTTCACTGAGGAGCTGAGGGAGTTGAAGCGCCGGAAAAGACGCCTAGAGAGTAGTTGGAGGGCCAGTCTTTCTGAATCTGACCGGACACTGGTAAGAGCTCATATTAGGAATTACCTAGTGGCGATAAAAGCAGCGAAATGTAGCTATTTTGCTGCTCTTATTGCGTCATCAGATAATCGCCCGGCCGCCCTGTTTAGGGTGACCCGCTCCCTGCTCCACCAGGAAGCGCGGGAGGACCCCTTGGAGGGTAGAGCCGAGGATTTTGTCCAATATCTGTATGACAAAATCGCTCAGATTCGGGAAGATCTGGACTCCGACTGGATAGTCTCAGGGGGAGGGACTGGGGCAGGTCTTGAGAATGTTATCTGGGATGAGTTTGATCCTGTGACCCCTGAGGACGTGGACAGGATTCTGGGTAGACTGAACGCGACCACTTGTTTATTGGACCCGTGTCCCTCCTGGTTAGTGCTGGCTTCTCGGGAGGTGACACGAGGCTGGTTCCAGGGGATTATAAATGCTTCGCTGGGTGAGGGTGTCTTTCCTTCCGCCTTGAAAGAGGCGGTGGTGAGGCCTCTCCTCAAGAAGCCTTCCCTGGACCCGGCAATGTTGGTAAATTATCGTCCGGTCTCCAACCTTCGTTTTGTGGCAAAGGTTGTTGAGAGTGTGGTTGCGCAACAGCTTCCCCAGCACCTGGATGAAACGATGTATCTGGATCCGTTCCAGTCGGGCTTCAGGCCCGGGTACAGCACGGAAACGGCATTGGTCGCGTTGGTTGATGATCTCTGGAGGGCTCGGGACAGGGGGTGCTCCTCTGTCCTGGTCCTGTTAGATCTCTCAGCGGCTTTTGATACCATCGACCATGGTATCATGCTGCACCGGTTGGAAGAGTTAGGGGTGGGAGGCACTGTGTTGCGGTGGTTCTCCTCCTTTCTCTCTGACCGGTCGCAGTCCATGTTGACAGGGGGACAGAGGTCGACCCCGAGGCCCCTCATATGTGGGGTGCCGCAAGGGTCGGTCCTCTCACCTCTCCTGTTCAACATTTATGTGAAGCCGCTGGGCGAGATCATCCGTGGTTTCGGGGTGGAGTACCATCAGTACGCTGATGACACCCAGCTGTACATCTCCACCCCGGATCACCCCAACGATGCCCTTGAAGTGATGTCCCGGTGCCTGGAGGCCGTACGGATCTGGATGGGGAGGAACAGGCTCAGGCTCAACCCATCCAAGACCGAGTGGCTGTGGTTTCCGACGTCCCGATATAGCCAGTTGACGCCATCACTGACTATTGGGGGCGAATCATTGGCCCCCACGGAGAGGGCTCGCAACTTGGGCGTCCTCCTGGATTCACGGCTGTCTTTAGAAGAGCACTTGACGGCCGTGACCGGGAGGATTTTTTATCAGGTCCGCCTGATTCGCCAGTTGCGTCCCTTTCTGGATCGGGACTCGTTACGCACGGTCACTCATGCCCTCGTCACCTCCCGCCTGGACTATTGTAATGCTCTCTACATGGGGCTCCCCTTGAGGAGCACCCGGAGGCTCCAACTGGCGCAGAGTGCGGCTGCGCGGGTGGTAATGGGAACGACATGGCGCTCCCATGTAACACCTCTCCTGCGCGAGCTGCACTGGCTCCCGGTGGTCTTCCGGGTGCGCTTCAAGGTTTTGGTTACCACCTTTAAAGCGCTCCATGGCTTAGGGCCTGGTTATTTACGGGACCGCCTACTACCACCAATAGCCTCCCACCGGCCAGTACGCTCTCATAGAGAGGGACTCCTCCGGGTGCCGTCAGCCAAACAGTGTCGACTGGCGGCCCCTAGGGGGAGAGCCTTCTCTGTGGGGGCACCTACCATCTGGAATGAGCTCCCCCCGGAGATACGGAGGATCCCGGATCTGCGCTCCTTCCGCCGTGCTGTGAAGACCTTTTTATTCCATCAAGCGGGCTTGGCCTGATCTCTTCCCTTTTTAAAATATGTAAATTTTAATCTGTTTTTAAATTATTGGGGTATTTTAATTTGTCTGGGCCAAAAAGTTTAATTTGATTTTATCGGGTTTTTAAATTTTGTGTATTTATGTATTTTATTGTTGGCTGTTCACCGCCCTGAGTCCTTCGGGAGTAGGGCGGTATACAAATCAAATAAATAAAATAAAAATAAAATAAATAAAATAATCCAACGCCATCCCCTTCAACCTCCCAATGGGCAATAATGACAAAATCAATAAAATTAATCAAAAAACAAATGTAGGATTCTTTGAGTCAATCTTGAATCCTAAAGATCTCTTGAAGAAATCAATGGAGAAATCTGGTATTTTTTATTTGAGTTCCTATCTGCAGCCCCAGAATTTCTAGGTAATATCCTATCCTATTATTTAATATTTTGTCTGATTTATATACCGCCTTTTGTTCAGGAGCTGAAGGTGGTATCCACAGCACCCGGTTCTCATTTTTTTGCAAAACCACCACTTGTGATATAGTTTGGTCTGACAAAACTCCCATGGCCAAGGATGTCCTCTTTGGAGCTATTCCAACAGGTTAATGATTACAGCACACTGGCTTTAATGTTGAAAATAAAAAGATTGGGAGGGGGGACGATAGGTGGTAATTTGATCACATGCATTATTATTTTCAGAGCTAGAACACATCAACCTTAATGTTGCAAGTATTACTATATACACATTTCCAAGTTGGAGGTATTAATATTCTTGGGATACCCAAATCTACAACAAAAATAGAAAAATGAAAAACAAAAGATAATAAGATCAAAAGCATAAAAAGTGAGATCTTTATAATCCTTACAATAAATGATTAGTAGGTTCCAATTTTACTAAATGAAATCAATGAAAATTAGGAAGCTGTGAATTAAGTAGACTTTCCTAGGTGTTTATTGTTCAGCAGCACCAAGGCCCTTTTTTTTGAAAATCAAATTTTACAAAAGTAGTCTGTCCCACTTTTGATATAAACATCACAAATTATTCAATATTTCTGATTATAGAACTTCCATTTTCACTAAGAATTTAATGCAGAAATTAGAGATTGTTTGAAAGAATTTTCTACTGATACCACTTTGCTTAGACATCTATAAAAGTCTTCTTTTTCAACTTGAAGATTTCAACACGACAAAGTACTTACCTTGGTATTGTGTCCACAGAGGATGAGGCTGGCACCTTGGGCACCTGACAGTTTGCTGCAGCCAGCTTTAAGGCAGATGATGGAACAGCACTTAGAGTCCTAGGTATGTGCCGTGCATTGAGCGTATTAATAGAGTTTGCAGTGCCAACAGATGAGGGTACAGTTAATCTAATGTTGTTCCCAAACAGAACCTGAGTTGTTGCAGAATTGGCAGCAGTTACTTGGTGACTCAGTGCACTGTGGGAACTTGAAGTCTGTGTTATATTTGAAGGCTGTAACAAGGCTGAACCTGCTGTTGATGAGCTTGTATGTACAAGTGCTGTAGGCGTAGTATTACTGAAGTGTAAGCCCTTATATACTCCTGTGAAATAAAAAAAAAAAGTCAACCCAATGAAAATAATAAGTTATTGATTTAACTCTCTCTCTTCTCCCACATTTCCCCCACCCATCCGCAATTATACTTTTTGACACAACAATCATTACCACTTCTTACCTGAGGCTTGAAGGATGCCATTCACCCCAATTCCAAGCACCACATCATCCTTCATTTTGAATCCCATGAGCTGTTCTGATGTAACCAAGGCTGAAGCAGCAAACTGAGCACTGACAGAATCCAATGTCTTGGAATTAAAACCCTTTTAAAGAGAAAAAAAAATAACATCAAGCTATTATCACATATTACAATATATCTCTGAGCTCAACAATAGAGAATGGAAAAGTCACCAGTTTCTGTTAAGAGTTAAGTATGGAACATTTTTTAAAATTCAAAACTACTATATAGTGACACCCCTGGTATATAGTATAGAATATATGGGAACAAACAGTTCACAATCCTAAGAGAAGTAACAGCCACAAAGGCATGCACTAAAGATCTGCTTAAAAACTCAATTTCATTTTTTCCCAAGCAAATACTTGATTACTAGCATGCGTAAGTATATACACAATCATAAAATTAATTATTGGTATTTTCTGACTAAATAAAGAAGTTCTTTTCACTGGAATTTTAAACTGTAGCATCTTGTATTTTTTAAACACTTGTATAAATCAAGAAATTCAGCCAAATACTATATATCGTGATTAGCTGCTCTAACCCTTATTAAGTTAATTACTAATAAGAGATAAAAAGCTTTATTTTCTGAAAACATTGAAGGGTTTAAAATATATGATGCCATTCACATTAAATAGGGATTGATCTGTAAATTTAGTGGAGGGTAGAAGGGAAAGCAAGTGTATACAATTTAAATTAATGAGTTATCCAGAATTTTTTTGAATAGTGGTATCCATCAAGACTGGCCAGCATTAATGCAAGTTCTATTCCTTTGGAATATGCATTCAATATTGCGATGTTGTTGACATCAACCAGACAATTCTTGTTTTCCTCTGCTGCATATTTACAATGCTGAATCACCTTTTTCTGTTACAAGGGGCAGCATTAGTGCCATCTATACTCACCTGAAGCATAACTTCTAAACACTAGCGTATGGCTAAGATGAAGATTCAAGCGAAAGCCATTTTTCTGTTGGTTAGTTGCAAGATGTTATGGCAACAGTTGAGAATTAGAGATGACCCCTGGTGGAAAAAATGAGGAATAAATCATAATACAGGCAATTCCCTCACCTGTGAAGCGTTCGCAGAATTACTATTTGCTTGCTGTTGATGAATTTGTGCAAGCTGCTGCTTCTGCATTAGTGCCAGTTGTTGTTGATGATGCTGGTATTGTTCGGCTGTAAATGCTGAACAAAATATAAAATGAGAGAATACTGTATCAAAATATGTAGACCAATATGTGCATCCCCTAGTTTAAATTCTAAAAATGCACAGGTCTTAATCATAGTACATTTATTTAGTACTCCACCTCTAGTGGGATCTCATACTAACTGCACTTCCAAAATAAAGGTTGGTTGTAAACCATGCAAGATTAAGTATTTGAACTGCTGTTATAGAACGCAAATTGTTGTATTCTGATCATCATAGTAGCAGAATTTCTGATACTCATATCAGCTAATATATGTTCCTTGTTCCTAAATTTTGATAATACTGATATTCAACTGAGAATTTATGTATGTATATGTAACTATGTATATCAAAATATAAATGGTGATATTGTAATAATTCAACTTCCCTCAATTAACCCATCTGGGGGGAAAATCCAGTCAATAAGAATGGAGTTGATTATGTTAATTTACAGAGGAATGTAGAAAGACTATATTATACTATTTATTGTCTATGGAGAGTTCTAAAAATAGAAACGTTTCATTGCAATTTTTGTTTCACTGCATCTTAATAAAAATCTCCCTAATGCCAACTTTTAAAGTGAATTTAGACAGAATAATACATTATAAACTTTGTTTCTAGAACAAAATGGCAACTTTTCCAAATTCAATTCAATTTGTTTTAAATACAGAAATTTGGACACTTTACTTCATCAGGTATTATTTAAACTTCCTGACAGAAAATTAAAACTCACGTCTACTTTTTAATTCCATGCACAAGACAAGATACATGTCAAGTTTCAAAAACAGATTACTTATGTAGAATTTTGTTCTGTGCACATAAAATGAAGTAAGGGAGATGGTTGAGATAGAATTATTGGTGCACCATACACTTTTGATTAATGTAGCCTTCATAACTACAATTCCAAACTAATCTTCATAAAACTTTTGCCTATCTAGAGGTGTCAGAGTATTCCAGTGTAGAAAAATGTCAGAGTTCGTGTTTTATTTCCCGCCAAATATCAAGGAATGATGGCTTTTAGGCTTTAAACTGCAGCAAAAACATTTAAGTTTTAAACAAATTTGGCTGGATGTAGCCTTAATATTCATCTATTTAAATTGAGTCTATTTGTACTTAATACACCTATGAGAAAAATATAGTGTTGCAAAGTCAATAATTTATATATTGCATAACAAACAATTATGCCAATATAACTGTTTGTGGTATTGACTTTTGGAATATGGAATGAAAATAAGTCTATACAAAAATGTTGTTAAGGGTACAGTGGTGGAAGAAAATGTAGTCAGAATAATAATTAGATATTCATATTAATTCCATTATTAATTCCATTCCACTGAACAATGTATACATAAGAAAATGTAGGTAGCTACAGCATAAATAAATTGTGGTGACGCAGTGGTTAGAATGCAGTATTGCAGGCTACTTCTGCTGACTGTGAGCAGTTTGGCAGTTTCAAGTCTCGCCAGGATTAAGGTTTACTCAAGCCTTCCATCCTTCCAAGGTTAGTAAAATGAGGAGCCAGATTGTTGGGGGCAATATGCTGATTTTGTAAACTGCTTAGAGAGGGCTATAAAGCACTGTAAAGCCGTATATAAGTCTAATTGCTATTACTATTATTGAACAAAACCTAATATAAATTAACTTCCAAACAAAAAATACTTGTGCAGTATTTCACATCACTGTTCCCATTGGTAGCCTTTCTTTATCTGATTTCATAGCTTGTATAGACTCATAAAATGCAAGTAATAGAATAACCATACTGGTTATACCACAGAGTTCTTTAGGAATGCTTAGAATATTTTTCATTTTAAACAAGTGGTTTCTGTTCTATATTAAATTTCTATTGAAAACTTCATTTTTAAAAATGATTTTTCATGTGGCAAATGAAACGGTGGTTTGAGATGTGCAAGCCAAAATTGTATGGAACACACAATCCTGGTATTTTCCCAACAAAAACAATTGCATATGTAGGCTTTTGTTTGTTCCATGTAAATTCACATATATAAATTTTGTTTGAATTTCTTCCCCTAAATTTTTATGTCTGAATTTAAAAATAGTTTTTAAATGCTTGATTCTAGAAAAAATTAGGGATACTTGGGTTCACTCAAGCATGCCCATCTTTGCATATATGTTTTAATGATTGAAGTATGCAAACTGAAATGATCAGTGCACAGAGGCCCTATTGCAATGTGCATAATTAGTTGATTATGATAGCTTTAAATTGTATTAATTAATTCAATTTATATTGTCACCCATCTCAAATTGATGAGTCTAGGAACTTATTCTAATAATTTTCTTCCTATGGTCTATTTTATTTCTCAGCTATTACTGATATAACTTTCATCTCAACATATTAGACTTGTGGTGCACAATGTTTTGAATTTTAAAATATGTTCAATAGTCCTCAGCTATCAACCATAATTGAGTTCAACATTTCAGTTGCTAAGCAAGATAGTTGTTCAATGAGTTTTGCCCCATTTTATGATTTTGCTTGCCACAGTTGTTAAGTGAATTACTGCAGTTAAGTTAGTAACATAGTTGTAAAGTGAATCTGGCTTCCCCATTGACATTGCTGGTCAGAAGGTCGCAAAAGGTAATCACATGATCCTGGGACACTGTTAACCATCATAACTATAAGCCAGTTGGCAAGTATCCAAATTTTGATTACGTAACCATGGGATGTTGCAATGTTTGTAAGTGTGAAAAACAGTCATAAGTCACTTTTTTAGTGATGTTGTAACTTTGAGCAGTCACTAAGAGAACTGTCATAAGTTCAGGACTAACTGTATATCAAGCTATTTCCAATTATTTTGAAAGTGCTCTAACGTTAAAACAGCTTTGTTCCAAATATGATATATTTTATTTTGAGCTTGAAACTTTTATTTTAGAAATGTTTCAGGGCAACCCATTGCATTTTGTTTAATTTGAAACATTGTCTTGGTACTAAACTAGACAGTGTTTAGGCACACAGAAACACACACTATCTTGCAGATTTTATTGAGAAAAACAGCAAATAAACACATGAAAACTGCCCTGAAGAATATGCTTGCAAAACATCTTGACTTTAAAGTTTTAAAAATCTGATTATTTTATTAGCTTTCTTTCTGTATGATTTATAATTTAAATATTACAAAACCTGAGAAAATACTAATAATCTGATGTTTTTTCGTAAGTGTTGTTCAGTTTAACAATGATTAAGAGAATAACAACATGTGGAAAATATTTTCTATCTATCCATTGAAGCACATTTGGTGACTTGCAGATTAAAGAACAGCAGTGTCACAAGAGTTTTATAAGCAGCCTAGAGTCACTCTGAGTTGGGAGGCCATATATATTTTCATAAATGAATTAATAAATGGGTGTGTTGAGTTGTGCCCATAACCACACCACAGGATTATGGACTAGCAAATTTTCTAGCAGTCCCCAAGGGCAATCCCAGGTAAAGCAAACGGCAGTACAAAATGATGACTAAGCATGAGTTACATTAAGAAAGACCTGATCCACAATGGCATGATTACAAAAATACAGATTCTTCCTGTGACATTTTTCATTGAATAAATAGCAGTTTACTACCGCATATGAATGTAATTCAACTACAAGCTAGTATTTTATAACTTGTTTTCAATTTAAGTTGGAAAATTAACACAATTTTCCATATTCACAAGAAGTGCAAATTCTGGCTTTTCTGAATAATGACAAATATGAAATTGAATTGTAAAAATGGGAAGAAGGGGAAGACTACATAAGTTTGCAGCCTCAAATTATGACTGAATTGTAACATCTAAAGACCTTGTTGAACTATGTCAAACAATCAGCCATGAACCAGGTTTATGAAAATTGTAGAATATATTTTAAATTATTTCACAGTTTATAGTCAAATTCTAATTTTTCTTTAGTTACAGTTTTTAACTTTTCCTAGTTATGCAAGCTATTTATTCCACATGCAACTAAAATAACAATACAGCAGCAGGCAAGCTCATTAGAGCAGGACAGGCAGCTATAATGAAAATTTGCTAAAACAAGGTAAGACAAATGTGTTTTCTTTGGTGGGCCAAGAGTTCTAACTTATTTTGGTATCAAATGAAATACTATTCCAATATCTTCATACTTCTGTTTGGAATCAATTATGTAATTCAAACAGACTGATGAAATTAGATATAAAAATAAGTTTTGAGTCTTATACAGACTTGATCCATTATTCAAGTCATAAATAGCAATTATAGTAAACAAAATGATTAGACAATTGAAATGACCAAAAGTCTTAATAAAATTGCTACGGCCATTATTATATACATTCTTTTTATTCATCCATATCAGAGATGATTTCCCCGTCTTTTATTTAAGAAATAAATATACATTGCTACAGAACCGTTCCAACATAATTTAAAAAGGGTTTATATCAATTACAAAAGATAACAAAAGACGATGACCACAACTGAAACATTACACTCTCAAGATTTACATTTGCAAATTACATATTTAACTAACACAAATCTTAGTAATTCCTTCCAGAATTCTATAGCAATGTACTTTAATCAAAAAGCCATATCCTTCTTAGCTGTATCCCAGCTTGTCTGACTCATCGTTTACAGTTTAGAAATATAATTCTGAACTTCCAAAAACAACAACAAACAAATCAACCCTTCCTCACTGTAGTCTTAAAATAATATTCCTGCTCATTTTTAGACATCATGTATATAAGACTTTTTTTTTTAGAAAAAAAACACAAGATCCTTTTACAAGAAATCAGGATAGAATTGTTTCTTTTCAACATATTAATGGCTTCTCAAAAACAAAAAACTTTTTTATTTGTACCATTTCCTTAAGATATGATGTAGATGTAAATATACTGCCCAAGAGGCTACAGGCTGAAGATTTCAGTGGCGATCTCTAAACTTTTTGTCCTATTAAATATAACTCATAAGTTGGTCCTTTAAACCAGCAGGACTCTTCACGATTTTGTATATCACTAAATTTTGGATTTTAAGTGGTGATGTTTTGAACGTTTCAAATCAATTCCTTATTTTTGCATTCCTAATAGCAAATTATACATTGTCAAAACTGAAAAATATAAATAAATAAGAAATGTAAGGAACGAACTCTATAAAATTCTACTAAAAATTTAAAAACAAAATAGATTCAATACAGCTATAATTACAATTTAGCTATAATTAAAGTACAAACTACCATATTTTTCTGAGTATAAGATGCACCTTTACCCCCCTAAAAGCAGGTGAAAATTTAGGTGTGTCTTATACACCGAATGTAGCCCCGCCCACCCACTTTGGCCTCTGCCTCCCAGCAGTTACCTCCTTGCAGCAAGCAGCAAGCAAACAGTTCCTTTCAGCTTCAGCACAGCAAAATTAGCACAAGTTGATTGGATCGGCCTCCAGACTCTCAGCGGGCCTCTGCTGCAAGCAGATTTTTTTTCCCTTGTGCTAATCAAGCTATGCTGAAAACAAAAATGAAAGTAAAGCAGGTTGTTTGTTGCAATGAGGCAAAATTGCTGGGAGGCAGAGGCAGATTTCTTTTTCTTGTTTTCCTCACCAAAAAAGGTAGATGTGTCTTATAGTCTGGTGCGTTTTATACTCCGAAAAATACAATAAATCTGGACAAATCTACTATATCAATTTTTAATTTTAGCATGGCATTTAATCAGGCAGCATAAATATCAACAATTAAGGAAAAATATGGAAAAAATAAATAAAAATTAGGCTTTCAGCATCAATACTTTTAGAATTATATTAGTCAAAATCAACATACCAAAGTGTGCTGCACCACTGCTATCTTTACTTTGAATAGAGGTACTGCATGTCTGGGTCCCAGGTTGTGCTGTGCCTGCTCGATTAACACTCCTGTGCAATTTCCTATATGAAAGTTCATCATTGTCACTGTCATTTAGGGATGGTGTCCGAGGCCTAAAGTGACGCCATCTACGTGATTTGATATCGACTAGTATCTGACTGAGGTCTTTAGATAAATATCTGTCCGAGGTATTTGTTTCTGAGGTATTGGCAATTTGATTAACTGAAGAGTGTAGTTGTAAGGAAGGTGTTTCTGAATCCAGCTGGCAAAGTGCACTGTTGTTCTCTGAATATGCTCGGTCCAGAAGCACCCTAAAAATGGAAAGAACACTATTTTTAATTCCATACAAGCCAAAGTGTTATCCCTCTCTTCATCCAAAACCAGAGCTGAAAAAGCTTCTTGAATGAGAAGCGAAATGTCTTCAAAGAAAAATCAGTTGTCTTTTGAAAAAGCACTTTTGGGACAAGCATGACCTGGATGACTGAGAATCCACAAAGACTCCAAAATTATTTTTTAAATGTTAGGAAAAAATAGCGTAGAAATTCTGTATGAACATATTTTTCAAACTGGTTGTTTCAAGCATTGGAAAAAGATTTACAACAGGGTTATGTACAATTTGAAAATTATTTGGAAGAAATGGTAAAGACCCCATAAAAACTCTTATTGACTTTCTACTTATTAAAGCATTTTTTTTTTCATGCTTCCACATTAGCATAAAATAAGATGCTAGTACTTAATGGGTTAACTAATTAAAATGAATTTACTTAATGGGAATTAATAAGCTTATATGGAAACCTGAAAGAAACCTGGGCTTTTTTAAGGTATGGTAAAGAGATTTTATACTTGGGTGAGGTAAAAAACAGTTCTCCAAATCATTTTTAAACAAGTTCGGTCCTATTTAAGAGCTACATACAGGTAGTCCTTGATTTCAAGCACAATTGAGCCCAAAACTTCTTTTGCTAGTCAAGACAGTGAGTTCTGCCCATTTTGCGACTTTTCTTGCCACAGTTGTTAAGTAAATCTTGCTTCCCCATTGATTTTGCTTGTCACAATGTTGCAAAAAGTGATCAAATGACCCCAGTCATAAATACACACCATTTGCAATGTGTCCACATTTGGATCCCATGACCAGGGGGATGCAGTCATAGGTATGAAAAATGATCATAAGCCACTTTAACCAAAAGCCTCAGGTTGATAAATTTAATCTGCTACATGAATGCTAATTTCCTAGTTGAAATGAAACAGGACAATGTTTTTTTATTTGATATTTATGGATATTAGCATATAAGTGGCTGACTGTACCTTAGGATAGATTAAGACAGCAAAACCAAATAAGTCTGAATAGATGTCACTGTTAAAAAGGGATACCAGAATACTAGAATGGGCGTTGGTACTTACCTGATACGCCTCTTCTCTGACTGTCGGGCACGGCAGTCAGGAAGGGCGGCTGCAAGGGCGGTAAGGAGACGACGATCGATCGCCCGGCGGCATTTTTGGGCGTGACGGGACTTCCGCGCGTCCCTTTAGTGCTTTAAGCCGGCTGGCTAGCACTTTACCGAAGGCTTCCCTTGGAGCGACTAATTGAGGCCTCAGAGGACAGCGCGGCCTTTACCATCCATCGGCCTGCAGCTTGTCAGCGCGTAGAAAATTCCGTGCATCTCGAAGTGCTTTGACCGGCTGGCTAGCACTTCCTAAAGCCTTCTCTGCGGCTATTTACAATACTATCTCAGCGCAGTGAGTACAGCCCCTTGCGGGTCTTCGGTGGGCTTATTTCTTATTCGGATAATTAGCGGCCATATTATAGCCCTTTCAAGATGGCGGACGCCAGGGCTCATAGTAACGGCAACAAGGGGAAGCGCCCTCAGCCACCACGGGATCCAGAAGAGGGTACTTCTGCTAGTACCCAAACTAAGAGGCCCAGGATCCAAGCTCCTCCTCAGGCCCTAATGTCCAGGGAGGAACAGAGAAGACATAATGCAATAGAGAAGGCCTGTAATAAGGCAGCCTCCTCTTCGAGAGCTCAGCCTGGGCCTTCTTCTTCGTCTTCTGTCGCTGCACCATTATCTACCCCTGTCACAGTAGAGGATATTCCACAGCCTTCTTTTGTGCCAGATCTCTCTCCTGATATTTCAATCACAGATGATACCTTAGCTCCAGTGCCAGAAGCTGTATTCCCTTCGGTGGCTCCTGAGGCTCTTACTCCACAAACAGTTAAGGATCCAGGCCCTATTCCCCAGGCTTCTGGGGATCATGACAACCAGGCCTCTCAGGGCCAAAAGCTAGATGTCACTCCGGCTTTGGCCCAGTTGATTGCTGAATCCATCAGTCAGGGGATTGCCCAGGGGTTACAGGAGAGGGCATCTTCCAAAGTTTCAGATTATTTGAGCCGCCATACCCCTTCAGTCACCTCCCAACCTTTGCAGGCCTCATCTCAGGCCCCAACGAGGGCAGTTTCCCCTTCCAGGGACAGCCAGGGCTCCCTTTCAGGAGAGGAAGAACAGGCCATCATTGAGCAGGACTTATCTGAGGATGAGGGCTTGGAGCCTGATCAGCCCCCCTTTGTCGGCTTGTTCGCCCCCAAATGTTCCGCTCCTTATTATACAAGGCTCAAACCAACACTGGTCTTGGCCTTCCAGAGGCCAAGGACCAGCCTCAACCAGGGACATCTGCTACTTCCTCTTCCTTATTTGAGGTGCCTACAATTCAAACCGAAATAGTGCCAGCCCCAAAATTATTTACGGATGTATTACAGAGACAATGGAAGAATCCCAGTACAGGTCCAATCCCTAACAGCCTGGATAAGCATTTATATAATTTGGCGGCGGAGTATGCTTCTCTTTTGCAGATACCCTCTGTGGACACACCAGTAGCAGCCCTTTCATCACCTTCACCCTCTTCAGGCCCGGCAGAGGAATCCCTACGCCCGGAAGAAAGACAGAACGAACCCTCATCAAAGGTCACCAGGAGGCGGCCTGGTCTGTCCAAGCGGCTTCGGCCGCATCCTTTTTTAATCGGGCATCAATCCTCTGGTTAAAACAACTGCAAGGTCGTATCCCCTCTTCTGATGTGAGAACACATCAAGATATTAACAAAATATTAGCAGCGGTGGAATTTTCAGCGGACGCCACCTTGAATGCTGCCAGATTTTCCGCAAAGGCCATTGGCTCCTCAGTCACTTCTCGCAGGTTGTTGTGATTAAAATATTGGCAGGCAGACGTTCGTAATAAGTGGCGTCTGGCTTCATCACCATATGCTGGTGACAAGCTTTTTGGTCCTTCACTTGAACCCCTTCTAACTGAGACCAGGGACCACCGGAAGATCTTGCCAGCCATGTCTCGCAGGGCAGAGGGTTGTTCGTCTGGCTCCTTTTGATTGCAGTCCTTTTGAGGTTCCAACTCTGGCTATTTCCAGCAGAGGTCCCAGCGTTCTTTCCAGCAGCGGGGGACTTTCCATCAGGACAACCAGGTCAGACAGGGTCCTAGATATCCCCTCAGAAGACCCCAGAGGGGTGGTAGAGGCCGCCCCTTCCGAAGGTCTCGCTAGGGGTCTCATTCCTGCCCAGCTTGGGGGCCATTTGGCCCTTTTCTCCCAGGCCTGGGAGAATACCATTTCCGATGAGTGGGTTAAAAATACCATCAAATTCGGCCTTTCCCTTGAGTTTTTGTCTACCCCTCCTAGTAGGTTTATACGTTGCCCAGTCTCTCTTAACAGAACTAAGTGAGCCCAAGTGGAAGCGGCTATCCGTCACTTGTTGACTATAAGAGCCATCCAGCCGGTGCCCCCTATTGAATTTGGCCAAGGGTTTTACTCTCGGCTCTTTTTAGTACAAAAGCCCTCAGGGGACTGGCGCCCAATCCTTGATTTGAAATCCTTGAACCGGCACATAATTTATCGCCGGTTCAAGATGCATTCCCTACACATGATTTTACTTTGTATTCGGGAGGGGGATTTTTTGTCTTCCGTGGACTTAACTGAAGCCTACCTCTACGTTCCCATCCTTCCTAAACATCGTAAATTCCTCCGTTTTTGTTATAATAACAAACATTATCAGTACCGTGCCCTTCCTTTTGGCTTGTCCTCGGCCCCCCGGGCCTTTACCAAGATAATGGCTGCCCTTATGGGATATATAGCCACTCTCCCAATTAGGGTGTCCTTTTATTTGGATGATGTTCTAATTTTGTTGCGCTCCTGGCAGCACGCACAGACGGACCTAGCTACTACCCTTCAGGTCCTCCAGAGTCACGGGTTCTCAGTAAACTGGACTAAGAGCCACTTAACCCCTTCCACTCGGATCCATCACCTGGGGGCGGTTATTGATACCTTGTCTTCGGAAGTCTTCCTTTCCCCTGACCGAGTTGACAGCCTTAGGGATTTAGCTAGCCGAGTACAAAACCAGGGGTCCTCTTCCATTCTCTCCCTGTCTCGCCTTCTTGGCAAGATGGTTTCTACCTTTGGGATAGTCCCTTGGGTTCGTTTACACTGCCGGGACTTACAATGGCTACTACTACCTTTTCAATGTTCGCATAGGGACAACTCAACCACGAGGCTGATATTACCTCTTCCGGTTCTCCGGTCTCTTTCCTGGTGGACGTCAGGAGAGTGGCTAAAGGGGACCAAGTTCCGAGAACCTCAGCGTCTGCTTCTCACAATGGATGCCAGCTTGTTGGGGTGGGATGCTCATCTGGGCCCCCACCTAGCTCAGGGCCAATGGTCCGAGCACGAGCAGCAGATGAACATCAATGTGCTAGAACTGCGGGCCATCTTCCTCGCCCTAAAGGCCTTCAAGACACACGTCCTTCAACGGGATATCCTAATACTTACCGACAATGTAGCAGCCAAAGCGCATGTGAACCACCTTGGGGGGACGCGCTCCAGGGCTCTGATGCGAGAAGCACGACGGTTGGGCCTCTGGGTGGAGAATCACCTGGCATCAGTGCAGGCGGCTCACATCTCCAGAGTACAAAACCAGACGGCCGATTCCCTCAGTCGGGCACCGATAGACAACGCAGAGTGGTCCATTTCTCCTCGGCTGTTTCAGGAGGTAGTTCTCCGCTTCGGGAAGCCAACGGTGGACCTGTTCGCCAGTGCATCCAACCACCAGCTTCCTCGGTTCTTTACCAGGTTCCCCTGCCCCGAGGCGGAGGCAGTGGACGCTCTACGGAGTCCTTGGCCTGCCAACCAGCTTCTGTATGCCTTTCCCCCGGTCAACCTCTTGCCCAGAGTAGTGCGGAAGTTACTGCAGGAACAGGCGGAATTGGTACTTATTGCTCCTGCCTGGAACCGACCACCCTGGTTCGCGGATCTCGTGTCTTTGTCCCTACAACCCCCTTGGCGGATACCGGACGATCAGGTGGTGCTTGTCCAGGGTCAGATACAGCACCTGGACCCTCTCTGGTTTCAGCTCACCGCGTGGCGGTTGAGCGGGGTTTGATGGCCAAGCTCCCATTATCGGATTGTGCCATTTCGACTATCCAGGCATCGTGAAGAGCTTCAACTACTCGCATTTATGAATCCACCTGGCGAGCCTTCTCGTTGTGGTGTAAACGGCGCCTTCACTCCCCTACATCGGCCTCAGTTCTTCTGGTCATTGAGTTCCTTCAGGACGGATTTGTCTCTGGCCTTTCACCGAACACTCTTCGGCGCCAGGTGGCAGCCCTTTCCACTGTGTTGTCCGGCTCCTCGACGGACCCAATGTCCCGAAATCCACTGATTCGCCAGTTTCTGCGAGGTGCGACCAACATCCGACCGCCCACAGTCCATCGGTTCCCCACGTGGGATTTACCTAAGGTCCTACAGGCCCTCACCGGGCCACCCTTCGAACCTCTGCGAGACATTTCCCTGAAGCACCTTTCTTTCAAGGTGGCCTTTCTAGTGGCTCTAGAAGTACTTTCATTGCTCAACTGCATGCAAAGTTTACAAAGAGTCACATGATTTTTTTTCTTTCTTTAAAAACTAAATGATCCTTATTGTGAAAATTAATATTTTATAATTTGAGGATCACAAATTTAAACGTGTGGTAATTAGTAATAAATGTCAACCTGTAACTGCAGGGGTCAAAAGGCTAGGATAATTAAGAGAATGAATATTCTGCCAAATCCAATTTGAATTAAGATAAACCCTCATCTTTTAGATCTAGAAAAATAATCCAGCCTTTAAAAAGTTCATATAAATACAGATAATCTTCGATTTACAACCATTCGTTTAACGATGATTCGAACCTACAAGAGCACTGAAAAAAGTGTCTTATGACAGTTTTTCACACTTATGATCATTGCAACATCCCCATGGTCATATGAACAAAATTCAGACGCTTGGCAACTGGCTCATATTGTGACAGTTGTAGTGTGTCAGAATCATGCTATCATCTTTTATGACCTTCTGACAAGCAAAGTCAATGGGAAAGCCAGATTCACTTAAAAACTAACTCAACAAGTGCAGCGATTCACTTAACAACTGTGACAAGAAAGGTCGTAAAATATTCATATAACTGTCTCACTTAGTAACAGGAACTTTGGGCTCAATTGTGATCATAAGTCGAGGACTATCTGTACTTAAAATACTTTAGAAATTAGATCACTATGCACAAAAAATTCTTCCAAGTTGAGGCAATTTTGAATGTGATGACAGGAAAGTAAATTATGGAGACTTGTCAAGGAGTTTTCTTTGTAAAATATTAACTAAAGTATATAAGTATAAGTATAAGTATATTACTAAAATATACTTTTTTCCAAGTTGTGGTGCATCTGCAATAGTAGCAATGTAAAATACTTTTACACCTAATTTTTATGAAGTAAAGCACTGCTGAAGGTTCCAGATTAGCTGGATAATATTCTTTAAGAAAAATAACTTATTACATACTAAATCAGTATGTTACAGATTACTCTTGACAAAAGAATCCAGACAAGATATGATTAATTACTATTTTGCCACAGAATCTTTGTAGTAAAAATTACTAATGTAATTTACTGTGGATTTTTATGCAGCCTATAGAAAAAAAAGTTATACCCATGGAAATCATTGGATGAGAAATGAAGCTGCTTCTAAGCCTACCTATAATCTCTAGTTATGTACATAAACAGAGATGATCTTAGAAGACCCTCAATACATATACACCTTTAAGCAGAAGTTGCACAGATCTACAGGGAAGATCAAGAAGGATGAACTATGATATCTAAACTACCATACCCATGAACTACTGTATAACAGGTTTTCAGGATCTTCCCATTATTTTCAGGAAACTTACAGAGTGCAACGGCATACAAAATACGATTAATGCTAGCCTCTAAAAATCATGGATTCAAGGGGGAAAAGAGAAGAAGCAAAGTCACAATAAAGCTTTCTATAACAGAAGGACGAAGATCATAATCAAATCAGAGCTACAAAAATATGGATGTCTAGTTAAAATTTATGTGCTAAGTTAAATAACTGAGCAAACATGTTACAACTACATTATATATTTGTGTATAATGTACCCTGTTTCCCCTAAAATAAGACATCCCCTGATAATAAACCCAACTGGGCTTTTGAGTGCATGTACTAAAATAAGCCCCCCCCCGAAAATAAGCCTTCCCTGGAAATATTTAAACACATGCGCAGCTGGTCCCTGCCATTTCCTCTGGTTTCCTTCACGCTCCCCAAAATAACAAGACCTCCCCGAAAATAAGGCCAAGTGCATATTTCGGGGTTCAAAAAATATAAGACATGGTCTTATTTTTGGGGAAACACGGTACATATTGTACACAATATGGTATTATTGTAGTGAGTTTTAAGATAAATAAGCCTACCTTCCACCACGTCCAACCCGTCTACGTGAAAACCCAATGCACTTTTGTGGCCTAGTAAGGGTGGTCAAGCAATATCTATAACGCTCATCTCCTAACTTTCCACCTTTAGGAGTATTCCAAGGCCAGTCACCAGTTTGGTCTAAATGAGGCTTTGAAAAGAAATATTTGAAAAGGGTTAAAGCAAGAATTTAATTAATATAAGTGTAACAATATAATACTGTAGAAGTTCGAGACTTACAGCGTAATACTGACAGCCTGTTTTCCTACGGAAAGCAAATGGCCCATCAGGATCATTTTCTTCCTCAGCTTCAGAAGAGCCAGAAAAGACCTTTATAAAGAAAGCAGTAGGTAAGAAAAAGGAGGCAAGAATATTTCTTTCCCCTGAACCAAAGAAACTGTAGATGTCATACTTGAGAAAGAGGATCTTCATCAGAGCTGGGAAAGTCGTACTGATTCATATCTTTAGCATTAAAGATTGGCAGTGAAGCAGGAACTGTCTGCTGAGAAGCAATAGCAGCCGATGAAGGTACAATTTTGGGTTTCTTCTCATATTTTCTCTTCGGCCGTATAGCATCGGCTTTCTCTTGCTGCATGAAGAGAAAATGCATTAATAGTTTTATGTAACGATGTTCATTATAACCATTAGGAAAAGATGTAAGTTTAAAAGAATTTTTTAAAAATGCATCATTATGATAAAATGAGAGGGAAAGCGGATTTTTTCTTAACTAATATAGAATCAGGTAAGCCCTTTTTCAAAATGATGTAAATCATGGTTGACTTTATGAATTATTTCTAATAAGAATTATTTTGGGGTTTTTTTCAACTTCACAATCAAAACCATAAAACAACCTGGGATTTCCTGGTGATCTCGCATTCAAATACTGACTAGGTCTTTGCTTAGATTTTCAAGATCAACCAGGATTATTTCATAGGAAGCTTTAACATAATAGACCAGGGGTCTCCAACGTTGGCAACTTTAAGACTTCTGGACCAACTCTCAAAGGTGGTTGAGAAACTCTGGGAGTTGAAGTCCACAAGTCTTAAAGTTGCCAAGGTTGGAGACAGCTGTAATGAACTATCAAAATTACTTACAATAGTGGTAAGTGGTGGCTACCTAGAATTATCTTGAAGTTTTTTGGAATGAAATTAAGAACAGCTTACATGGTTTAAGCACATTTGTAGCATAAAATTACAAAGCAATTTTTTTCAAATAAGTAATATCTATAATGATTGATAGATAGACAGATAGAGTCACCTTGTTTATTTTAAATTCCTTCAATTCCATATTTTCCTGATGTTTAAATTGAGTGCTATTAGGAACTATTCCAACAGGAATAGTATAAGTAGGCTTCATAGGCTGTTGATGTACCATTACTTCTGACATGATATCTCCATTATAATCACCCAATTTATATCTGGAAAGTAAAGAAAAAGTTTTAATTTACTAGAACTAATCTTAAGGTCAGACACAAGAAATCAATATCTGGGACAGTTCAAAAGTGCTATGAATTTATTCCATGCTACAGATACACGAGAATCTGATCTACTAAAGCACCAGGATAAATTGGTGGTAGGTAAGAGACAATGGAATTCACACGGCTGGACTTGAAGTCTGATGGTAGCATAACAACTCCAAAATGATGATATGTTTGACTCCACCCATGTGCTCAGCCTGGTCATCTCTTATAGTTGACTTATATACTTAATATTTGTATCTTTATTCTCTTGAGAACCTATTTCAGCATTTCCTTACTTCGGCAATTTCCTGGAATAGAATTTATTTCCAGAATTTCCCATCAGCATGGACATTGCTGACAATCCAGGAGTTCAAAGTTACTGGAAACTCTCCATGCTGAGAACTACTGATCTAGATGTGAGGGTTACATCAGATCTTACTTAAGAAGAAAACATTTCATTACAGAAATACTCAGAATATAATTCTGAAAGGAGGATTGTAGTAAGCATGTAAATCTTTCAAATTTGAAATCCCAAAGGTGCTTTTCCCCCCCCTCAAGCGGCAACTGGACTTGTTTTCTTTGAAGACATTTTGCTTCTCATCCAAGAAGCTTCTTCAGATCTGACTGGATGGTGGGGAATGGAAGGATTTATATTCCTTGCAGACAGCTGGTCATTTGTATTCTTTTAGAGAGTCATTGAAGCCACCTGGAGGTTTATCTGTGTCCTCAGGATTACCTGAGTAGTGCAAATGGGTTTGGCGCCTTCTTAGAACTGTTAAAAGGACTGTGTTGTAGACTGGAGATAGATGATGTTGTATCCCTCTCCCTGTTGAGAGGGCTGTTCAATTTTGACATAGGTGGTCTCTTTGACCCCTTTCTAACCAGCGATCCTCTCTGTACAAAATATGGACTTTGCTGTCTTCAAAATGCAGATGAACTGCTGAAACTTGTCCTGATGGGTTTGTTCTCCTATGTTGTGCCATTTATTTATGAAATGGTTGTTTCCCCATTGTACACATCTAAACATGTCTCACTGCATTGTACTGCGTATACCACATTGTTCAGTTCATGTCTGGGTGTTTGAGGTGGAAAAGCTTCTGCCTTAGTGTATTCTTCGATTTGAAATATGCACATATGTTGTATTAGCTGAAGATCTGTCTGAGCTTTTCAGATATTCCTGCAACGTATGGAATGACAGTATTGCTTCATTTATTGTTTTCTTCTTTGTCTGTTATGGAGGAGCTCCTGGGTGGGTCTTTTTGGGGATTTGATGAAGGCCCACTTGATGAAGGCCCACACGTTCTGAGGACTTTCGTGATGTGTTTTAATTCTTTTTCTTTCCCTTCTTTGCTGGTAGGCAGGCCTTCAGTTCGGTGGTGTAGAGTTCTGATAACTCCCATTTTATGTTCCAGTGGATGGTGAGAATCAAAATATAAATATTAATCTCTGTGTGTGGGTTTTCTGTAACTTCAGTGTTAAGGCTTCTGCCCTTCTTAAAGTGTACTGCACTGCACAGTCCAGGAAGACTATTTTCCTTAGCATATCAAAATTAACAGCCCTCTTTCAACAGAGGGTGAGGGATACGACAGCTTCTATCTCCAGTCTACAACACAGTCCTTTCAGCAGTTCCAAGAAGGCTCCACAACCATTTGCATTGCTCAGGTGACCCTGAGAACACAGATAAACTGTAAAGTGGCTTCAATGACTCTCTAAAAGAATGCAAATGATCAGCTATCTGCAAGGAATATAAATCCTTCCATTCCCTACCATTCAGTCAGAGCTGAAAAAGCTTCTTGGATGAGGAGCAAAATGTCTTCAAAGAAAAACAAGAAAGTCCAGTTGCGTTTTGAGAAAAAAAGGAGCACCTTTGTGACAATCATGACTTGGATGACTGAGAATCTCTAATAGACTTTCAAATTTGAAACGTTCCGAGATCAACCTATCTCTTTTCAGTTTGGGAAAAAATATCAGTTTCAAAAAGGGCTGCTCTGATTTCATGATTGCTATAATGCTGCATTCACTTTGACCAAAGCATTCTAAGCTTGAAACAACCTAAGTGTTTATAGTGTTAAATATTTTCTACACCTCAGATAATAGTGAGAATATTTTAGTCAGTTATTTTCAACTTTAAAAATGTAATAGATTTTTAATGATATTATTTCAAGCAAAGCAGACTTACTTTACTTCGATCATTTCTAATATTACCATAATTTCATATATATTAAATTGAATCTTTCTCAGCATCTTTGTCTAATAATGAGTCTATTTTGTTTTTGAAGATATTTTAATACAGTGCCCACCCCAACCTTTTGGGCACCAGGGACAGGTTCCATGGAAAGGGCCATATCAAAGTGCAGCGCTCCAGAAACAATTATTACAAAAGTTTGGTAGAAACATTTTAAAATGAAATTGGAATAGGAATAAAATACGATTTAAAATAACATTAGAGTAAAATATGTTCTAGAATGAAATCATAATAGAATACAATAATTTAAGATACAAATTAAATATGATTAAAATTATATTACAATGTCACCCCTGCATCTACCCAATCAGTCTTAAAACTACTATTAGAATAACATTATTAAATCAAGTGATCTTTCCTGCAATCTACCACATTCTGCTGCACCAACTTTGTCCTTTTTTCCATCAATTTTACAGCAAATTTGGCAATCCATTTCACCAGCTGCAACTTTGAACCTACCAAACAATGTTGCAAGAAGTGTTCTTTCGACTTAGGGGTGATGGTGTAAAAGATCCTACCCAGCTGATGTTCCCTCAAATCTGAGTATAAGGGGCAGTAAAAAATTACATGGGACATTGTTTCAACTTCCCCCTTCCCACATAAACAGACTCTTTCACTTATAGGGATACCCTTATACCTACCCCAAAGCATGTTTGTTTGAAGTTGGTCTAATCTCAATTTGGTAAAATACTACCTCGGTAAGGCGGGGTATAGTTGCCCCTGCCTCTCAAGGAGTTAAGAGAGGAATATTTTCAGTTCTATTTGGAGGCAACAGGATGTAAGACATCACAACTTGTCAAACCTTAATAATTCTTTTCTCAAAAATAGCAAGATTTTCCAACAATAACCAAGAAGCTGTTTGATAATCTAAAATACTGCTTTTATCCCTATATCTACATATTTGATGGAAATGGGGATAAACTATGTACAAATGTGGAATAAATAAAAATATATTACAATTTCATAAAATATTATCTATGTACCAATTTAATAAGCTATTTATTTAATAACGATAATTTAAAAGCAGAACTATTTTACCTCTTTTCCATAATTTCCAACGTTAAATGCAGCAACTCTCTCTTGCTTTTTTCCCTTCTCTTTATCATCTCTAGAATTGTTACTGCACGACTCAAATCCCGCCTCAGTTTAAGCATTTTTTCATAAGAAGTTTCATCATTCTTTCGATTCTGCAAAATGTGGTAAATGTACAAATGAAAAATATTTTAGACACCAAAATATTAAATATTTTCAGACTTGAATGTTGTGAATATTTGTTTTTCAAGCACAAATTTGAAATATTATTTATAAAGACTTATATGCCACTTAAATCACTATGACTCTAAGGAGTTCAAAACAAAAAATATGCAGTATTACAGTACAAAAATGCAATAACCAATTTAATGATTGTAAAATACATTTATAATTATTAATGCTGCTCACAATAATCCCAGATACAATGAAGTAACAACTATTTAGTCCATAAATGTTCTTTGGAATTGCCATGCTTTTAAAAGTTTCGTAATCATCCATAATGAACATACAAATCTTATTTTTAGTGGAGGCCATTCCATAAGAGAAACTCCTGTAGAAAATTCTGGCTTCTGAATCCCCACTTATCAACTTCATGGGATTCTCATTAGGCATTTTTTTGCAAGCACAATTTGGGAAGACAGATTTTAATTGGAGTAAGCAGTCTCTGTAGGATTTTAAAGATGGCACTAGCATCTTGAACTATACACAGAAGCAGACTGGCAACCTACATAGTTCTTGCTGTATTTGCTGTTATATGGAAAAATCAAGTTGTTTGTTAATACATGAACTATTGCATTTTGCTATAACTAGAGCCTATAGATATTTTCAAAGAGTGCCCTGTACAACATACTGCAGTAGTCTATACATGAAGTAACATGGAGAGTGAAAGCTGTAAGTTCTAGAAACAAGAACACCTGACTTACAAGCCAAAAAGTGAGGAAAGGCTCTTCTTGCCACAACTGCCACCTCCTGCTCTAACAGGAACTAGAGATCCAGGAGGACTCTGAGATGATACATCAGCTGCTTCTGGAGAAGCATAACTCCATCAAGAGCTTACATTGGTGTTACCGTAGAATCAATTAGTTTCTGAAATAGCAGGCATTCTGCTTTGCCTGGGTTAAGTTTTAACCTCTTTTCCTCCCATCCAGACTCTTACAGTCACAACTGAGGCAAGACTCCCATCCATCTCCCACTTGATTTGAGCTGGAGGTTTATACAGTAACTTACATAGTGACAATATCATATGTATAAAAGGAGCAGACGTTGAACTCTGACACATCCCATAATGAAGTGTCCATGCGACTATTCCCATACATGCTAAAGCCATGAACTCAGGAGTGGAAGCAACATAAAATAATGCCCACATCACAGTTAACACTCAGATGGTCTAGAGCCGTGATGGCGAACCTACGGCATGCGTGCCATAGGTGGTACGCGTAGCCATATCAGTGGGCACGCCAGTTCAGCATTGGTGCGCGTGTGTGCGCCTGCCAGCTGATTTTTGGGCCTTCTGGGCCCACCAGAAGTAGGGAAACAGGCTATTTCCTGTCTCCAGAGGGCCTGGGGGTGGTGGGGGGAAGGCCCGTTTTTCTTTCTCACCTGGCTTCAGATCCTCTCTGTGCATCTGGGAAGGGTGAAAACAGCCTTTCCCACTCCCTTGGAAGCCTTCCGGAGGCCTGAAACAGCTCATTTCCCAACTTCTGGTGGGACAGGAAATGACATTTTTTGCTTTCCTCAGCTTCCAGAGATTCCTAGAGTTGGGAAATGGGCTGTTTCAGGCCTCCAGAGGGCCTTGGAGGGGGTGATGAAGGCTGTTTTCACCCTCCTCAGATGCACAGAGAGGATCTGGAACCAGGTGAGAAAGAAAAATGGGCCTACTGGGCCATCGCGTGCCAGGAGTAGGGAGAGAGGGGGGTTGTGTGCGCATGCACAGCACGGGGTGCGTAGAATTATGGGTGTGGGGGGACTTCTGGTGACGTCACTTTGTAGCAGTTCAGGATCGGACAGGACTTCTGGCTCGATCTGCTTCTTCCCAGCTGGCAAACGGCTTTTTATGGCCGACACTGACTGTGAGGAGGTCAGTGAAGGTGTGGTGAGCTGAGACACGTGAGGAGGTGGCGATCCCGTAAGTCGTTCAGTAGATACCTTGACCCTAGTGACTGGGGAGAGGGTGCTGTTAATGGCTGCCCCTGGACTGTGACTAAGCTGTTTTGGAAGGGAAGTCCACGTTGCAATGAGCAGCAGGAGGGGCTGGAAACTGAATGCTTGGGATAATTGTCATCGCGATCAGAGAAAGGGGAGGAAAAACTGGGACTTAAAAACGTGTTTTTAACCACATGTAGAGCAGCTGTAGTGAGAGGGGCAAACTTTCTTTCTGGTGCTGACTGGAGGGACTAAACAGACCGATTTGTTGGCAATCGAAAAGAAATTAGAAGCTCCTCTTTGTGGTCCTTTTCTTATCTGTAACTATCCCACCATTTCTGTGAAGATGAATATGGAGTGAACGCTCGATCTTTGTCCCCCACTCCATTTGATGGTGAACCCCTGTGGAGGAGAGAACTGAATGTTGCAATCCACGCTCCTGTGAACTTTATTATTGACGGCTTGCTTAAATCCTAAGGGAGACTTTGTGCTGGAGGAGTGAACTTCTAATTCCCGGTATTATATAGATTGATTAGCAACTATATCAACCACAGCAACAATTACAGCGATTAAAACAGGGAAAAAAGTTATGTCCTCAGTTGTGTCATCTCTGATTTTGTCAACTTTGACGATGGTGAAAAATACTGACGACCAGACTTTTGCGGGAAAGACTCCCACCCTGCAAAGCTTGCAGGGGATGCTCCAAGCTATGCAGGAGGTTATGATAAAGAATCAGGAGTTTATCTCCAAAAAACTTGAAAAACTTGAGGATCTTACCTCAAATATGAAAGACGAAATGGGAGCGGTAAGGGGGGATATTAAGGAACTTAATGAGACGTTAGAAGAAATAAGAGGTGACATGGTGAAGCAGGAGGGAAGACTACAGGAGGTGGAAACCAGGATAGGTAGATGTGAAGGTCGACTGGATGGTTATGAACGTGAACAGATTTCAGTAAATAGAGCTGTGGAAGAACAGATAATTTTCTTGGAACTTGAAAGATCTTCTTTCATTTTAAGACTGCAAGATGTAATGGAGGAAAAAGGAGAAGATTTAAAAGGAATTATGGGGGATATTATTTCTGAAATCTTGGAAAAAGATAAAGCTGTGGTCCTTAGTGTTATTGATGAGGTATTCCGGGTCTTTACTAATTATGCAGAGATATAATCACCCACAAGAAGTGCACTAAGAAAACTGTGCAGCAGGAGATCTATAAAAAAATCCCGGGACCGAGCCGTAATATTTACGGGAAAACAGATTTCAGTTCTGAGGCAAGTTCCAAGACGGGTTAGGGAAATCAGGAGGAATTACCAGCCTTTAACGTTACAGCTGAGGAAGAATGGCATGATGTATATGTGGTTACTACTGGAGGGTCTCATATTCATGTGGAATGATAGGAAAGTGAAAATAGAAAACTGCCGGGATGCTCAGGAATTTTATGGTATGCAACTGGAGCTGGAATTAAAGGTATGCAACTGGAGCTGGAATTAGAAAGGGAAGAGGAAAGTAGAAGCTCAGAGGAGCTACAGGAAGAAAATAGTGCGGGAAACCAAGAGGAGAGGAAGAAGGAGGGGAAATTAGAGGAAAAAGGAGGGGGAGGCAGAGAGATGGTGTTACCAAGAGAAACCCGGCAAACCAAGAAAAAAGTATTAGGAAAACAGGACTAATAGGAGGAGGGGAAGAAAGGTAGTGATGGGGGAAGAGGTGTGACTTATCTCTTTGAACGTCAACCGTTTAAATATCCCCTCTAAAAGAAGGAAAATACTAAACAATTTAGTGAAACTTAATTATGATATTACTTGTCTTCAAGAAACTCATATAAAAAAATCTTACGAGAAACTTTTGTTGTGTTCAAGACTTGGGAAGATGTACTTCTCGTCAGCAGATAAGAGAAAACAGGGGATGGTGATATATGTGAAGGACCATTTAAACCCTAAGGAAATTTTTAAAGATGAAGAGGGAAGATTACTGATAATAGAATTAGAAATAAGGCAATTGAAATGTTTATTGGTTACTGTTTATGCCCCGAATGGGAACCAGCAGTCTTTTTACGAAGGTATATATAAAAAGCTGACTGAATTAAATTATGATCATGTCTGCCTGATTGGGGACTTTAATGTTATATTGGATAGTAACCTGGACTATTTACCGGGTACCAAATTGCCGGGGGGAGAGAAGAAAACATACAGGAGGGGGTTGCCAAATGAAGGAATTATGATGAGAGAAGAAGTAGGCTTTCGGGACATATGGAGAGAGCGACACCCAGAGATGAGACAATATACATTTTACTCCCCCAGGCATAAGTCATGGTCGCAGATCAATATGGCCTGGATGACACTGCAATTAGGGGAATACGTATCCGAGATACAGATTGGGATTAATGATTGGGCTGATCATAACCCGTTGATTATAACATGGAGGGGCCAACAGAAAAGGAAAAGATGGAAGATGGATACAAGGGTGCTGAAGGACGAGGAAGTTGTGACCTGGATTAAGACAGAAACAGAATATTTCTTTAAGAGAAGAAGAAACAAGATACGAGCCTCCAAAATAATTGGGATTCTTATAAGGCAGTAATTAGGGGATCGCTAATAAAATATACAATAAGGAAACGGAGGCTGGAAAGGAAGGAACGATTAAATCTAATAGATGGTTTAGGACAGGTGGAAAAGGAACTACGGGATAAACCGATGGATCAGGCATTAATAGAGGAAAAAAATTTAATCCGCCATAAAATAAATCTATCGGATCAAGAAAAAGTAGCTGAAAAAATTAGGTGGGTTAAACAAGGTTATTTTGAAAATGCTAATATGCCGGGAAGATGACTAACCTATAGAATTAAAAAGTTAAAGGAAAGAAATAGAGTTGGTGGCTTGAAGGATGCGAACGGAAGATGGGTAATAGACGGGGAAGGTATGAAGAGAATTATACAGAAGTTCTTCACCGATTTATATAAGGGAGAGGGAGGGTCAGATCAAGAGATGGACAAATATATAGAGGGGCTGGATCTTCCAAAAGTGCCAGAAGAGGTAAGACAAATACTTAATAGGGAAATTTCAGAGAAGGAGGTGGAAGAGGCAATTGGGAAGCAGAAATTAGGGAAAACTCCAGGGACAGATGGGATACCTATGGAATTTTATAAGAAAATTTCTGATACAGTGGGACAACATATGACCGAAGATTTTAATGGAATTATTTTGGAGGGTCGGATCCCAAACTCCTGGACTGAGGCCTATATCTCCCTGATTCCCAAGGCAGAAACAGATTCATCGTTGATCCACAATTATAGGCCTATATCTCTCCTGAATACTGATTATAAGATCTTCGCCTCAATCTTAGCGGGGAGAATGAAAAATTTTTTAAACCACTATATACATAGAGACCAGAATGGGTTTTTGCCACACAGACAAATAAGGGACAATGTGAGCACGATAATAGATGCAATGGAGTACAATGAGACGTTTGTGGCTAAGGAAGTAGCATTTATTTTTATTGATGCTCAAAAGGCCTTCGACAGGGTTAGCTGGAAATTTATGTTTGCCTTGTTAGATAGGATGAAATTTGGAGATAATTACATACGGGCGGTAAGATCTATTTACTCGATTCAAATAGCTAGAGCTTTAATCAACGGGGAAGAAACAGGCAAGATTGAAATCGGAAAAGGCATGAGACAAGGATGCCCACTGTCCCCACTTTTATTTATACTTACACTAGAATCTCTCCTAAGGGAAATTAGGAGGAATCAGGAAATAAAAGGGCTGAAGGTGAGATCTGAAGAATATAAAATTCAGGCTTATGCGGATGATTTGGTTTTTATTGTAGAGGATCCCTTAGATTCAGGTAAAAACTTACTTCAGGAGATAGAGAACTACAGTAGAGTTGCAGGTTTCCGAATTAACAAAGATAAGATGAAGATTATAACAAAGAATATGGCACGGAACCATTGGAGTGAACTGGAGAGAGAATTGGGCCTTCAATGACTAAAAGAATAAAATATTTGGGTGTCTGGATGTCTTCTAAAAATACGTCTATTATGGCAGATAATTATATAAAGCTGTTAGCCCAAACAAAGACAGACTTAGAGAAGTGGGAACACCTGCAACTCTCCTTTGTAGGAGTTTGCATACGTGCAGGAATTTTTCTAATCTCGAAGGCAAACCTCAGATAAGGAAGGTTACATGCACGTAGGCACCAGGAAATGACATTAGAAATAAGACCCTAAATCAATAAATAAGAAGAGCAACAGAGGAGGAAATGGGATATGTTATACTTTAACTATAGCTAAACATTATAAGGGCTTAAGCAAAACAGTAATGGTTAACCAAAGATCTTATAGTTGCTGGAAGACTTTTGTGAACCAATGAGATGCTGACAAGTGCTCTGTAGCTGAAAGTAACAAACTATATAATGTCACTATGTAAGGCAATAAAGACACCACATATATCTTCACTCTTTGTGTGTGTGGTCATTTACAACACTCCTTACTCGGTAGGATAGCTACGATTAAAACCCATGTGCTCCCGAAATGGAACTATTTATTCCAGACTGCCCCGGCAAGATTGGATAGCGGTTTTTTTAAATGGTTAGATAGCTATGTGAGGAAATTTGTTGGGCAGAAGAAGCAGCCCCGGATAAAACTTAAAATGCTTCAAGAGGCACTATATAGAGGGGGATTTGGTTTACCAAAATGGGAGTTCTACTACCAAGCGGCTAATTTAACTTGGATTAAAGACTGGATGCTTTTAAATAGGAAGAAGATTCTTACATTGGAGGGTTATGATTTGTATCAAGGTTGGCACCATTTTCTATGGAGAGAGAGGGGCAAGAAATGTGGATACTTTAAGAGACACTACCTTCAGAGAATCTTATTAGAATCCTGGGAAGGGGTTAGGAATAGGTATTATTCAATGATCCCGATTTGTTTTGCCCCACTAGAGGCAGCAACACACTCCACACTATATAATAAGGAAATATCATTGACATATCAGGACTTGCTCGATCCGCAAAGGGAGTTGAAGACCCGTGAGGAGCTTATGAACCAGGGCAAGAAGGTAGATTGGTGGGCTTATGCCAAATATAGTCGAGAGTCAGAAGGGACAAAGGAAAGGAGGGAATCTATAGGTCATTACAGGAGTTAGGTAACATTTTACTGGGAATCGAAAAGAAATTACTTTCAAGGTGCTACCAATTCTTGGTATCACGATGGATTGGTGAGGACACTATGATTGCCTGGGGGAGGAACCTTGGATCTTCTCTAGATCTGGACAAATGAGAGGCAATATGGAACAGGAATATGAAACTTACTTTGGCAACTCCCTACAAGGAAAATATTTATAAAACGGACGTTGCTTACCTGAACGTCCCTTCTCGACGCGCAGCTGGAGAATCCAAGCTTTGGATTCTCCAAGCTGCGCGTTGGAGAACGGACGTTGCTTACCTGAAAATGGTCTATCGTTGGCATATCCCCCCAACAAAAATTGCAAGAATGTTCCCGGGAACTTCTCCGGCATGTTGGAAATGTGGGAACAGTAATGGGACATACTACCACCAATGGTGGACCTGCCCTAAAGCAGGCAAATATTGGTCCAAGGTCCGGAACTGGATACTGGAAATTACAAGTTATAATATAGAGCTGAAACCAGAGGTTTTCTTATTGGGAATGAAACCAGATAAAATAACTAAGGAAAAATGGTACTTGATCCTCCACATCACTACTGCAGCTAGGATATTATACACGCAAGAGTGGAAAAATGAATTAATACCCACAGAGAATAAATTGATTTGGAAAATTTCAGAATGCGCAGAGCAGGGGTGGGTTCTAATTTTTTTTACTACCGGTTCTGTGGACATGGCTTATTTTGTAGGTGTGGCTTGGAGGTCATGTGACTAGGTGGGTGTGGCTAGCTGGTCAGAGTCATTTCTGGAAGGTCCTCGCATTTATGACCAGTCCTTGCACTTATGACCTGACTCATTTGTTTGCTTTTAACACTGATCAGCTGTAGGACAGCCCTTTGAAGCCCCACGGCAAGAGTTTAAACAGTTTTTTTCCCTCTAGTCATCAGCTGGGACTCAGGAGGCAGCAACAGATTGGGGGTGGGACCAAATAAAAGCTAAGAATAATGTGGGGGGGGGAGGGCGGAGAACCGGTTCGGTGACGTCATATCGTCACTGCTACCGGCTCCGCCGAACCGGACCAAACTGGGAGGAACCCACCACTGGCGCGGAGGCAGATCGATTAATGAAATTACTTAGGAACAAAAAGATTCTGATTATTACAAATGTTGGAACCTATGGTATATTTGGATGAAAGGAAAGAGAGGGAAATGAAATGGATCTTATCAGTGATCTAAATTGTATAGGCGCATATATGTGTATGTTCATTGCAATAATTTTGTATGTATATATGTAAAGAATTGTTTTTTTAAAAAATGGAAATAAACTTACTATAAAAAAAAAATTATGGGTGTGGGCATGCGCACACGTGAACCTCCCCCGCTCCTGTGTCCTGGCACGCGATGGCAAAAAGGTTAGCCATCACTGGTCTAGAGGGATATGATAGGATCATATTCGTACTATAAAGCATAAATAATTATTACCAATGCTATTTCCCAGGCCTAAAACCTGACAGAAGAGAGTCCAGATAATCCATTTCTTTCTGAGTCATCTGCAGATGTCAAACAACCACATTCTCAAAAACCGCCCCAAGAACAATGTATGATAGCTGTCCACTGCAGCAGGGTTAAATGTTAGTTTCTTAAGGGAAGGATGTACAATGCCTCTTTCAAAGAGGCATTCACCATGGCTGGATCCATTTCCCCATCCCCTTTGGGAGGATGCACAAGTCAAATGAGGCAGGATCAACCCATCTCATCCCAAACTGTCCAAGGATTAATATATTTAAACTTTCCCAGGACATCCTGAAACACATGAGCCTCACTTGTCTGGACTCTGTCCAACTAGCTTCTGATTCCAGGTGAAAAGAATGGTTTTTATCCACAAAGAATTTTGTTAACATTGTTACAGGATTTTTCCCCCTCCCTTTTTTCTGTAAAAGAATCTGGTCACTTTATAAAGGGATCTGGACAGTGATCTAGAGATGCAATAAAATATTAAGTCCATACTCACTTTTCGAGTCTGCATCTTTTCAGTTCGCCTTCTAAATGCAACATAAGGATCATTTGTGCTGGACCCATCACGTTTCTCCTGTTTCACTGCTGAGATAAGAGAGGGGCCTCGGCAATTTTTTCTCTTTTTAATCCAATATTCGTATACTTCTCTAATCAGTTCATCATCTTCCTTCAAGAGTAGTTTGGCTTCCTGCAGACTGACTGGCTAAAGGTAAAATCCAAGTATGTCATTTTTATGTATTTATATTCTTAAAACAATTTCAAATCAGAAATAATACTATACCTGCTGACCACTTCCTTTTTCAAGTCGATCTATCATTTCTTCAAATTGCAAAGGAGAGATATCTATTTTTTTCTTCAGCTTATTCACAAATGCCTCATCTTCTGAATCCAAATCATAATCCGGTTGCTCAGCATCCAAACTAAAAGCTGAAAAGAGAAAAACATTTTAATGTGTTTCAATATTTTAATAGAGTTTAATAGAAACTTCAAACTATAAGAATTTAAAAATATGCATATATATTCCTGCCATCTTAAATTATAAATCTGAATTATAAAATTATATTTCTTAACAAATTCTGAGAATATGAATTTAGGGTAGCTAAACCTATCTAGATAAGACAGAATAGATATATATTTGAAATATTATAAAATGAATAATTGTCAATATTTATAAAATAGCCTTCATTGGATAAATAAATGTTTCATTAAGAGCTATTTAAATATATTGTTTTCAGGATGAATATGAAGACTTTACAGATCTATCCCAATAGCAATAGTCCTAGCTCACTGACTGCTTTGTTCTAATTTACAATGGTGCTAGAAAAATAATTTTATAACCAACATCCTTTACAACTTTTTACACTAGTTGTCAGTCACATGATTGCCATTATAATAATGTTTTGTCCGATAGCCAATCAATTTTTTCCCTCTGAGAAGTGTCCAAGTGCAAGCAGCTGTGAATGTGCCATGCAAACCAGTCAAGTATATTCATCATTGTGTGCCTGCTTATTCTTTCATAATCCCTTTCTCTTCAAACTCTCCACTTTGGGGGTGGGAATGGTACAGACCAGGAAGATTGCCTACAGAAAGTTCCCCTCCCCCCTGCAGAATTGAGAGATTGGAGAGAAAGGGATTACAACCAAATACACAGGCACACAATGGGGAATACACAGAGAAAGAAATGCGCTAGTGCCAGCAGCCACCTGCACACGATACAAACAGCCCAAGGTATTCCCCATATTTTAAGACGTATCATGGCCCTGATTCTGTGGTTCTTTAGGCAAGCATTTATAATGTTGCTCTATTCACATATTTACACCATTTGTTGTTCTATGTTGCATGTGAAAGAAAAAAAGAAATATGTCAATTTGTAATCTGTAGGATATCAATTGACAGCTAAATAAAATTTTATTTATTTTTTAGAATTTTTTTTTCTATTGTATATAGGTGGTCCTCGACTTTCAACAGTTCATTTAGTGACCATTCAAAGTTACTGTCAGACTTCGATGCTATCTCAAAATAAATGAATTTCCAAACTGCCAATCTTTAAGGAAATCTTTTCTTTAATTGAGCACAGCCACCGGATCATGACTCGATGCGGATAAGACTGACCTTTTGCCCCCCAATCCCTCCCTTTCCGATCCCCAAATCTCTGCTTCTCATTGGCTATCTTCCAAATCATTCTTCAGACTTCTTGTCTCGTCATTTCCCAGGAATGTCCCCTCTCATTTCCACGACAACCCGACTTCAAAGGGATTTAGCAGGCAAAAGTTCAGAGCTTATCTCTCTCTCCTCTGCTCTCTATGCCAGCGTTGAAACGCTGACAATTACAACATCACTGAAAAAAGTGACTTATGATCATTTTTCACACTTACGACAATTGCAACACCCCCACGATCATGTGATCGAAATTCAGAAGAACTGGTTCATATTTATGATGCTTGCAGTGTCCTGGGGTCATGTGATCCCCTTTTGCAACCTTCTAACAAAGTCAATGTGGAAGCTGAATATGCTTAACAACCAGATTACTAATTTATCAACTGCAGGGATTCATTTAACAACTGTATCAAGGAAAGTCATAAAATGGGGCAAAACTAACTTAACAGTATTTCACTTAGCAACAGAAATTTTGGACTCAATTGTGGTACTAAATTGAGAAGTACCTATAGTACCTCTCCAATTCCATTTTCTTTGACCAAATTTAAAAAACTGTAACAATGTTAAAAGTTTGATGTAAGTTTGTTAGTGAAGTGAGGAAATAAATTTTCAGTTTGTTCACTGTATCGCTGAACACATTACAGATTAGTTTAACCTACATGCAAAACCATATAATACTATGACATTGCATACAATGTAATTTACATCAAAAAGTATTATAAAAATAGCTTGACTTACAAAAACACAATTGGGACTGGAATCTTAGTCACTCTGTGAAGTGGTCATTAAGTATGACACCCTCGTGGCTCTGCCCATTGGTTGTTAAGTGACCACATCAGGTGTGGGTTCTACTTACCTTTACTACCGGTTCGCAGCGGGACGGCATTTTGATGACGTTGGGGTCGGTGGGTGGAGCCTCCCGATGGTTTTACTACCGGTTCTATAGAACCAGTGCTAACCGGGGGCAACCCACCACTGAACTACGAGTCAAGTTGACAGCGTGAAAGTGTTGCCTTCCAAAGAAGAATAGGCAGCTTCTTGCATGCACAGAAGAAAACTACTGCAGCAGGCAGGAAAAAAACCTCTTTGAGATTCAAGCTTATTGCTGCAGCCCGCTGCTGATGTTCCCTTCCCCATCATGCAAGGAGGGGAATTTCTTGGAGGGACTACAAGAATGGGGCTCAGATCTTCAGGATTGGACCTCCATTTCTGCAGCTCTTTAGGAGAGTTTTTCTCCCCTCCATGAGCTGAAGGGAACTAATGTACTGGGTTGGAAAAACAAGAGAAACAATTGCAAATATCCCTGCTTTGTTTCTCCTGTCCAAGGATTCCCCCTCCAATTAAATGGAGGAGAGGGAAAATCTTTTGGCAGATGATAGCATCTTGCAATCTTCCCCTACCAGCTTCCCCACTGTCTTTCTTGAAAAGGTAGAAGAGATTGCAAATGGGGATTACATGATCACAGGGCACTTGTCATCCAATCTTAAATGTAAACAGGTTGTCAAAAATCCAGATTGTGATCATGTAACCATGTGGGGAATACAGTGTAACATTTTTTTGACAGCTGGAAATGCTTTCTGGACTGTAAAGGACTCCTTCCAAGCCATTCTAAGGGTTTTTAAGTGACTGGTTGTGTTTAGGACAACCTGTGTTTCATTTTTTAAACATTATCATATTTTATTATATAAGAAAATACATAACAAAATTTTAATTGTTTTGAGCTCAGTATTTTTTGTGCAACAAATTTAGTTAGTAAATCCAATTACTTACATGACCCGAGCCCTAATCTTTCTTTATATCCAAAGGAGATTGTGAATCTACAAAACTATTTTTATTTTAAAAAAGCAATCCAATTCATTTTAAATATTCAGTATAAATATATACTCACGCTGTATGTGAATAAGCTGCTTTGGCATTTTAAATTCTCCAGGATATATTGATTCATAATAGGCAATATTACTTTCTGCTTCTGGGACTGGTATAACCATATTATCCCGTTTCTCTCCATATACTTGCTGTGCTGAAATGGCCCGCTGGAGATGATGTTCCTACATCATTAACACACACACACACACAAAAAAAAAGACAAATGAAATACACACACTGTGTGTGTGTGTGTGTGTCTAAATAATGTTAATGTGGAAACAGAACAATTAAATTAAAATTAAATTGTTTCAGCCAAGTATTTTTGTCTATATATATTGAACTTTATATAGATTCTTAGCCTCTGCTGAAGTTATTACAATATTTTAATTGATTTTCACATAGTAAAAGTAAGCCAAAATCATAAACACAAAACTGAAAAAATTGTCAAAAGATTTCAGAATGCACTTGTCATTTTTGCCTATTATGGTAATTGTTGCTTGAAATATATTTTGAGACAATAAAAATAAAATGAAACAAATTAAGCACTAGTTGCTGTTTGTTCTTAGGGTTTTTTTTTTTTTAAATAATTTAAATAGGTAGTTCTAGTAATCAGGCAGAGCACCAACTAAATTGAGTACGGTAATCCAGTTTACTCAGAAATCTATGCATTGCCACTAGTCATAAAAAAAAAATTTCTACTCCTTAAAGGAAATCTGCTGCTCTCTTTTAATTAGATGCAATTACAAGCTATCATAGTAACTATTTTAAGGATAAAACTATCCCTTAGTGAAATGAGAAGACATATGCTTAATGCTGGATCACCCTGTCCTATAACATGTACTTAAGATACAGTTATAATTGTTACAGCAGCTTGTTCACGTGCTTTAAACTTTGCAAAATCCAATTACATTTTCAATAATCAACAAATATTAATTCTAATAAATTAAAATACAGTATCTTTCCAATACTGTTTAGGAATGGAATCTAATTTACTGCTAAACTAAAGTAGTTTCCAAATAGTCTAAATGTAATTAACTAGGCAAGAAGAAAGAAGAGATATTATTCACCAAACTACATGGACTGGACCAACTGTACATCCTTACTACTATTTTCTGAACCATTTGCAACATGTCAAAAAGGTCAGCAAGCCCTCTTATGGACCCATACACATTTTAATAATTCGTATTAATTCAGTTATTTTGAACCAGAAGTACATAAATACTGAGCACCAATCAATCTACAAAGAATTTTCTGAATAATCTCAAATGTGTTAAAGGCCTAAGGCTGACTAACATTGCTTTAATGTCTATATTTTGATTTCCTTCCTCAGGTTCTTTTTTTATTCTATTTTCTACTGGTTCCAGTTATTTAACAGACTACCAAAAACTCTTCCCTATCATCAGTGTTAGTGATTCCTGTGTGACAACTGCACTTCAACCTGTTCCAGGCATTTCAGTTTATGGAGTATCCAAAAAACAATTGGCATGTACTATCACAATTTTTCCAAAAATTAAATTTTTAAGTGCTTTAGATTATTAAAATGCTGAAACACTCTTTCTAATGTATACTCTTTATACATTAGAATATTTATAAATTTTATTTATTTATTTATTTAGCATACTTACATAATGACTCTGAGTAGTTTACAGTATGACAAATTAAACACTATATAACCAATTAAAAGACAATCAGAGATAAAATGAAATAAAAGCAGAAACATAGAAATTAGGATTTTAAATAATTTTAAATAGTTCTTCTGATCAGCCAAATTTGGTGGGGTTTTTTTGTTGTTGTTGTTGCTTACTTCAGAAACAGAAAACCACATTTAACAAACCACTATCCTCAAAATGGTCTTGATATTGAATAAAAAGCAAACATGTCTATTTCATGTAAACAAAATACAAAGGTCTCTTTTTTCTCTCTGGGTGTGGACTTCAAGTCAGTGTTGACTCTTGAAGAGTGCTTGGACAAATTCATGGAATTTTCTTGACAAGATTTCAGAAGTACTTTGCTTCTGCCTCTTTTGTAGAGCTGAGAGAGAATTCCTGGGCCAAAATCACCTAGTAGACTTTGTGTCTAAGACAGGACTCATCCTGGTTGCCTGATGCCTTGACCTCCATAACAAACTGGGTATTTCTTTTCTAACTGCTAATAAATAGTAAAATAGTAAAAGTAATCAAAACTTTTACACTGGAGAGAATACACAAATACAGGTAGTCCTTGATTTAAGACTACAATTGAGCCCCAAATTTCCACTGCTAAGCAATACATTTAACTGAATTTTGCCTCATTTTATGACCTTTTTTGCCACAGTTAAGTCAATTACTGCAGTTAAATTAGTAACACAATTGTTACGTGAATCTTGCTTCCCCATTGACTTCGCTTTTCAGAAAGTCACAAAAGGTGATCACATGATCCCAGGACATTGCATCTGTCATAAATAAATGCTGGTTGTCAAACATCTGAATTTTGACTGCAGGGATGCTGCAACAGTTGGTCATAAGTCACTTTTTCAGTGCCGTTGTAACTTTGAATGGTCACTAGACAAGTGATCTTAAGTCAAAGACTACCTGTATAGATAAAGGATTGCTTACGCAGTGGTAGAGAAAAAAGTGAGATTTTTTTGCCCCACTATACTTTATAATCTGTTTATAATCCTCACCAAGGATATATGGACTTGAAGGCCGATTGCTATATTTCTGTATGCAGAATAATAGAATAACAGAGTTGTAAAGAACCTTGGAGGTCTTCTAGTTCAGCATTCCCCAACCTTTCTGGCTTTGTGGACCTGTGGGTGAGTAAGAGGGATGGTTCCATGAAAGCGGGGTGGGGGGTGAACGCATGCAGCTCTGTTTGTGCAAGCAAATGGCACTTGCCTGCTGCTTCCATGGCCTGGTTCAGAATAGGCTCTGGCCCTGTACTGGGTCACAGCCTGGCATTAGGGACCCCTGTTCTAATCCAACCCTGTATCATTTCAGACAAATGATTCTCCAATTGCTTCTTAAAAACTTCCAGTGTTGGGAGCGTTGTGTTCCAGTGTTAATTGTTCCAACTGTCAGGAAATTTCTCCTTAGTTCTATGTTGCTTTTCTCCTGGATTACTTTCCATCATTGCTTCTTGTCCTGCCTTCTGATGCTTTGGAGAATAGATTGACCCCCTTTTCTTTGTGACACCCCTTAGATATTGATACTGCTATCATGTCACCCCTAGTCCTTCTTTTCATAAGACTAGACATATCCAGCTCCAGCAACTGTTCTTTGTTTTATCCTCCAGTCCCCTAATCATCTTTGTTGCTCTTCTCTGCACTCTTTCTAGTCTCAACATCGATTTTATGTCATGGCGTCCAAAACTGGATGCAATATTCCAAGTGTGGTCTTATTAAGGCATTACAAAGTAATATTAACATTTCACGTGATCTTGATTCTATTCTTCTGTTAATACAGCCTAGGACTGTGTTGGCTTTTTGGACACACTGCCAGCTCATCTTTAAGTGATTGTCCACTAGCTCTCCAAGATACTTCTTGCAGTTACCACTATTGAGCCAGGTACCATCTACTTCAGGGGTGTCAAACTCAAAGCCTGCGGGCTGGATTCGGCTTGCGAGGTGCTTAAATCTGGCTTGCAGGGCCGGCCTGGAAATAGCAAAGGAGCAGCCCATGGTGCCTCTGGCAGCCTCCTGCAGCACTGTGCCAGCAAAGTACCCCTGCATCCCATTTTGGCCGGCAGGGTGTTGCAGGAGGCGTCTTTCCCCCCCCCCACCCCCAAACCTGGCCTGTGGAGGAGAACTACAATGCTGATCTGGCCCTTAAATCCAGTTTGACACTCCTGATCCACTCTATACCTGTGCATTTGTTTTTTCTTGCCTAAATTTAGAAACCTTACTTTTCTCATCACTGAATTTCATTTTTCTAGATAGGGCCCAGTATTCTATTCAATTTAAGACATTGAAGGTTGTCTAAATGTCTGATAATCTGAATGATTTGCAGTCTATCATTACAAGAATCATTTTTGTTAAAATTGTTGGTTTCAGCAATCCTAAAAATAATAATAAAAAGCAGCCAAACACAAAGATTTGGCACATCAAGCACAGACATCTTATTATGCTGTCAGTCATCCAACTATGTATTAATGTTTTTCATATACTTTACTGCCATAACTCCCCCACCCCTTTCTCCCTTTTTGTCCTTGTAGACAATGCAAATTGCAAAGGAATCAAAATCTAACATCAGGAAGCAAATCCTTTCACTATGTGAAACCTAACTACATCTCTATAAAATTGAGTAGATAAATATGAGTTCAGGAAGGTGGATACAATTTACAGAGCAGTACATAGCAAACCAGGTCTTCCAGAACAGGCACTTTAGAAATACAAAAGCATTATGGTACATGAACCCTCTTGTATCTCTCTTCACATATGCTGGTGGAACAGTACAAAAATGCAAGTTTATGAAACTCTGTTTAAAGAGCATTTTATTAAGGATTGAGTAGGCATAATCCATTATAGAATTTCACCAGCAAAACAAATTGAAAAGTAGCATAGGTACTTTTTGCTTACCAACAGTAATTGGGATTGGGAAATCCATCATTAAATGACATTGTTGTAAGGCATAATATCACCCCCAAATCAATTTACTATAGCAGTTCCAGTTGCTGTTGTTAGGTGAACTCCTCATAGTCTCCATTTGCAATCTCCTAGTTGTTTCCCCATTGATTTTGATAGTTGGAAGCTAGCAGTGAAAGTTGCAAATGACAATCACACGATTGTGGGATGCTGCAACTCTCATAAATGCAAGTGGTCACTAAGTACCCAAACCACAATAATGTGATTCCAGACAACAACTACGAGGATCTGTCATAAGTATCCCTCATTCGGCAGTCATTAACTTCAATCACTGAATGAGTGGATATTAAATGAGAACTACCTGTACTATATACTAATCATCAGTCCTGTAAAGAGTCCACAGAAGTTAATTAATCTCTAAGGATTTGTTTTTACACTTGACTTGACTTGAGTTGACACACGTTCTTCAGGCATCAAATGTCATTTCAAATACTAACAAAAGGATCACGCTCATCCACCCCCTGCAATCTAGTATTGGGCATATAGAACAATATTTTATAGTATAAAGAAATAGTTTTTATCACTCTTTTGGTAATTAAAGTCACCCACACTTCTCTCACA